CTGATGAATTTCATTAATTCCTATCTGAGGTGTCAGCCTGGCTGAGTCGGTAGCATTCTCACCTCTGAGTCAGAAGTTTGTGAGTTCAATCTGCACGTCGGGAATTTTGAACTCTAGGCTGACACTCCAGTGCGGTGCTGGGGGAGTGCTACATTTTTGGAGGTACCAACTTTGGGTTTTGAGGTTAAACTCGGGTTCAGTCTGCTGTTCAGGCGGACATTAAAAATCCCGTGGCACTATTCGAAAAGAGAAGGGAGGTTCTCCTGGTATCCTGGCCAAAAATCCCCCACATTCACCTCTTGACTGTTTGTGAGACATTGCTGAGTCCAAATTGGCTGCTGCCTTTGCCTACAAATACACAGTCAATGCGCTTTACAGAAACTCAGCGAAGCACTTTTAGAGATTTGGACATGATAAGGTGCTATGTAAAATGCTAGGATATTATTTATGTGACAGTGATGATGTGTAACAATGCTTGTTGATAAGTAAGAATAAATTAGTCTTATTGCCCCCAGGGAAAAAGAGAAAAATATGCAATTTATTATGTAAGTGAAGACCTTCAGACTTGTTGGCTCGCGTGTTATCTGGTTTTCTCGCAGAGTAAGCTACAAATTCCCTTTTATAGTTCACTTTATCTGTTTCCTTTTATTTATCGTCCATCAATAATTTCAAAGCTAGCCTGGAGAATTTTAGAGACCAATAGGTTTGGACGGCAAGCAAAAGTAACAAAAGTTTCCATCCAAAATTAATTGCGTTTCATTTTTCCCCTTCTTTTTGTCAGTTTCAGTTAACAAGCGGATTTGCTTTGAGCAAAATGTGACCATGTCAGAGCTATGTTCTTCTTCCCCCCGCAAACCCCAACCCCAAGTTCGCTCTCTCTTTCTCTTCTTTCTCACTGTGCATCAACTTCAGGATGTGGGGAGAGTGGATCACAGGATGAATGAGGTTGCAAATGGATCTTGTGCAAAACTTCAGAGGAGAGTTTTCTGCTGATCTGCTTTTAAGCCTTGTGATGACAGCTCAGAGGATTGATCACTGGAAGCGTCTACATCGTGCCTCTGTTGTGTGCCATTTTATAAACTCATTGCCTCCTTCCCCCAATGCCCCCCCCCACCACACACACACACATACAAGGCAGACCTTGAACCGCTTTCCCCTCAGAAGCAGAGTTAGTCTGAGTTAATCTCAGTCCCTCCGCCCAGCAGGTTTTGGCCTGCTCCATGTCTCCTGCTCGCCCCTTCATCAGCAGTCGGGCCTTCAGCCTTTCTACCCACAAAATACACAATCAATTCACTTTACAGTATATTCTGTGAAGCATTTTGACATGCCTCAACGACGTGATAAGGAGGTATATCAAATGTAAAGATTATTATAATAATCCACGCCATTTCAAACCTACAGGATTTCTTATAGTTTTATAGCAACTCCAATCCTTACTTTGCCATGTAGTTCGGTTTCCTCACCTCTGGGTTTTTCTGATCAAGGTGCTCGTGCCTGGCTCCATCTAAACACGCCCAGTCACCCAAGACCTGGGTGCTACAGCTCAGTTGATTGGGATGGTATCCGAGAATTCCTTGTTCCGTTTCTCTGCTCTTTGATCTTGCTGGCTGCACCGGTCAAGTGATCGATCTTGTTCCAACTGGCAGGAAATGTTTCATACGTTACTGCTCCCCAACCATCAGGCCAAGCAACTCCATTTGCCTTTGGCCCAGCCTGCGGTACTGGTGTGCAGGTGGTAAAAGGTCATACGTGACAATTAATATCATTCTCCAGACAGCAGCAAGAGAGGTGATTGGCTGATGCATTCTGAATATTTTGGGGGTCGGGAGGAAATCTAGGACAGAATGCAAGCTAGGAATGAACACTCTTCAGTGCTGCATGTGGCTCCTTTGGCGATGTGCAACTACAACTGGAAATCCTATTAGTGGCAGATATTGCCAAAGGCATTGCACGAGATAGAATTTTTCCCCAGTTGTGTTTTCACCCAAGCCAGTCATGTTTCCAAGAGCAATATTGAAGCTGCTAACCTAAACATTGTTGGAATAGGGCCTCAGCCATTGCCTTTGTGCCCTCCAGCAGATGTTCCTTCAGATCCTTTGCCAAAGCTGTCTCTCCAATGCCCCTTTCTAGCACTCTGATGATTCAGTCCCTATCTCTTTGATAGATGGCAGACTATGCTGTTCTCCTCTAACTCTCACCGCGAAGATTCTGCCAAAACACCTCCTTCCAGTCTGCTCTGTCGCTCTGACCGACAGTTTTAATCCCCCACCACATCTGTCAGAACATCAATTGACTGACAGGCTAGTGTAGTGCTGGAGAGCGCTCAATTGTTGAAGATGTTCTTAATTTAATTCTAATTTAATTTAAGTGGGGGTGTTAAGTGCAGGAGAAATAACAATTCGCATTTCTCTCTTTTAACTTTCCTACCGTCTGCATTCACTTGTCTAAACAAATGGGCCTTCCATATTATAATAGCATATAATAATTAATAATCTTCAGCTCTTGTCAAGTCAAAACATCTCAAAGTGCTTGAAAGGGAATTGCTGACACGTGTCGCGACTATGTATTTTGTAGGTGAACACAGCAGCCAGTTTGCACACAGCAATATCTCATAAACAGGCATGAAGTGAATGACCAACTTTATCTGGAGGATTGTTGGGAGAAACTCACTTTCTGTTTTTGAATAGTGCCACGGGATCTTTCACTGGAATAGTGGCACGAGACCTCTGAACAAGCTCGAGCTATTCATTCCCAAATTATTGGTTCGCTTTACCTGCCGACACAAAGCCGGCTCTAAACTACAGGCTCAAATATCAGCTCGTTGTTGGAGCACAAATGCTTGCCAGCTTCAATAAAAGGCGAGGAAGTGCTCACTCCTGTTGACATCTGAAGTACAGTGTCAATTTACCTATTTGATAAAGAACGCCGGTTGCTCAGTTGACAGCACGGGTTAGACCTTTGTCATGGCAGCAAGCATTATTCTGATTTAATTAATTTTAAAGAACATCATTATGATTAATTTAATCTAAGCAAAGGGAATTGGTTGCTGCCTGTTGGACCGCTCGTATACATCCTGTTGTTTGGCTGATACAGAGCCATGTGTTCCTTAGCATCCACCTGATGCTAAGGAACATTCTCCCGACATGAAAGGCGCTGTATCAATATAAGGAGTATTAGCTTAAAATGAAAGAGGGGATTTTTTTTAATCAGGAAAGTAAAACAATGTAGCATTATACTGTAACTGATAATCTGCTTCACAATGGCAAATATATTATCTCCCTTTTACCCAAACCATTGACTGTTGTGATTTGAAAGTGACACTACTTTTTGTCTTGTTTTGTTGTTTCTTCAGCAAAGAGTAGAAATTATCACAGCCGGAGCCACCGGCCGTAACGCCTCCTCACATCAGCTTGCTTCCTCATTATTCTCCCTGTCTTGTGCTCTGGAATAATAAGGGTAGATGACTCCTGATGGTTGATTATCACTTTGCACAAGATTAGCCACTCTGAACGTCTTGTTCTTTCAGCTAGAGGTCACAGAGAGCCTCGCTCACTTTGTGCCCTGCAAATGAACCCGTTTTTAGGAGTTCAGTATCCTTCTGACAAGTTAATCATGTCTTCTGGCAGCTGTAACTCTGGCATAAAACAATGTTGGTTATATTGACCTGCATATCAATGTACTTCTCGAGTACGCAAGCCAATGGTTACTGCAGAATAAGATTTTACTTTGGCTCTTTTCTTTCTTGTGCTTTTAGCCATTGCTTGCTGAGCGATTCACTTTCTGCAAAAATATGGTATGGCTGGATTAGCTGTTCTGAATGGAAAATGATAACAGTAACATTAATCTTTGGATTTGGTATAGCATCTTTCATGTCAGAAGGACGTGTGTGTGTGTGAGACCATTCCTGAGAGAGAGAGAGAAGGATGAGCACCGTGAAGAGGATGGAATAGTATTATTGATATCAGAAATGCAAGGATTATATTTATTTCAAAGCACTTCAAAACATTTATTGTAGAGTGTAGTGACTATATTTTGAAGGTGAAAGTTTCAAGGCCAGGTCTGTGTGTGCGTGAATGTATATGAATCTGTTTCTGTGTCTGTTCTTCAGCCTTCTGTGTGCAATATGTCTTTTAAAGGTTACTACAGCTGTTTCAAAACCTCCACTTTGCCTGTCCAGAAACACTGGCAAAAGCACGTATCTATTCATACGTGGACAATCAAAAAGCTTTAGGTGTGTGCACCAGACCTTCCCTCCAGATTGGTTTCTTCATTTGGTTTGTGCCTCCAATTTCCATGACTGAAGATTGAATTTGCATTTCATTTTTGGACATCTGACAACTGAGAGCAGAACTCCTGCACCACTTCTCCCCAGCAGCAAATGGCCCAAAGTGCATCAGCTGTTGGCACCCAGCCTGGACATTGTGCTGTGATCCTCTACCAATGCCTACGTGATAGCTTACACATCATGATTGTTTGCTTTCGACAATTTAAAGTGCCTGGAATGGGTCGTCAATTGAGAGAAACCGAAATGAGCAGCTTGTTACAATCAACAATTAAAAAAATTCTTTACCACGCCTCCGCTTGGTGTTTCAGTGTAGGTCGGGTACTGGTATGATCTGATTCATTAAAATCACTGTGCTTAAGAAGAACACAGGAAAGCAGAACTGAGAGACAATAAACCCAGACTGCTCTGTATTTATGTTGTCACTATCAGTGAGGAGGAGGGTTCTTGGTGTATTGGAATGAGTTACTCACCATCACTGCTGTGATCCTCTGCTGACTGCTCTGTATTTATGTCCTCACGATCAGTGCGGAAATCTCCTGGTGTGTTAGAATGAGGGGTACTCACCATCAGTGCTGGGTAAACGTGGTTATCATTTCCCCTTGTGATTGAATGGGATCATTCAGGTTAATGGTGTGAAGCCTGTCATTGCATAAATATTGTCGTTGCACAATATTTCTTACTGATTCTTTCTCTGTTGTGGATTTTGTATTTCTAGGACAGGAGTACTTTGCCAAATGTTAAGACTAAACTCAGCAAAGAGGCACCGATACTGACGCAGGCACCGAGAGCAAAGTAAGTACAGCAGCCGCTTTCATTCGTTTTAAGGGCTTTGTTGCTGGTAAGCTCAGAGACCATGTAATGCTAAGGGGATTATGTATTCACGTTTATTTTGAATACTTTTGAAATTGAAAATATTTTTTTCCGCCTCCTACAAGCACCCTTCCCTCAAGGCTTTCAACTCCCATGTTTGGCCTGATTGGGTGTTGGTGTTGTGAGAGTGCATCTATTTGACTGTATGTGACTTCCTGGTGTCTGCCCAATAATAATAATAGTAATAATCCTAATCATAATTGTAATAATAACCCTACTTTGAAGACAGCACCTTCACTTCTGGAGGCCGTTTCAAAGTATATCACAGGATACCCTGTAAAGTGCACTGACTGAGTATTTTGTAGGTGAACGGCGGCCAATTTGCACCCAGCAATGTCCCACAAGCAGTCATGATGTGAATGACATTTATGTTGGAGGATTGTTGGTCAGGACACCAGGAGAAACTCCCTTCTCTTTTTGAATAGCACTGTGGGATCTTTAACGTCCACCTGAACAGGCAGACGGGACCTCAGTTTAACATCTCATCTGAAGGACAGCACATCCAACAATTCAGCATCACTGCGTCCTCTCTGTCTCTCTCTCTCTCCCCCCCACTCCCCAGCATCGGTGTTTCAGCCTAGACTATGTGAGTTGAAAGTCTCAATGTGGGGCATGTACCCACAACCCTCTGTCGTAGAGGTGAACGCTCTACCAGCTGAGCCAGGCTGACGCTCCTAAAATTATGCTTTGACCCTGAACCCATGCCCTCTTGTTCTGCTGCCTCAGTGCATCTAAAAGCCAATTACCCATCGTCAGTGAGCACTGCCGAGGCCAGCTTGTGATTCGTGTCCCTAAAGCAACAGACGGTGTCTTTGAACACTTACATAGACTTCATTTCATAGCTAATTAAATAACTATTCCAATGTTCCATTGTTGCCAGTAATTGCCGAAAAACAAATCCACAGCACTTCAATGGTGGCATCGATGGGAAGCTTGTTCATAGGGGAGCCATGCTGTGTACCAATAGTATGTAAAACTACACGCTGACTGACTTGGGGCTTGACATTGAAAAGGGATCCCCACTGTGTGTTCTTTATGTGCCGTACAAAAGAATTTTGAGCTATAATTTTAATATGTATTTGAAAAAGATATCTAATGCACAGGACTCCATCTAGTGGCTGCTCTGTCTTGAATGGTTTGCTCTCTTGCAGTGGGATATCAAGTATAATGGCATCATTCAAATGCTTCTATTTCAAGTCGTAAATGTCTGGTGTATATCAATAGTCCATTAGGCTCCCCCACTCTCTGTATTCAATGTACCGTAGAACTGAAGTCAGGTGTCAGCCTGGCTCAGGTAGCACTCTCACCTCTGTGTCAGGAGATTTTGGGTTCAAGCTCCACATCGGGACTTTGAATACACAGGGTCTAAGCTGAATCTCCAATGCTGGAAGAGGGAAGAGCGCTGCATTATCCGTCCTTCAGATGAGACATTAAACCGAGGTCTCATCTGCCTGGTCAGGTAGACATTAAAGATCCCCTGGAACACTATTCAGAAATAGAAAGGCGTTTCTCCCAGTGTCCTGACCAATGAAACAAGTACAATGCACATTCAGTGAACTAGAGAGAAGCAGAATAAACATTATAGAGTTGGAAAACTTTTTAAGAGACTGTACTGTGAATTTGGGATCCAAGTTTTTAAACCAAAAGACATTTAGGCTGAAATAGGGATGTTAATCAGTTTGTGGTAAAAAGAGAGACTTGCATTCTGTACGTTGGAGAATTCAAGGTCTGGAATGAGAGGTAAAGGTTCAAGCATTTATCGATTGCAGACAAACTTGGGAGCGATCCTTATTCAAGTCTGGAGCCCATTCATTCATGCATTATGGTATTGCAATTTCAAGTTAGAACGGACTCTGGTCTACCACTGGGAAACCCCAAGATTAAACAGCTATATTCACTAAACACGATGCAATAGAGGATTCATAATTTATGTTTCTGCTATGTAACTCAGGATGTAATTTCCGCATTGCAAAGTATATGAGCTCTCATCAGCCAGTGTCCCCCAGTCATGTGAATACCAAGGCCCAGCTTAAAAATTGCTTATCCATTGCCCTTCATTTTCATCTGTGTCAGTCTGGCTCAGTTGATAGAACTCAGGCCTCTGAGTCAGAAGGTTGTGGGTTAAAGACTCATGGGGTCGTGGTGCTTTGTCAGTGGAGTCCTGTAGCTCAGTGGTTAGTGCACTCGCTTTGCAAGCGAGAGACCTGGATTCGATTCCCAGCAGGGTGAAACCATGGGCAAGTTTCCTTACTCCACATGCCTGATAATAATCCCTCAAGAAAAAAACAATAATAAATTGGTCATTTCAATCCACGGCAGTTTGTGGGAGACTGTTGTGCACAAATGGCTGCTGCATTTCGCCCGCAAATATACAGTCAATTCTGTGAAGCGCTGTGAGCCGTCTAGAAGACGTGGAAAGTGCTATATCAAATTCAAGGATTACTATTACTTGTCAAAGGTATTGTCCTTCAGGTGAGACATTAAACCGAGGTCCGTCTGCTTGTTTTAAGTGGACGTTAAAAAACACAGTGAGATTGGGTAGGCAGCTCAATGATCTTCAATGGTATAGTATTCATAACTCTCTGCAAAGATATTGTTACAGCTCTGGTCCAGGCAAACATACACAGGATTTTAATGCATAATAATCCTTGTATCTGATATAGCACTTTATCACGTTGTTGAGATGTCTCAAAGCATTGCACAGAATTTTACCGTAATGTGTAACGACTCGCAATTTGTAGGCAAATGCGGCAGCCCGTTTGCGCAGAACAATGTCCCCAGCCAACCATGGAGTGAATGAACAATTTTACCTGTTGATTTGGTAGTAAAATAAATCTCCGCTTAAGATGGAGGCTGATTTCTATCGCTGCTGATATTATTTCTATCAAGTGGAAATAAGAGTTGCTTTATTTGAACACAGATTCATGTGATCAAACCTGCCTTGCTATAACCCATCCCTCCCAATTTTTTAAAAATAGTTAAATTTAGAGCATGCCAAAATGAAAAGGAAAACAAAGGTTAACCAACAGCACAACATTATGTTTAACACACCTGTTCCTGTGGTCTGCAAGTTAATGACAGCATTGTTGAGTACAAATTACAGTCATTTAACTGACAAAGGAGTAGATTTAGCTGATGGAAGCCTCTGTGGACTGTTAATATTATTAACGTTGATGGAAGAAGCATTGGATTATAGTTTAGCAGCTGCTAGTTTATTTAAAAAAAACAAGACCACACAGTAAATCAGTGGGCATAAATATAATGATCCTTGCATTTGATATAGCGCTTTTCACGTCTTCTAGATATCTCAAAGCGCTTCACAGAATATACTGTAAAGTGAATTGTTTGTATATTTGTATATGTCTATACAATGCCAATTAACCATATAACATTCTATATAATTTGAAGTAATGATTCCCTCCCCAGCACCCATCTTTAAGCAAGTCTTCCCGCCAAATTACGTAAATGAATCGGGGTTGCTCATGCCAAAAGCTGTTGTTAATTTAAGTACCACTGAATTAACCACGGTGGTTAATTTAACCAAGTGACAAGAAGGCAATGGTTTAGTATGATCTTTCCCCACACAGGGTTTTGCATGTATCACAGGAATTATTCCTTGTCAAGCTAGGAAAGTAATAAAGTCATATTAATCCTCGAATTTGATTTTCCCCTTTTTTACATCATGAAGATTTACTGTATTGGATAGTGAATATGTGTTTGGTGGGCGAATGCGGCAGACAGTTTGCATACAGCAATGTCCCACAAACAGCCATGGAGATGGTGACCAATGTTATCTGGGGGATTGTTGGACACAATACTGAGAGAAACACCCTTCTCTTTTTGAGTCGTGCTAACGTCCACCCTAGATGGCAGGCAGTCTTTAGCTTAACATTTGATCTGATGGACAGCACCTCAGACAATACAGCGCTCCCCCAGTACTGCATTGAAGTCTAAGCTTAGACTGTGAGCTCCCGACATGGGGCTTGAATCCACAACATTCTGACTCCGGAGTAGTACCAGCTGAGCCAGGCTGATATCTTTGATAAAAGGTGCAGAAGCCAAATGTAGAAAAATGACTCAGGGAAGGAGACACAGAATAAGAATGCAGTGGAGCGTTGTGGTGAATTCAGAGTACTTGAACCCTTTAGTTATGCACAATGCCATAACACAGCCGCAGTGTGGAATTTCCTCTTCTCATGGCTTCTCTGAGTGAGACTGCTAATTTAAAAGCAATTGATGTCAAATTATAGAGGTTTGTGCTGTTCACTCAGGCAAAAGTCTTTCTGCTGTCTATCAGCCTTGGCTGAACTCAAACCGAGGTCCCCAGATGTGAATCAACAGTGTTGCAATTCAATGGACTATTCCGAGATTCCATGATGTTCATGTTTTGATACTTTGCTCAGACTGAAGACTGAGCCATCATCCATCCATACTGGAGTTCTGTTCTGTCTGAGATCAAGTGGGTGAACAGCTTCCTCAACGGGATCTTAGTTGCGACCAAGAGAAATATTGGAAGATGAGTTGTCTTACGTGAAAGATGTGGTGTTAACACAAGTTGTTGTTGTTGCTCCCGACATGGGAATGCTTGATTCAGACCCTGAGTGCAAAAGAAATCTCCATTTCTTTAGATCAATCAAATGAATGAACAAAAAAAATGATCAGACAATTTGATAATCTATAATACTCATTTTTTTACCAAGCGGGATTTACAGTGCAGAGCAAAGATACAATTGTAATTGTCTCATAAATTTATTATCATTGTTCAGCAACCAGATGAGCTGGAAGAGTATCCATTAGTAACCCACAGCTCTGTCTATTTAAGATTGAAAGGATCATTTTCTTCTGTAAGGATATTTGATTATATATCCTAAAATCTGACATTTTGCCAGCGTCCTGCTCGCTTGCCATTGTTCTGCATGGATTGAAACAAAGAATTACAGCCAGAATTAACATTGCTTTGCATACTCCAATTTTCCTCTGTTCTATATCTTTTCAAAGCATCTTATTGCTGTTTGCAAAAATGAAGTGTGGAGTATTGAGAACTACAATTAGATCAATAATATGAAAATGATAACCCTTCCATTAGATGTAGCGCCTTTCACATCGGAGGACGTCTCAAAGCACTTCACAAAATATACTGTAAAGTGAAGTGACTGTGTGTTTGCAGATGCAGGTAATTCAGCTACCTGGCAGAATTGGTAGTGTAGCCACTACATTTGACTGTGAGGCACTTGGATGTTATAGGTACTATATCAAATGCAAGCACTATTATTAATCTACAATCTGGAATGAGATTACTGCCTATTAGTCACTTCCGTTTGCCCACTCTGCCTTGCTTAGCGTTTAAGAAGTAGTCTTACTCTCGCCTAATCATCTCTGCTTTTCACATCAAAACATATTTATTCAAAAGACATTTGCGAGTGACCTGGGCCCTCATAGTGGTTCTGTATTCAAGCCAAAATCAGGACGTGCTCTGTTAAATTATTTGCTGATTACCGATCAGAAAAACCATCTGTCTTTGAAGCCCGCTCACAAGCACTGAGCCAAAGGCAACTGTGCAGAACAGCTGTAAGTCCCTAAAGTGGAAAAAGTGGAGTAGAGGTTTTGTTCTGTTGTTTTGGAAATATGAAGAGAAGGAAAGACAATGGGAGTCCATCTCATGCTCACTGCTAAATATAACCATCCTCTTGCAGACAAAACATTGCTGTTTGAGGATTCAGTGTGAGATAGACCAATATTATAAGCTTTGTTTCCTGTCAAACTGCTTCCTGAATTCCTAATGAAAGGATTAACATAGCAGTGTTAAACCAACCGTTTGTTTTCAGTATTGGGCGTTGCTTTGCCTGGATTTGATCCCGATCGGAATCACTTTCCATCTTAAATTGGATGAATATAAATATCTTTATTTTATCAGGGTTTAATGCAAAATGAGGAGCAAGACCTCTGGCTCAGTGCCAGGGTGTAACACATTCTCTTGTCTCAGCTTCATTTACAGAGCATGCAGTAATTACTGGATCCAATAACACTGTGGGTTGAAGAATCGTAGATTGCAGCATAGAAGGAGTCCATTTCTATTCATTTTGCCGTACTTCGAATAAGACATTAAACCGAGGTCTCGTCTGTCTGTTCAAGTGGATGTTAAGGATCACATGGTGCTACTCGAAAAGAAATGTGAATTTCTCTTTCCCAGTGTCCTAGTCAGCAGTGCCCCACATAAAATGAGTCAGTCACTCTCTGTGCTGTTTGTAGAACATTGTTGTGCGCAAATTGACTTCCATGTTCACCTTCAAAATACACAACCACTACAATCTACAGTAAATCCTGTGGGGCGTTTTGAGACGTCCTCACGATGTGAAAGGCGCAAAATCGAAGGATAATTAGCACTTTATTGCTTTCCCAGCTTTCCACAGAACACGGAGATTCTGTGTAAATTAATAAAAACAGGTCTATTAACAACATATGTGGTGTAGGTTCTGTTCTGTTCCCACTTCCGATTTATTGTGCTGCAGGGCTGCAACAACCACAACAAAATTATATTTGTATAGCGCCTTTCACGTCGGGAGGACGTCCCAAGGCGTCCCAAGGGCGTTCTCTTTAATATAGTTTGAATCCAGGCCAAGTTGATTTTTGAGAGAAATGCCCCTCGGCATTCTTTCTGCTGAGATGCCTTCCACCCACTGTATATGGGGAGGTGGGGACAGCAGCTGAACTAACCCCAGTTCCCCTCGTATATCACCTCGTTCTCTGTGCTTCCTTGAAGACTGCGGAGTGTGCGCAAGTGCCTCTAACTGTTTGTGGTGTGTGTGTGTGTTCCCAACACTGGATCAAACTCCTGCTCACTCAACTCATTAACTGCCACACTCGCTTTACTTCACGTCCATTACACTCCGTGGAGAGCAGTGCTTCTCTCCAACTGCAACATCCTATTAGCTGGTAGATAGGTTTTGGGGTTGGGAGGCTGAACCCCCTTTGGTCCTAGCCACCCGCCACCTAGGTGTCTCTTGAGATTGTCAGAATTGATTCAGTCACCGGCTCTGATCAGTTCGTGCCATCATTGAGCTTCCATCATTTATAAGAATGTTTAGAGACACTGCAAGTTGATCATGGCTCTTTGAGTCTCGAGTTTAATTATGGTGTCTGTTTGTACTGTGGAGAAATTGATTTAAATACGATCGATATCTGCATTGGAGAAGCATGGGTTTAAATAGACAAGATTTATAATAATCCTTTCATTTGCTATACAGCACCTTATGGCATCATCAGGATGTCGCAAAGCACTTCACAGGATTTACTGTAAAGTGTTGTGTAATTTGTAGACAAACTGGCTGCTAATTTGCACACAACAATGACCCACAAACAGCCAGGAATAGAACGCTCATTTTTTTATCTGGAGGATTGTTGGCTAGGAGACCGGGAGAAAGAAATTCCCGTCTCTGTTCAAGTATTTCGTTGGATTCTTTAACGTCCATCTGAACAGACAGATGTGGCAAAGAGGGAGGAAAGCAATACTTGATCAGAGCTCAGATTGTTAATTATTGATTATTGTCGTTCTATTATTAATTATCAGATGATTGTTCGGCTCTCACCTCTCACTGTACACTTGTTAATGTTTTGAAATATTGTTCATTTCCAGCATTCATACTTCAGACAGTCAACAGGAGTTCTTCAGGATGTTGGATGAGAAAATCGAAAGGGTAAGATTTCATACTGATTTTAAAAAAAAGCTCTCTTTTGGAAACCTGATCAACTGTTAACTTTGAATGAGTTTTGAAGTTAAGCCTTTCAAAAATCATTAAAAGCACAGATCGTTAAGCAGATGATCCATTAACTACTCATCTTAGGTTAGTAACTGAATAATCAGTGGTGTTCTGGCTGATAGTGCTCTAAAGTGCAGTACTGAAGGGTCTGTATGTCAAGGCAGAAGATAACACTGTGGTGGTAAAGTCTAATTTATAGGCTGAGTTCAAGCACACCAGCTGTGTATAGCAGAAATAAATATAGCCTTAGTTTCATGCTGGCTTAAGTTGTTGCCATTGTATATGTAACTGATACAATTTAAGGCTGGGACACTATGGTTACATATGTTCCAGTTGATGGCTTTTCTCTTTATTTTTCGGCCCATTTTTACAGTCAGTATCACGTAGCAATGAAATCGCTCCTGCTTTGCTTCTCCCATGTGTGATCTTTTTGTTGAGAGAATGTCCCGACAGCAATTAACGGATGATGGTTAAAGGATGCAATGTGCTGTTAAACGGTACCTCACGTCACAAGTGACAAATGAATTATGTTCGAACAGAAATAGAGAAATTAATGAGTCCCAACTGATGATACTCCCACCTCAGTAAAACAGCCTGGAACCTGCATTACTGAATATGACAAACCATTTCACATATCCCATTTTAGCTGACTAGAATCTAGCTATCAGGAAAAATAATAGTGGTAAAAGAAAAGTGAGGGCAATATTGGTTTAGAATTTTTGAACTTGAATGAACACTGTCTGGCTGCTGAGTGGAACCCTCTTAAAAAGCAGGAGAAATTTCATTGGAGTAGTATTTCTGCGCAAAAAGAAAAAAAGTGCTGGTTTGCTTCAGAAATTCTTGCCGTGCCTCTTGGTCTCTCTGTGATGAGCAGGTATATGAGACTGGATTGGTGTGGTTTACTCTCTTGTTTAAGGGAAGATCACGTCAATTGTAGGGAGGCTGCTTAGAAACATCGAATCTGCACTGGAGAAGGAGGCCATTCGGCCCATTGAGCCTGCCCATTGATCACACTGCCCAGCCTTATTCCCATACCCCTTCAAGCCCCTATCTTGAAGACATAATGAGCGATGCTGTTGTGGAACATTGAGAAAAGCTGGAACAGATGAGAGATGCTCAGCACTGTTTTGTGAAGGTAGTACCAGGTCGGACTAAATTGATTGAATTCTTTCAAGAGGTAACGGGATTGTGGATGAAGCGAGATGTGATACTATGCTGCTTATTTGGATTTTAGGAAGGCGTTCGATAAGGTTCCACATAAGAGATTCATGTCCTGAATTATGGAATAAGTGGAAAGCTAGATAGCAAAGTGAATGGAAAAAAGGTTTAATGACTGGTGGCAGGGAACAAAAATCAAGGGATGTTTTTCCGATTGGCGGAGAGTAGTTAATGGTGTACACCAGCGATCTCTCTGATTCTCTATATTATATTTCTCTCTCTCTATATATAATATATATAACTGAAAAACAAGTGGGTGTGGATTCTATTCAGTGTTACTCCTTTGACAAGGTTGGCCATAAATGGGATTTCCCATTACAGACACGCTTCACCAAAAATGTCTGTAACACTGATTGAAATTTATACTCTGGGGTCTTTTATCATGTAAATTTCAGAATGAACTCCCATTCTAAAGTGAATTGACTGCATGCAAACATCACAACCAGACATGGTCCTGGATTTAAATACAGCATAGTCATTTGCTCAATTACTTGTATGTTGATGTCAATTAAATACTTTGAATATGACCTGGTTTGGGGTATTAAATGAAGTGTATTTTTGTTATTGAAATAGAGAGGATTAATGTATTTGTATATGTTATCTTTTTAGGGCCGAGACTATTGTTCAGAAGAAGAGGATGTTACATAGTGCCAATCCCCGTCACACAACGTATGACGACCACTGTGTAAATAGACTGAAGCCAGAACCAGTATGTTCAAGTGACTGCAAAAGGCATTACATTGGAAGGTGGAAGCCTTTTGGCATTGCGTGTTATGAGACTTACTCCTCCTTTAGGATGAACATGCAAGCAACGCTGAGGACTATCAATCAACTTTCTCTTTGCTGCTAAATCATTTCCTTTTGCATTTTCCACTTTTCTTGCCCCGCAAGTTCCCAACTCTGAATGTTGCCTCTAACTTCGAAGAAGGTTGCCGACATCGTTAATGGGAAGTGTGTCCGGAAAAGGCCGTGTGGTTGGCTTTATATTGCAGTCCGTGATCTTGAGACACAAGCTTTTCTCCGATAAACTTATGAGCCTGTGAAAGACTTCTGTCAGATCTTGTGATTTTCAGTTTGATCCTACCGTAGAACACTACTTGTTCTTAATTTGTTCTTCAATCGTGTCTGGAGACAGTGAATGGATGAAATGTGTAACCAGCATTCAAAGGGCATGTTGCTTTCTACGAGGACACTCGTGTCCAATAAACCCAACACGGGGGGACACCAATGCACGATAGAAAACATTTACTCTTTCTGTTGGAACTGACGAGCACCGATCCTGCCCCGAAACAATAAAACTTACTGTTCCAGGCGCTGGGTGACATGGTTGCTAGTAGCAGATAATGGTGTTCCCAATGACGTTTCGAATTTTTTTTTCTATTAATAAAAAACATTGTAGTTTCTCCCTTGTGTTATGTTGCTTTTCATCTCGGGATCATGGAGTTGCTATCGGGTAGGATGATGGAGAGGTGTTTCTGTTTGATAGGATTCTGCGACGCTGACCTCAATGGATCACACAAGCAACCTGACAACAGCGATGAGGCGGGACTTCTGTGGACACTTTGGAAACATTGGGATATCCGTCAGCGATCTAAATACAGGTGGGGAATCGTCTTGCTGAATTAGTCAATCCAGCTGAAAGGTTAGGAAGACAGACGTATAATAATCAATGCAAGAACAAACAAAACATCTAATAGTTACCACGTGCCCCGACAAAGGGCTTTCAGCACCTTTGGAAGGTTTGTAAGCCTTCATTGCCGGAGTTTGAACATAGCCTGAGGCTCTTGTTTTCTGACCAGGGACCAGTCAGGTTCAATCAGTGTCTGTCATTGCTTAAGATGCCCAATATTTGGATTTTCTGCAGTGAGGAAGTTGGTCCGTGTATGTCAGTTAAATGCTTAGAGTGAAGTCAGCTTGTGCTGTCTCCTCCACTGAAGTTATCGCCTTCAATTCCAATCCCTTGCTTTCCTCCCATTCCTGTTTTACATTGTTTTATAATAACAATAAATAATCCTTGCATTTGATATAACGCCTTATCATGTCGTTGAGACGTCTCAAAGCACTTCACAGAATATACTGCAAAGTGATGCATTTTGTGGGCTAAACACAGCAGCTAATTGCATACAGCCCAGCCTTTCAAGCCTTGCACTGTACTGTAACCTCTTATCCCTTATTACATTATTTTTGTGAATGTATACTGTGTTAACTCCGTAGCTCTCATGTCTTTTTTTTAATATAATGATATGGCTAGAACTGCACACCGTATCCTCGCTGTGACCTAACCAATATACATAATCTGTGCCTTCGATATTGTATCTTAGCACCTGATTGACATTTCTAAAAAAAAACCTTCACAGGATTTATTGTATAATTTAGTGACTGTGTAATTGTAGATGAATGGGGCAGCCAATTTTCACCCATCAACATCCCACAAACAGCCATGAACCGAGTGACAACTTTAAGCGCTCTGAGATGCTACCCCTAATGAAGGGCGCTATATAGATGCAAGTTGTTTCTGCTTGATCTGGGGGATTATTGCTTTTGTATTCAGTACCTCTATCAGTAAAACCTATAATTCTGTTTGCCTTTGTTTTAAGTATTTGTATCTTTATGGACAGATTGGAAGAAAAATGTCAGAGACAGAGAGACGGTACCAGATACACTATTAACATTTGGGTTCGCAAAGGGAAGCAAACCAGTAAGAGCAATTTACAGAGGAAGTTGATCGAGGAGGTAAAGCCAGGCAACGGTAGAAATGTGTGTGTGCTGCAGCCATTGGAGAGATTCAGAATGAATGGAGAGAGGATAGATAGCTTTATGTGTAAAGATGAGACCATTGAAAGTCTCACAGACGTCTTTGTTGCAGAGTCTGCAGCACGCTTGCACATCGATCTCATTTTCCACATAGGAATTACTGCTATCGTCTTTGATAAATAAGCCAGTGCCGTTGCTACGGCAACAACCTGAATTGTTCCAAGCTGTTCCTGCACAGCGACTACCCATCAGCTCAGCAGAATACCTCAGGGTTAATTTAAAAGTCTGCTGTTTAACATACTCGTGTCCCTATATTGGTGTTTCCTTTTTAAGCTTGTGTTTCAGGTGGATAGGAAATGTGGGGAGAGATCAGCAGTCTGGCTCGGTGTCTTAGAAAAAACTGTTGTCATTTGTTATTCTTTCCCCTGCTTGTTGGATTCGAAAAGCCACGAAGAATTAAAAGCTGGCTTGATCTGAGCCAACATTTACCTGTCCCTGGTTCAGGGAAGGGCAATTAGCCGGGACACCTCGTTAATATCCAGTCACAGTGCTGGAGTGTGTGTAAGGTGAGGTCAGGATCAGGCTTCTGTTTCGGTCAGCTTGGGTGTCTGACACATGCAGAAACTCATCACTGTGCTTAAGGGTATCCAAGCCAAGCTGCGAATTCCATGCATCCCACCTACACATGGAAATACCAGAAATAGGATGTTGGAATGGAATCCGCACTCTCTCCCTGGAGGCGTGCATCCTGCTTGCCTATTTTGGAAAATATTAGGCGCAGGTTGGCAAGAGCCAGTGCTTGGGGACCCCAGATTACTGCTGGTATCTAACCAGCTAAAACCGCACAGTTTGCCATTGATATTGCTATCCAGCTTTCCTGCTGCCTGTCCAGCTGGGGCCACCCTGCCTGTTAGGGCTTTGGTTTGAGGATTAACAGGAGTTGAGTGGGATGACTTTGTGCCCCCAATGACTGGTCTGCCCTTCCAGGTCCTGCTGATAAGCCAGACTGGCTATGCTGTCATTAGCAGTGCCCTGGAATACTACAGACCCACCTGGCTCAAGAACTGGACTACTGAGACCCCCCCCCATAGAGGCTGGCTTGATTCTGATATTCCATTACCAGGCATATCATAAGAGACTCTGCTTACCTCCCCACAAGGAGGATAGTCACTAGGATTGGGCTGAACACACACACCTCAGGTACGCTTTAAATTTCCTCTTGAAGGATGCTGCCGAAAGTCCCTGCCTTTAAGCGCCAAAAGGAATTAGCACTTGGGGTGAGGCATCTTAAGGCTCAATAGTAAAAGCAGGAGAGGAAAGAAAAAGATCCTGACCTGCGAGCAATTGTTTTTGGCAGAGCTGAGACGAGAGTCCAGTGGAAAAGCTAATGCAGTCTCCATGGTGAAACTGGTTGCTTGCAGATTCAAACATATTTACAGCTTTTCAGACAAAGCTTTATGCTATTAATAGATTGGGACACTAAGAGCAGGTGCTGCTGTGCAGGTACTGACTCCTACATAGGCAAACAGCTGGTTAGTAATGCGTACAGGTTACAAGCAGACAGCAGAATAATTGACACGGCATATGTCAATCATCTGGGAGCGGAGTGGCATCTCACAGTGTTATTTACTTTACCCCAAGGTAAACATTGCCAAACAAGGTGTCAAGCTCCAGCAAGAGAAATAAAATGCTGCCTTTATTACCAGCACAGTCTTACAGACTGTTTTTACAAAGAGAACATTCGCTTGTTCAAATATTCCTTGAGAATTACTTCTGTACAGATTTGCAACAATTCAATTCTGGTCAGAGGTAATGTCAAACCCTCCCTACCCTCTCCTTACCCTTTCCTTCCCTCCCCCCCCTTCCCATTAATCACAAGTCTCACTGATAATAGCCACACACAAAGTTATAATATTTATAATAGCCATACACACAAAGGTAGAACATTTGCACATTTGTTGCATGGTGAGTGTTTACTTTTTTTGTCACTAAAAAACCTTTAAGTTGCAATTTATTACAGCAACTTTGTAATGTTTCATCCTGTGGTTTTTATCAACTGAGCCATTGAGTGAAAAGGGGGTGATTTAGCCAGGCAACAAACAAGATCTCATTTTCCTCTCATGGTTTCCTCTCTGTGCAGAAAATGTAACCTTATGGCAATCGTTGTCAGTGGAAATTAGACAAATACTCCTTCTCTGTTCCAAATTAGCTAATGTTTCAGTGTAACCTGGTTAATTTGGGTTGGCTCGTTTGTTTAATCTGTGCAGCCATTGAAACAGGATTGAGTAACGATTAGACATGACTGGGATCTTCAGTCATGAGAGGAGATGTATCAGAGGAGATCTTATTGAGGTAAATAATGTTTTAAATGGGATTGAGAAAGTAAACGCACAATAATACTCTAGGATGCACAAAGTCAGCAAAACAAGAGGGCACGGGGTTAAAGTTGCAAAGGGCAATTTCAGGAGTTAGTTTTCTTTACCCAGAGGGTAAGCAATAAGTGCAACAGGTTGCTAGGGAGGATGGTCCAAGGGCAAGACACTGGACTCATTTATGAATCAGAAGATTGATGCTGTGATGGGAGGGTGGTAGGGTGAGTAATTCTGGAAGGATGAGATCAGGTGGAACTGTTTCCCCAAACTAATCGTGAACAAGCCAGAATATTAAAATGGTTCCATTTTCCTGTACTCACCCAGCAGCACAATCACTGATGGGGGTATTTTTCTAAAAAAAATCACCAGATCACAAAATTGCGTTGGCCCATCAGATGTTATCGCTCCAGAACACCCACCCTACAGCTGCAGACATCCCCGTCACAGCACCAGGCTGCTTTCTAAATGAGTCCAGTGTCCTGTCCTTAACTTGACAACCTGTTCCAGTCGTTAATTACAATCTGAATAAGAATGTCCTGGCAAAATACAGAGGAGAGCTGTGCAAAGTGCAGTGTCACATATTGTCAGATGTTGACAATAGTCTGGGCTGTAGGTTGTGGTGGAGGGTGTGAACCAAAATCTAATCAGCAAAAATAACCCTTGCGTTTCATTTGGAGCCTTTCACATTGAGAAGAATATCCTATGAAGTTCAACCACTGTGTGTTTGTTACAATCTCACTCAAAAGGACAAGCCATGCACACAAATTAAATCCCCCAAAAGGCAAAAACAGTAGTAAGGGCAGGTTTGAAAATTCTAAATTATCCTAGCTTTGTGGCAACACAGGGACTAATTATCACAGCTTGGCCATGTATTAATTGTCATAGTTTTAGAGCGGAATGAATATTTCGCATGATTTGTTTGTTTTTGGTGCTTACATCTGTTTTGGTGTTTCTGTTATTATAGTTTGTTGTGTGTGTGTGTGTGTGTGTGTGTCCACAAACTTGTGGATTAGGGAAAGAGGACTGGGGTGAGATTGATAGTGAGAATCATTACAGTTTACAAAGCAGTCCTTAATATCTTCAATCCCTTGTGCCTTCCACCGAGAGCTGAGCGATATTCAAGTGTACGGATAGATGCGATTCTGTTGCATTGTCTACTGCCGTTGCTGTTGGCAACTGGAGTACAAAGAAGCTTTGCTGCTTCTCTTGATTTCTTTTGATCTATTTTATTTATTATCCAGGTATTCCAAGGCTCCCACACTCCGGAATACTCACAGGGAAGCTTTTCCCATGAAAGTTGCCCTTGTAGATTTTTTAAAATCCACACAAAAAACTTCAATGGATTTCAACTCAGATAAGAGGGGAGGGGGAGGGGGGATTTGTATCACTTGCTTCTCAAAAAACGACACCTCTGGGCAGCCAACAGGGATGCATTTTCAGCAAAAAGGTAAGACAAAAAGACCCCGGTTTGTTTTATCTCCGAGCCTGTGTAATGCTAATTGCCATTCTCAAGACGCACACAAGCTTTATATTTCAATCCAGGCAGAAAGACTAGGATGACAGACAGATCGTCTGCTATTTTTGAACCTTTGATTAACAGGTTAAGAAACAGATGGAAACTGGGTTACCTGGTCACAAAAAAAAACTTGTGTGCACTTTATTTTGTTGAAATCTCTGAAGACTCAAGTGGATGGAAATGCATCTGCTTTTGTTCTGGAAGATGTTCTGTTGATTGAAGTAGGGTACAAATTACTATGAAAGCCTGAATTGTGGTCAAGTAAACCGAGGTGAGGACATTTCCCTTTTAATTATTGAAAACCCTCTGGCTGACCCTTGATGGCTCATTAATTGATATGCCGTTTTTGCCAATAATAATCCTTGCATTTGATATCGCTCCTTTCCCGTTGGGAGGACACTAAAGCGCTTCACAGGATTTACTGTAAAGTGTAGTAACTACTTTGTAAGGTGAACAGAGCAGCCAGCAAAGCTCCACGATGCTTACTTTGGTGCTGCACCTCCAACCACAACGCAAGGCACATACATTTTTTTAAACAAAATTGCATTCAATGTGGCACATTTTTATTTGTGAATAAACCTAAATTGATCATTGTTACTTAAAGTGAATGCGGGTCCTGTTGGTCCAGTACTGTGAAACCTTCAAGCATTGCTGGCTAAACTAAATGCTCTTTATGTTGGCAGCATAAATTGTTGGCAGATTTTACATCACATTCTGCATAAGGCTGACAAGGTTACAAAGCTCCAGTTGTAAGCCAAAGTCTTCATAAACCAGAAGAAAGTTCAAGTCCCTCACCAATGTTTACTGCTGATGTTTGTATAGAAACAGTAGATTACAGGGCGGTGCACTGAAAATACTTGGTTGTATCAAGTGGTGGTGGTTGGAGAATCTTGCAGTTACCAAAGGCATTGTGATATCCTGAGTATAAATAGGGCCAGTCTTTGTAAAATGCAATCCAATTGCAAGGATTGTTATCATTGTATTATTTTTACGATCCAAGTGAAATATACTGTTTTTAAATTACTGTAGAAATGTGTTGTGGCTTAAATATTGCATGGCCCAGTCTTAGGATATATTTTGGACTTCAATCCAAGGTATTAGGTTTGACCTTTTGCCTTGTGCAATACTTGGCGAAACAGCACTCATGCTCTGGTTATCGCTTCCCTTCTCGCACTTATGAACTTGCCGAATGCTCATCAGATCATTGCTGGCCTTTTATAGTTGCTCTTGCTCCATACTTCACAGAATATATTGTAAAGTGAATTATAATAATAACAATCGTTGCATTTGATAGTGCTTTATCACATCTTCGAGAGTCTAAAAGCACTTCACAGAATATACTGTAAAGTGAATTGCCTATATTTTGTGAGCAAAACGCAGCAGCCAATTGCGCAAATAGTCGTGGATTGAAGTGACCAATTTATTATTTTTTTTGAAGGAATTATTACCTCCGCGAAACCGATCTGCCAATCGATTAACAACCGGGTTCCTGCTTACTGCTGAGTAAATAGAGGTGCGTGGAGTGGAGTAAGGAAACTTGCCCAACATTTTCCTTTGGCAGGAATCAAACCCAGGTCTCCGCTTGCAAGGCAAGTGCACTAACCACTGAGCTACAGGACTTCACTGAGTGTGTATTGTGTGAGCAGCCAATTACGCCTAGCAGTTAAGTTGAACAACAACACGTCTGTAATTTCAAAACAGAACATGCCTCACCAGAAATTCAAAGGGGGTTGATGCGCTTTTGATTCCTGCAAGCTTTCTTTAAAATGCGTCTTGTTCATTTATTGATAGCATGTTCAAATGTTTTGATTCAACTCTGTCTCAATAGGCCTCCAACACACAGGTAGCCCCCTGCCAGTGATACTACCCCACATTTCATCAGTGCAGACTTCATACATCAATACTCGTTCACTTATACATTTTGAAAATACTGATGTTTGAGATTGGAGTAGAAAATATATTTATAGTAAGTTTAAGACTGGTCACATTTACAATCAAGCTCAGAGAGTGATGCAGTAAATTATTTATTTGTGGTGATTTTTAAATGTTCATCCCTGCCCCTAAACTGTTCTACCTACCCCACTCCATCCCTGTGCCTTCATCTCAGACCTCCCCTCACCCTTGCCACCTTCAAGGCCCTTCTCAACACCCTCTTCTTCTACTGCACCTTGATCACCCTCTTACCCCTAGCCTCCAGATCTCAGCTTGCGTACAAATCCATTGCTATCCAGCGCCTTGGTATGTCCTTCTGACGTGAAAGATGTTATATAAATGTAATTTGTTGTTGAATGAGATAAGACCCATTGTATTTACATTGTTTATTAAATCTTTACAATCAGAAGTAATCACAGTAATCAAATGCACAAATATGTACAGTGATCATATCTACAAAATTAACCAAACTTTTACATCACAGCTTACATTTTACAGCTGTCCAACCTCATTTACAGGGGTTTCTGAAGACGCACATACCAGTTTGCAGGAAGACACTGGACCATAGCATCTACTGTGTGAACTCTACACTCCCACCAGGACCATCTGCTTATCACAGAAATGCTTACGATAATATTGGGAAGGAAGAGATTTCAATCTTAAATTTATTTCAGCTTTAAACCTCGAAGTCCTTCGCACACCCCCCATTTCTTTGTAGTTAGGGGAGAATTTGTACTTTGAAGATTTGGACTGTTGTGTTTGCACATCTAGATTAAGGTATGTCCGGTTTCTTAGGCTATGCACAAGATGTTCAACCATTTCAAAGGTGTCAGTGTAATCAGATTGTTTGTTTATGAAGCAGAAAAACCCAAAGGCAGCGCCACCTCCTGGCCGCCATTGGTAGGCCACCATTAGATAAACTATCCTAACATCCCAGAAAGCTTTCTTCAATATAAGGAGGGGTTAAGAAAATGGCAAACAGTTTTAGAATAGCTGGAGTGATCTCATAAAACACAGCCAGGANGGGGGGTCNAAAAAAAAATCTTAATATGGGCACTTCTAACAGAACCGCACAGATAAAGCATCAATTACAATCTTTATGTTGAGAAAAGGTGAGCAACATCTCACGGTTTACTCACCTTTCACATTAACTTGCATAAGGATTCCTAATTTCTTGTCACATTGGACTGTTATAAGCCTGATAAGTTTGTTATTCTAGGTGCACGAGTTCCATTTGCCAGCAGTAAATAGTTAGTTGTGCCCAAAGAAGAATCTCCAATAAGAAAATTTTGCTGAAGTATTTTCTCTTACTTTGCAATAGAATTCAGCTATGCCAAACTGGTATTCAAGTTTATCCTTTCTGTGTTGAATGTACAAACAAACATCTGCCAACACCAGCTTCCAATTATCATGGAATTACAAGACAAACAGATGTAACATGTCAACAGCAATTGGTCCCTTACAGTGAAAATGTGCACAAGTATAGACTTGTTAATTGTTTACTGGGTTAGTTACTCTCATATTGTAGAATAGTGATGTTTTGAACTAATAAAGTACTACCAAATAGCCAATGTATTATTCAAATTACACAGATCCTTTTTAAGCAAGTTAAACCCCTCTGAAAACCGCAGTGGCATTTCTGCACCATAAGAAATGAAAAGTTAGAATATTCAAGGAATTCAAACATCTTTGCATTTTTTTTTATTGTGCGAATTATGCTTTGTAAAAATTATCTACTTTTAAACACTAAACTGACATGAAAGGATGTGCATATTTTTGCAACGTGCAAAGGAATTTGGGTCCTGATAGGGTTCGTTGCTAGCCCGAGAAGGTTTTCATATAGAGTTCAGAAATGAATCCAAACTAAGAAACTTTCATGGATCAAGTCCTGAGATATCTGTTAAGCCTTCATATAATCACACCCCAAAATATTCAACACTATTTGACAGTTTGAAAAGTAAGCAATGCTCCCCATCCCCATCTCATATACACTATGAAATACCTGTTTAACCTGTAGATTTGCTTAATGTCAGTTTGGTCAACTGCAAGTCTGGTACTCCCAAAATAACACGCTTAAACATCTCCAGTTACAACTTCTGAGAATGTACAAAAGCAGAGCTTTGGCTTGTACAATATTACCCTTTTACTGGGGGGGGGGGGGGGAGAGAAGACGAGCAGGTTGAGAGGAATAAGTGTATCACCCACAAATATACAGTCAATTCACTTTACAGTATATTCTGTGAAGCACCTTTGAGACGTCTAGAAGACGTGAAAAGCGCTATATCAAATGCAAGGATTATTATAAGTGTATGACCAGAGAACACAGATGCAGATCGACCAAAGTGCAGGGGATCTCTTAGTACGTATCAGGGTACCACTGAGCTTCTAAGCTTCCCAATGCTCATCCAATTGGGAGCAACCGATTGGTTATGAACTTGGCTCCGAGTCCCAGGTCAATCGGGTCCTGGGGGAGTGTACCCCATTCCTGCACCAGACAGCTGATTAAATTCCACTCTCCCTTTGCTAGGTACATTCACCCAGAGAGCCCATTGATATTTTCACCCACGCCCAAAGTCTAGCATGTTCAATGCACTATGTCCTCATTGGTCAACACTCAGCAATGCGTGTACTGTAACTTCAAGAGACAAAAAGCCATAGTACAGCATCATTGAAATCAATCCAGAGAAATAATTGGGAGAAACAAACCTCAGGTCCACAAATGCTTTCCATGCTAGTAATTGCACATCTGATGTCCATTCTCTGGAAATACCCAGAGAGCAGGAACGCATCCGGACACTCTTCCAGTGAGAAACCAGCAAGGCATCCAAACCCATCAATCAATCAGCTGTTTCCATCCCTAGTCTATAACGACAAATTTGCTTGCAGGGAAGAATTACGTTAGTGCCACAGACTGGTTTAGTTCACTGCAGAGGATCCCACAATTGTTAAGAGTGGCAAGTGCAATGCCGTGACAAATGTATGAGCTGTAATATCATCTGGAATAAAAGCCAATAAACAAGGTGGCAGCCAACCTGCCTGGAAAATGGTTTAAAAAAAAGATTTTGTAGCATATTCTTCACATCAGCAAAAGTTTTTTTCCCCCCAATATGTAAAACAAAGTCACTTTGTTGTAAAGTAAAACAACCTGAATGATTCCCATTTCCCAAGTGGGAAGAACGAATTTACAGGTTCCTGCAAACTGCCCAGCTTTTGATCGGATTCACGAAGAAACATCAAAACAGGCTCCTTTTAAATAAAAAAAGATTTTTTTGAAACAATGCAACACAAATCTCTCTCAGACTACTTTAACCATTATCTAAAGTGATAGCTGACCAAACTGCATTGTACTGTTGAACTTCAAACAAGATGTACAAAAAGTCCTAGCTTTTACAATGCAACTTTATACAGTATTTTCCCCAAATAGGTCTATTGCAAATCTCTGGAGAAATACCCTGCTGCTGTGTTAGGCATAAAGACTAACATCCAAAACCGATTTTTAGACTAACCATTTCTTTGGAGTATGTTTTGTGAGATGTTGTTTTACAATTTGTGGGATTGCTGCCATCTGGCGGCCAAAAGTCAGATAGACTGACACCCGTCCAACAGTTGGATGTGGTTTGGATGTTATGGCAGTAAATTGATCCAATTTAAAACCAATCACACTGAGGGAGGTACCTGAGAGTCTGAAACTTTGGGACCGACAAAAAAGACAAAATGTTGCCTACAAATTTCAAGACAGAAGGCCATTCAGGTCATCAAGCCTGCGGTGTATGCGTATCATATGTTGTTGGACGTTATATAAAACAATCTGGAAATGCTAGAATGGAATCAAGGAACAAGACTCAAAATGAGTAAAATATTGAGTAAGGTGCCAACTTTTAGGTTGTGCGAATTGTAATTTTTGTCAAAAGTTCTAAATTTTTAAACTATGACAAAATAACATCGCTATCTGTACCCAGTTTGCTGGGATGGTGCTGGTAGGTGTTGTCAGCAACACCTTTACTATAGGAAATATTATCAAAAATAATTCCAAACACCTCACAAAAGCAAGTAATGAAAGAGCCAAGATAATCAACTTGGACTAAAATCATATTCCTGTAATTGTGGGGAAGATGGATTTTAAGAAAAAAATTAAAACAATCTCATGCTCTGATATGATTAGCAGTCGCAGGAATGGAACAAAATCTACTGTAAACCAGTAATTCATACTGGTTTTCAAGAAATATATACTAAATTAGAATGCTGTGCTAGTTTTCAGCGAATGAAGTTTGTGTACGTGGTGGGTTAGGAGAGGCAGGGAAAAGAGATGGGGAAAGGAAAAAAATTATTCAGTGGGTTTATTTTCGCTGGCTGTTGGGGGAGAAAGAGTGAATTTCTTGAACTCCTTGAGATTTTTCACTCATCTAAATCCAAAGAGTACAGCGTCAGGAATGTGACCATTGCAGCCATTAACCTGACTTGGCACCTCCAGGTAAATCAACCAGTGATCCAGGCAGAAAGGGGTGACCATTCCCTGGTACGTCATTCCCTTTCCCCAGATGTGCGTTAATACAAACAAGCGCACACTTTAGACTGGTCAGCTGAATGTCACTGTGTACAATTTCACCCAGAATCTCTGTGGAACAATAATCCCAGAAAATAACTGTACGATTTATGGTCATAGCTCATCCTTATCCATCATTTCAAAGGCATCGATCTCTTCTTTCCAGTCCGACATCAGGGAATCTATTGTCCGAGCTTCTGTTTCCTGACTGATGTTTGGATTGGATTCTTGTTCCGGCTCCACCTCTGTCCCTTCCTTTGCCTGGTCTGAAGTCTGACCACAAAATCCCTGATTCTCTCCAGAGGTCTCATGGCAATCTGTCCTCCGAGTATCTTCATTTTGGACATCCCCACTTTCTGGAGACCCGTCAGGGGAAGCAATGAGGTTTTGATCGGTTCCACTCGAGGTCCTGGGGCTTGCCTGGGTTTCAGTGTCAGGCACAATAGATTGACTGCTGAAAACATACTCGCTTGGTTTCACGTTACAAGAACGCTCGTCATGAGAAGCCACTTCTTTTTGACACTCTGAAATACTCAGATCGGGGCCTGTGGACTCAACATCTTCCTCTGACTTCTGCTCCGAGTCGTCCATGTCCAAATCTAAAACAGGTTAAAAATAAGTATATTTATAAATAAAGCTACAAATCCAACATCACAATAAACAATATTACAAAAAGTACAAGCATGTTTGACTGTTCCTGACAGTGCCATTAATCGGCTGCTTTGGGAATGGGGAAGCAATGTTACTGGCAGAGGCCAGGATAGGTGCATGTCCCTCCCACCCTGTCCCCTCCAGCCTCCATTCTTTAGAACCTCTGCCACAATAGGAAGAGTCCAACAAAGTATAACATCACGTCTGTGACTTCTTTGTTCGTTCTTTCTTAAAGCTCTATACAAAGACAAATCTGACTCCTAACAGAATAGAAGCCCAGGTAGAGGGGTTTGTTCTGGCTCAACCTCAGCGAGCAGATTTTGTTTTAAGGAAAAAAGGTGATATACAAGTACACATACCAACGCACGTAATGCAACACAGGCTTCTAAAGGATTTAAATGAGAAACTAGATAAATTCTAGAAGCTAAAAGGTTTCAGAATTATCAAACAATGAGACAGATACACTGAAAGAATCTTTTGAGAAGCTGGATGGGCTGGCAAGATTGAGCAATGGTTTACTCCTGTCTGAAGCTGTTACTCTAATATGATTGATATCACTGGATGTACAAAAGCAAAACGACTTTGGCAGAGGTTTGCATCAGGTAGACAAGGATGGTAGAGGAAGCAGCAAGGGAAGAAGGAAATGGCACAGCAGGAAATGTACTGTGGAAATGGATACAAATCAAACAGTGGATCACAGTTACTGCTGTACAAAACATAGCATTTAAAAGAAAGCCACTTACTGCTAATGTAGTTTGCAATTCTTTTACCTTTAATGATTGTGGCTGTTATTTAATCCACACGGAGCAAAAGAAAAGCACAAATAATACAAGGGTTATAAAGAAAAATAATTATACTACTATCAGCAGTCTTTAACCACCATAGCATGAGCTGGATGTGACCTTTACCACTAGCTAAAGCAGCAATGTCCCCTATAAAGGAGAGAACGGCGAGTAACACAGCAGCTGGTGCCTGATACTCCCCAGTGTCAAGAAGTCTCGGGTTATACATTTCTTCCTACTCTTTCATCTTTACAGCTTTCTAGGGCAGAGCATTCCACGTCTTCACAACTCTCTGAGGGAAGAAATTCTTCTCGACTTCAGTTCTAACTAGCTTGGTTCTGATTTTAAGTCTCAGTACTCAAGAGAAGGTTATGTATTGACCCTTTTTCAGACACAATCACAAAGGGGAAAGAGGGGGAGAAGAGAGGAGAGGAAATGAAAACCTTTTTTTCTCTCTGCTGAGTCTATTGGCTCAAATGTTGTTCCTTTCATTGAACAAAGATTAAAAACACATCACCGTCCAACACTGCTCATTCACAAACCTAAGGATAAAGTAAGGTTGAGGGGAACAAGGAAGCTAACTTCTTCCAATAGCAATAGTAACTCAATCCTATGAATAAACCCAGGTAAATTACATTGAACAGCAATGACTTAAATGAACACGACAAAGTACTTCATCATTTACCCATTAAAGAGCAAGGCTTACCATCACTTGTAACTACCCCAATTTTCTATTTCTGTATTAAAAGAATCCTGAGATGGTTTATTAGCGTTGGTGCAAAACTTACTTCTGTCCTTAGCTTTATCGGACAGCAGGACCTCCACTTCCTGGTATTCCTGCATGGCGTCGAGGATAATGTTTCCCTCTTTATTGAAGAGGAAGAGCATTGGAATGGTGACGTCTTCAGTGTTCCTTCCATCGCCGGCCATTTGGAAGAGCGGTGCTGTGTCACTGCTACTTGCTTCGTTGTCATCTGTTCAGTGCAAATTCACATTTAGTCAAGGCAACAGCTTGTACCTGGCCAGGCAAAGAGTTCTCAATGTGGATCAATACAATCTAACTATCCCATACAGCTGAGAGCTGTCTTGATGAGCCAGTCTCTCAGGTCGCACGCAGAAGAGCTGAACGTTATCCTAAGCTGGAGGAGGTCAACACTTTACTGATCAGAATTTCAAACGGTCAATATTTATTATTACTTTAGAGGGGAGTTTTAAAAGTGGAAACGTTTTCATTAATTTACAGTCTATACTAAATCTGGTAATGCTTTGTTTCCATCTAAATTTGTTGACTTGAGGTTTATTGCTCAATGAGGAACAAGAGGACAAAAGCAAAACACAGACAGAGCATCTGCTGGGTCAAACCAAGTCAGCTCTTGAGTTGTGTGTTGTGCACTCCCCTAGCTCCTCAAGCGAGAGGACCCGGTTCGATTCCTGGGCATGGCAAAACCTAGGGCAAGTTTCCTTACTCTACACGCCTGTGTTTATCTAGCAGTAGGAACTCAATTGTTAATCAATTAGCGGATCGCTTTCCGGGTGCAATAACCTCTTGAAAAAATCACTCATTCCATGACCATTTGTGGGACCCTGCTGTGCGCAATCGGCTACCGCATTTTGGCCACAAAATACAGTCAATCCACTTTACAATATATTCTGTGAAGCGCTTTGAAACGTTTCAATGATTTATAAATTTAAATTTAAAAATTTATAAATATGCAAGGTTCAAAATACTTTTAAGCAGCGGGGATCCAAATTTGGTAACTGAGATATTAAGCAATATAACATTGCAATCAGCGAGAATCCAGACAAACGTGGCATCTTTGATGTACAGAATTTAGATCTAAGTGTATCTTGTTTGAGCCTTTTCAGTCATTTCAATGCAAAGTTCAAATGCCAATCCCTTGATTTTCACACATGAACATAATCCAAACACATGCTCTGTAATGACTGCACTTCTTACCCATCACGATGCCGCCAATAGCCCCAGCTTTCTGCGCATTCCGTGCCTTTTCTGCAAACATGCACTGGCCTCGCTGCATTAGGGCGATTTTGCCCTTCACTGATCCGGGGTTTGTTACCTCGGAACAGGCATTGTAGGGTTCAACCTTGGCAACAAATCCCCGCACCTATGGAGAACATTGGAATGAAAACAACAAATGTATCAATCAGCTTTGGGACAGTAAATGCTCCCTTTGCCTCCAATCCACAAGTGTCATTTTACAACAATAGAGGAGGTACTGATCTTAACTGCTTTAGCAACGATCTGTTGCCTTCCAATCCAATCCCAACAGAATAGTTTGACGTCTGCAAGATACTTTGGATGTATCAATTTATTCACCTGGTATATATCTTATACAGTAAACCTCACATAAGTCGTATCCGTTGGGGTCATATATTTAATATAACTTATGTAAAGTATGAATTATGTCAAACTTGCATAGAAATATAAACCTCTTGAACAGGATTTGGGCAGATGTACAACTGAGGAGATTATACGATTTATACAGATCAGACTTATGTGAGTTTTACTGTATATATACACTATATACACATACAAATCACACCAACATGTATACTGCTTATAAGAACCATTCAACTTCACAAGGAGGCGGGAAGGAAAAATACTATCGAATCTTCTTCCTCTCTGTCTAGTAAAAACACGTTTCATATCTATTCATGTCAAAGTGGGAGTCAATAGTGGTTGTGGAGTAGTCAATGGTTTAGAACAACTCGTCCAACTGAAGGCAATATTTCTATAGCAACACATATGCAACAGGCACTGAAACACCAAAGTTCAGCATTGCTCAGTAAAATACTAATAAAGATAGAGATTATAATTCAACAAGCCCCAGTTATTCAAAACATTAAACCCAAATCACCTTTTAATTTTTGGGGGGACCAAACATCAGTGTATTAATATTTTAAATTGACAAGCTCTTTGTTTAACATAAATGCAGATCATTTAGAAAGCCAGGTTTAGATCCTCTTTGGGCTTCACCTCGAAGGTCCACATGAAGACCTTTCTCTTCGACCGTGCCTTTGGTCACTTTCCTTCCCCCTCCCCCTGGCTCGGCGCCGGGATCCGTTACTGTGAAGCGCTCTGAGACGCCGTCCGGCATGGAGGGCACTATATAAATCCAAGTTGTTGTTGTTGTTATGGTTATAACAGACTCTGCCACAATTGCCCTACTTAAAAAAAAATTATTTGAAGCAGAGTAGATAATTTAAACGGAACTGAATGTAAATTTGGCTGATATGATATAATTGGCTGGCGTGTTTATATACAGTTATATACAAAATATACAGTTAATCCACTTTCCAGTATATCCTGTGAAGCACTTTGAAATGTCTCAACGATGTGATAAAGCGCTATATCAAATGCAAGAATCATTATTATTATTGTTATGTTGGGGCTTAAGAAACGATCTTTGTATAATTAATTGCATCTTATCTTGAACCTCATCACGTCAAAATGTCTTGGAAGAATTGTACATAGTAATTTACTCTGAACGTCAGGGTCTGTTGCTAGGTAAGCAATCCTCTGTCTCAGAGTCAATAATATAGTGAAAATGACACAACTTGCATTTACACAGCAGCTTCTGCACTAGCAATGACCTTTGAACTTCGGACATTTACTTTCAAAATACTGCAAGAGATTTGCTTTGGTACTTGGGTGGATACCCCTATAAACTGCAAACATTGCTTGCTTCTATGAAACGTACCGTACAGCACTGCGTTTCAGAAATGCAACTTAGAGGATAAAATATGGGAAATAATCATTTATCATAGACTTGGGAGTAATAATAATAATTATTATTAATTCATCTGAAGCCTGATAATTTTAACGCAGCATATTCTGAGTAACTCAAAATCGTATAAAGCCTAACACAGCAAGTTTCTGTGGAGTCCTGTAGCTCAGTGGTTAGAGCACTCGCTTTGCAAGTGAGAGACCTGAGTTCAATTCCAGGCAGGGCGAAACCTTGTGCAAGTTTCCTTACTCCACACAGAGCCTAATAATAATCCCTCCAAAAAACCAAAAACAATAATTAAATTGTCATTTTCAATCTACGACTGTTTGTGGGACATTGCTGTGCGCAATTGGCTGCCGCGTTCGCCCACAAATATACAGTCAATTCACTTTACAGTGTGTTCTGTGAAGCGCTTTGGGACGTCCTCCCGACGTGAAAAGCGCTATATCAAATGCAAGGATTATTATTATTATTTCAAACGAAACCATTTACTTTTATTCACTGAGCATTAATCAGCAAGTACTGCAGAAACAAAGCAAGTCGCACACTAAGCTGAAAGCTCTAGAATGGGATGCTGCACTGGTGTTTAATGCTACACAAGGAATCAATTTGAAATGGGATATAGTGGTGCCTAAAGAGGGGGCTACAGGACCTCTTCAAAAACAAAATTTATCTGGCATTTGCTTGTTTATATCTCAATATAAGTAATAAAGAATGAAGAAGGCCCATCAGACTATTCTGATCTCCTGAACACCCATCATACCGTCTCCCCATCAGTGCATCAAGCTGCTTTTAAATGAGTCCAGTGTCCTGCCCTCTACCACCTTCCCTGGCAACCTGTTCAACTCATTGATTGCTCTCTGTGTAAAGAAAAGCTTCCTGAAATTGCCCTTTACAACTCTAAATTTATGTCTCTTGTTCTACAGTCTTGATATGCCCTAAATAACTGGATCTACTTTTTCAATCCCATTTAAAATTGTATATACCTCTATGAGATCCCCTGAGTCGTCTTCTCTCATGACTGAAGAGCCCTTGCTGGTCTAACCGTAGCTCTCCTTGAACAGGTCCATGCCATATACAACCAAACGCTTAAAGTTGTACAATACAGTTAATAAGTTCAGATTCAAATCAACTGAAACAGTAAAGATCAAGAGAATTCAACGGAGGATTAATTCCCTGAAATAGCTGAGATGCTCCTCACAATCTTACAGCTCCTTGGGATGTCCTCCCAATGTGAAAGGCACTATACAAATGTAAGTTGTTGCGGCCGTTACTTATTTCTTCCCAATAATGTACACTTTTTAAAAAAAATGGAATATTAATATACTCAGTCTTTAGTATTGTTTACCCCATTGGCCACTTTCGAGAGTTCCAATCCAAACTGTGCTGGTCCCGCTGTAAGCACCACTCTGCCGAGGAACGGGTGTGAGACGATCTGAACAGCACGAGGTGGCAGCTGTTCCTTCTGCTGTTGACTGGACAATTCAATCATCTCTTGCATGAAGCGCAAGCCGTCCTCAGCGTCGTGTGGGCTGGCCGCCTGGTGGGGAAAGTCAAGAATCGATTTCAATCACCAGAGTCAGTCGGCACAAAGGAGATGGGGGGGGTCGGGGGGAAACTTTTACCGACCGATAGGCTATTAAAATGAATATTTTCAGCTGGAAATATTCTCAGCATTGGGCACTTTTCAAGCGGTAGGTAGGGATTGCGAATAGTTTTAACCTGGTTTGCATGCTGTACTAGCTGGACTCTGCCGTCCTTCAGATGGATTAGGCTGACTCCCATTCTCTTCAGCATCTCAAGGTGTTCAGGGTTATTGGCCATGAAGTCCCGGGCTCGCAGGTGTTGTCTGCTCCCAGGACCACCAGCGTTCATATCCCTAGAGAAAATAAAGTCCATAAGAGCCTTCTATTCCCCGCATCAGCATAATTGGAAACGCAAGAAACTCACAAGGGGACATGGAGCTGCCCGACAACTGTATTACTTTACTGAGAACCTCCTTGCTAAAGAGGAGGAGCTAATCCAGATAGCAAATACTTAAGACACGACAAAACAAACCTGGTTTCTGTGGATGAGCAAAGTAATCTTGAGATAAATGTGCTCAATTGAACGGCATATTTGGAGGCTTCACTGACTGCATCACACAGCTGCACTACTGATTTACAGCTCCATCAAACTGTAAAGTCCCGTTCAATTTGCAGCATTGTCACTGAAGCATACTGCTAGCATAACACAGTCAACAGACTAAGCAGATTGATTTCCTGTTATTGTACTTGACTTCTTTGGACTAATCGGTTTAAGCAAACTTATCTTAGAGAAAGAAGATAGTCTATGATCGACAACGCTCTTAGCATTTACAACAATCTAGCTGCACGAAAATAGAGCCAACAGTAAAATATCACTGGTAAAATAGTCAATGTTTATTTGAAGAGATGGTCATGCATTTTGCCTAACTAGCAATTTGTAGCAGACCCCCGCGGGATGCAATCAATGCCCACAAACAAATGGAACCATTCACTTATAAAAGCTGTCCTTACTGTCTGATGCTCGTCTTTGGACAAGTCTTATCCACTACATTTTTAAAAGGTTCGCGGATACTCCGAGCATAAGAAGGATCGTTTGGAAATAGAATCTGGGTGTTAGGACAAGACCAGTCAAAGTTGCTGTCGTCCAAATCTGTGTAATCCGCACTCTATAGAGAATAAAGAGAATACATTGATCAATGACTGTAAAATTACTAACAGATGTAAATCCAGAGTAATGCTGCAGTTAATTACTATCTATAGAAGCAGGCGATGCAAACGTATTCCAGGAGGAGATAACCCAACAACCATTTACCTTTACACAGGAATTAAAAGCTGCTTAACAAGCCCTGAAATTGCACTACTTCTGAAGGATAACCCATCTCTTTTTCATACTGATATTAATCATCTTTGTGAGTGATGAGGTTTCTCCATCAGTGCAATTCTACTTTTCTTGTGATTGTAAATCATCTATACAAGACACCTGCACTTGAGCTCATTGTCATTTAAGTACATCACTGCGAGAGCCAGATTGTTGGCGGTATGTCCTTTGGATGAAGCATTGAAGCATGGGGACTGTCTTCAGGTGGATATCAAATCATTCTATGATGATTCAAAAAGAGAAGGGAGTTTATCTCACTGTCCTGTCTTGACCCAACAAACTTCCGGATTAATTGGTCACTAAGGAGCCAAGTGTGGCAAAGTGATTGCTTTTAAAACAGTTATTACATTCGACAGTAACTGCTGTAAAGAGCTTTGAGGTGTTAACATATAAAATGAAAGTACTTTTAAACTTTTTAAACTATTCTCAGACATCTTTCCACTTACCTCATTTTTTCTGTTCCTGGTGTAGTTAGTGGAGAGCCAAAGAGGTAATAGATGGGCTTCGGTGGTAAAGATATAGTCCTCAATATCAAAAAGGACATCTTCTTTTTCCGCAAAGAGAAGATACAGGTATTTAAACATCTCGGCTAAGAAAAAGGAATCCATCCTGTGTGAAAGGAGCAACAACATTTAAAAATAAACTCAATGCTAAGAAAAATGAATCCATCCTGTATGAAATGAGTAGCACATTTAAAAATAAACTCAATGATTATCCTTATGTAGAAAAGATTGCGGAAATTGGTCTCAGGTCCTAGATTCAATTCTCATCTCTGCTTAATAAACTGCATTAACCAAGATGGCACCATCTTGTCGAGTTCTGTAGCTTAGTGGTTAGAGCACTCGCCCTGCAAGCAAAAGGACCTGGGTTTGATTCCCGTTAGGGGGAAACGTTGGGCAAGCTTCCTAACTCCAACATGTCTGTTTACCTAGCAGTAAGTGGAAACCTGGTTGCTAGTCAATTGGCGGATTGTTTTTCCGGGGGTAATAAGCCCTTCAAAAAAAAATAATACATCACTCAATCCACAACTGTTTGTGGGACACAGCTGTGTGCTGCCGCAATTCGCCCACAAATATACAGTCAACTCACTTTACAGTATATTCTGTGAAGCACTTTGAGATGTCTCGAAGACGTGATGAGGTGCATATCAAATGCAAGGATCATTATTATTATCAGATCCCTTGGGCTGGGGAAGGGGAGCGAGGAGGAGAAAATCAGCCAGGGTTTAGTCTCTTGATTGACATCTACTGTCTATTTCTATGAGGTGCAAGTGTGTGAAACCTGGGTGAGAACCCCATCAGGCTCAGCTGTGATTTTTGTTTTTAGCCAGCCGGTATCCGACACATGCAGAAACCCATCATTGGGCTTAAGAGTGTAAACTAGAGAGGTCCAGATGTGTATGCCACCCACACGTAGAAATTTCCCTATGTCTGGAACGTAATGGGCTGAGAGCTCTTTCCTGAGGGTGAATCACTCTGCTTACTAAAACCAGTTATTATGCACAGGTTAGTAAGAACCAAGGTTTAGGGTCCCCAGATTGTGCATTGAGTTTTCTTGGGAGTTAACCAGCTAAAACTGCATAGCTTTAGAGCAATGCTTCCTGTTGCCTGTCCCAGCCATTAGGACTTTGGCTTGTGGGGTTAACAGGAGCTGAGTGGGCAGGATCCTTACTCCCAAAATGGAAGAGAATCTCCAGAGGTTGGGGTTCAGGGGCACTGCAAAGAGAATCTCAAATTAAATTTATGCCGTACTCGATCTTAAGAGTATATAATGCTAACGCTGGACAAAAAGGTTTCTGTTCTTAACACCAAATTCCCATCTAGGTTTCCCATTTTGTTTTGTGCTTGACCTGTCTTCGTGGCTGCCTGTTCGAACGTCCTTCATTGCTGCAAAGCCGCATGGTACACGAGCGTACTTATTCAGGTTTTCTATGATCGTCTTTCCCACCTCCAAGTAATACTTGTCACCTGTAGCCTGTTGGGGACAATAAAGAAAATTTATGTCCAATATTACGACCACACATCAGAAACCGCATTCAAATCAATTGCTGTCCTGGTGATTTATCACACTACACCGGTATTGATGCAACTCTGATATGAAATCATAAAATAAATTGCATTTCATCTCACACACCGCAAACACCATCAGAGCAAAACAAAGGTAAAAGGAGACATTACCTTATATAGGAAGTAAGTGCTTTCTGCAAATTCAGGCCTCAGCGGATGCTGAGCCCAGTGAACTCTGAAATCTGTGGTGAAAGCCTAAAAAGCAACATCAGAAATTTCACATGCAAACTCTCCGGATAGTTGTCTCACTGAACAAACCAGGAATGTGAAAAATGTGTTACTGAGTCACTGCACTTACTAACTCCATGGAGTTTATTTAGTTACAGTCATCCACAAACTGGATTGGAGTTGAGGTACAGATCAGCAATGATCTAATAGAATGGCAGAATAGGCTCGAGGGGCTGAATGGCCTACTCCTGTTCCTATGTTCAAACAAAAACAATTAATAGTTTATCGAAAGTAATCACATGTGGTTTAATTTCTGTAAAATATCCAGATTTTGTTTTGAATACCACATGTCCACATAGCTTCTGGTAAATTCTGAATTTAGTTTTTTTGGGACGTGTGTTTACAGAAGAGATGATCAGCAGGCTGATATCACTGGTGCTGAGGTTTGTGACACCGGGAACACAAGCTGTGATTCTTATGCCCACTATTCCCAACAGTGACCTTTGTCAATTAAAGCTGGAACAAGGAGCATTGTGGAAAGCTAGTGGTGGGAGAGAAGAGAGATCACAAGATTGGTCTGGATGAAGAAAGATCTTTTAAGTGGTGAGGAAGAGTGACACAGTCCAGCAAACAAAGGCAAGTGGAGGAAATGAACAAACTAGAGAACGGTTTGACTGGTAAAAACATAGTAGACCACAATCAAGATGATGTGGGCATCTACAGAAATGATGCAACATACTTTCAGACACTTATCAACAAGCTACAGAATAAGTTATCAAATAATCCTTACTTAACCTATTAATTAACCAGATCTTTAACTGAATTTTAAACAATTCTGATATCAAACCTCAACGTTAAAGGAAAATAAAAAAAAAGTTTGTCAAACTCATGCTACCTCTGGCAAGAAATTGTGTTTCTTAGTAACTTGGTAGAGCATCTCGTGCGTCTCTATGGCTGGTCGGATATCTCCTTTCAGCACCTGTAAGAAGTGAATCCACATGAAGTCTATCTTAATTCAACGGTGAACACACACAACAGACTCCAGCTTGTGTTGTCTCATTCTCCAGGATCACCCAATAAACATTTCACCTTCCTATTCCCCAGCTGTTATGATTATACAAGGGATCACTGAAAAAAATACATACCTACCCTCTAATGTTTGTTCAATGTTGTAACACCAGCAACAAAGTAAGCAATAAAACAATTTATTGCTAATTCAAAAGTAGAATCAGTTACTTCATGGGTGTGTCTACTTTGCATGTGACTTTGGATAAATATTTGCGCCAGATGTTACAATGTCACAAGCATTAAGCAAAACACTGAGCGACATAGAAAGAAGTAATGTATAGCTCTCTGTTAACTTTGAAACATATCAAAAGCATGTTACATGTCAAGAATAATGACTGTTCTCAGCAGCATATGTGGCAAGTAAACTCAAAAGTTCCTGAATTTACCTGCAGGCCTGGGAAAAATGCTAGCAAGGCATCCATCCACGTTCGGGCGTTCAGCATTGGTTTATGGATGTGAACATCCAACAAGAGGGGTGGCTGACTGATGTACTTCATGATGGCAGCATAGTGCTGAGAGGAAAAAGAAAATGGGAAAGCAATATTAAGCTATTAACCTTGCACCAGTTTATTTATAGATGACAAAGCAGAAAGGTTTCACCTTTCTATTCCTTTCTAAGCAGTCAAACTGAAGCAATATCTAATTTGGTCTGAAAAAAATATTATGGGGGCAGAAGTGTTTGTCTGGTCATCAGTAAGCATACATTACATGGTGGTGAGAGCATCCTATTTGCAATGGGTGTGTACATTTCAAGGTGAGTTGACAATGGGATACTAACATTGTACCACTATGGTTTGAGTACAAAAGGATGGTTTGAGTACATTGCACTGGCACATGACTTCAGGCCTGTATTGTTTCTAAGTAAAATAAAGGCAGTCACATAGGCAGTAACAAGAACACCAAGAATATTAGACATGTAATGTTAAACTGTACAAAACAAAAACTAATGCCTTTTGGGCCTAAAGGTAGAAAGTAATTTTCCAATTGCAAGATTTTCACTTATTGTAAGGTATTTTCTCAGAGGTTCAATGCGAACTTTTGTAATATTGAAATACTGGCCGTTAAATTTAAAAAAAGTAACTGAGCTGTGAATCTCCTTTAGAGCCTGAAGAACAGGTACTGCAACCACACACCAATACATGCCACTTCAGATAGTGTCCCAAGGCTCATTCAAGAAGGTAAAGCCACAGATAAGCATTAAATCTGGGCACTTAATTGAGGCAATATTCAGGGTCAGGCTAGTGAGGAAGCTATACTAGGACATCTGGTCTCTTATTTTATAAATCTCTGATGATTATGAAGAAAGATTAAATGTTTTTCAATTTCACATTTTTTTAAAAAAAAGTACCTCCTAATGCCATGTTTCATTCAGGAGCCGATTTTTAATAACTAATTTTAAAAATATTTTTTTTCTAAAGGAGTTCGCAAAGCATTCCTAAAATTAAAATGTTAGGAAAAGATTATCCGTAGAGGACATGTCATTTTAAACCATGATGTTCCATTGTACTAACTTGTGTCAATTATACTTACCAGCATTGATTGAAGTTTCAGACTGTTTGGTAACCTTACTCTCAAACACACAAACAAAAGGAAAGGCAAAATATTGAAACTTACAGTGTTGAACCTTTGTAAAAAGCCATCATCCCCCAGCAGAATATATGCTTTGAAGAGGTATTCATAATAAGAGTCTATTCCAGCTCCAACTCCGCTATCTACAAATAAAAGGAATCGCACAATAAATACTAAAGCCGATTTTAATGTTAGAGGCATGGAAGCTTGACGTACTTAAGTCTGCATGTAGATCATCGCACAGTGGGGCAGTCAACGGTAGGCCCTATTGTGAGCAGAGAACGTGTCTCACAAAGTTACTGGAGTCAGACAGTGTGGAAAAGAGCCTACAACAGTAGGAACATACAGGACTGTGAAAGGCTTACTGCCCAGTCTCAAAGTAAAAATGTAAATCAACACATCACAATAAAAGGCCTGCATTACTCAAGTGTCTCGTACCCACTAACTGTTTCTTTGCCAAATACACTAAAGCCCTGGCTAGCCGGACTAATGGGGAGCGGAGAGAGATCCAGTCCGTCAAGCTGAAATTTCCAGTTAATTACAGTGTAATTAAAATACCAGCACTGGCATTTACTAGCCAGTGAGGCTGCTCAGCGCAGCATTGGCAAGCAAGGAGAATGGCCCCGGGGAATTAAAAAAAAGGTGGGTTTTGGGCCCACTTCAGGTTGGTTCAAATTCTGGATACCCAGAGTCCAGTAAGCTAAGGGTTTACTGCAACTAACATAACAAGTTGCCTGAATGGCACAATCTCCCTTAAGATTTTTACACCAATTCAATTAAACCAAACATCTGGAAATGCCAATACTATGATATGTATACATTATGGATTATTGGCCTCCATGAATTAATTTAATCCTACTTTAAAATATTCATTCAACTGCACGCCATAAGTCGTAATGTAGATTTTCTTCAAAGCATAAAAGAACAAATTACAGTACTCGGAGGTATAAGGAGAAGCATCTAGGAGATACAATTGAGCAGAATTTGCCATTTATCCCACATCTCAAATGAAGTCTGCTGCAGTGATATAACTGCAGAGCCCCATTGTGGCTGATTTTGAACAAGTGTTTGCTGGGCAGTAGAAAATGAGGAATCCACCTTACCCTTCCGGACCCAGTCTCCTGTGTGGATATTAATGGTTGTTCCCACCAGATTGCTGTTCCTCTGCCTCTTTTCCCACAGAAAGTCGAGTGCTTTCCGAGCATGTTGCTACGAACAAAGAAGCCATTTTATTCCATAAACAAGTAGAATAGACTGTACCACAGTTTAGCACAGTATAGTAACACACTGTCTCTCCAAATGCCCCCAAAAACAGATTTCTGTAATTATTTGTGCTTCCTTAGAAAACAGACAAGTCCAGTTAGATCCCCAGATGGTAGTACAATCCATATGTATATAGACACATCAAATCAAAGTGATGAGACAGAACAGGGCTGTTTTTTCATGCAGAACTGCTAAATATCAATTAAAATTACATTTCCTCTCCCATTTGGAAGACAAAGCAGAAGGCTTAAAACCAAGATCTGCGTGCTCTATTATTGCAATAGACATTAGTGCAGCAACACAGAATCACGGCAGGATCATTCCTCGGAATGTATGTAAGTTGTTGTTGTGATCCCGCTTCACAACTGAAATTGTGATATATGTTAACCCATGTAGTCGAAAGAATTATTGTAATCAATGGTTAGAAATGCTCATCATGAATTAGACACCATTTTGATTAATGGTTAAAAATGATGTAGCTAAAAAAGTGTCAAGGTGACATGTTATTGTAGCTGAAAGATTGTTGAAGATGTTTGTCCATAACAAATTCATGTTTTAGTTAAGTGTGTTAAAGATGAGGTAGCTGAAGATGTCTTCCCATAACAAATTCATGCTTGTGTTAAAAATGTTTTCTATAACAATTCAAGTTTATTATTAAGATATTTGCTTCAAGCCCGTGAGAAAGGAAAGCCTATATATTTTTATTCTGCCTGTGGAAAATTGATTATAAAAGATGCATGGCTGAGTTATACTTTATTCAGCCTAGGACATAGTATATCCATATCAGGTGCTGTCCACATAAAAGCCATCTTTCATGTGAATATATGAAGTGGTAAAGCAAATGTGTTGTCTTCAGGGTTAAAATCCATCAGAGTTAGTCTATTCTATCGTTTCATCAACTTTCGTTAACTCCAGCAAATTCAGGAAGAAGGAAACTGCAGAAATTCCAGAACGTCTGAAATCGATTGAAACAGGAGGAGCAGAATAACAATTATCGAAAAGAATTAATAACGTATAACAACTGTTGAATAACATTCACAGCTCAGCTGTCCATCATTTTAAGATTCAATTTTGACTTCGTAATCAACAAACCCAAGTAAGAAGTTTCTGGTCTGAAGCAAGAAACTTTTCGTCTGATTCAAGACTTTTGCCTGCTGTTTGTGAATTTACCAACTGATTTTGATACGGACATTTGTCTATGCTATTGACCTGTCTGTTGTATTTGTGATAATTGAACTAACACAATTTACATTTCTTATTAAGTAAAGAATTTTCAAAGCACGAGTTGCTGAGTGTCTTTGGTTCCTCTGATCTCTAGTCCTTAATTAAACGAAGACTGTAAAGAATAAGTTGATCTTTTTCTGCTCATTGCCCAGAACAGACCAAGACCAAAACATACTATCTATGAGTCAGTTTGGCTCTATTGGTAGCACACTTGCCTCTGAAACATTCTGTACTTTTAATAATAAAAGCATCCTAACGATGAAGTTGCTCTGGTGATCTGGAAAATTAGGTCAGCTTGGCTCAGTTTATGGTTCCACTGCCTGAGTCAGAAGGCTGTGGGTTTGAGCACAGAGAACCCACAGAACAGCTGAGCTGATAATCACTCCAGTGAAGTGCTGAGGGAGGGCTGCTTTGTTGGAGGAGCATCCTTTGAAGGAGATGATAAACCATGGTTGCGTCTTCCTGTTGAGCTGGTTCAGCTGGACATTAAATACCCCATGGTACTATTTGGAAAAAGCAGAGATTTCTGCTCTCTTAACCAACATTCATTCTCTCAGATAAAATCGACCAAAAGCAAATTAACTGGTTATTCCCATTTGTGAGAAGGTGTAACACAACGATTTGCTGCATTTGACATAATGTCTTATCATGTTGTTGCACATCTCAAAGCCCTTGACATGGACTTACTTTAAAATCTAGTGCCTTGTGTATTTGTAGAGAAACACAGCAGACAATTTGCACCTAGCAATGTCCCAATTTGAACCTAGCAATGTGCCTGCTCTGGCTTCAGGTCGCCTCAATTCATGTTTCACATTACTATCCCCACATTGGGGGATTTGGGATTTTTAACCAGAACACCAGGAGAAACTCACTTCTCTTTTAAAATAGTGCGGTGTGATCTTTAATATCCACATGAACTTGCAGATAAATATAAATCTTGGCATAAATCTCATCTGAAGGATGGCACATCCGTCAATGCAGCACACCCCCAGCACCTCACTGGCATATCTAGACTAAGATCTCAAAGTCCTAACTTGGGGCTTCAAGCCAAAACGTTCTGATTCAAAAGGAGAGAGTGCTACCAACTGAGCCAAGATGATCACAAATCACAAAATAACTCATTTTATCAAGCAACAATACATTGAGTCATAATAATGCACTATACCAAATGCAAGGGTTCTTTTCCGAAACTAACACACTTCCAATGTTAAATTGCTTTGAAAAAAAGTTATCAAGTTGGTGGTGAAGGGAGGATGAAAACTGAATAATCGCATACTATTGCTTTACGCACTAAATTAGGTACAGACAAAACTTCATGCTTCACACCCATTGCATTGTGAACATATAAATCTCCTTGGTCGTGTGGGTGAAATACAGAGCACCTACCTCAAAAACCGGTTCTCCAGAAAATCTGCTCAGAGCCGCAAACTCCAGGATCAGGGTCCCTGCACAGGCAGTGCAGGTCTCTGTCTCTGTGCCTGTTCTGGCTTCAGGTCGCCTCAACCCATATTTCAGATTAATCTGTTTTAAATCAAGTGAGTGACGATCGTTAGTGAAAAGTACAACGGACATAAAGAAATTCTAAACTGACTGAACTGCATCTGACAAAAATTCATCCTCGTCAGTACTTCCAATATTCAAAACTGAAGTTACTTCAAAATAAAGCTGGCGGGGAAGATTGAAGAGCTATTATGGGGCTGCTTAAGCAATGTGTGTCCAAATAACTTTTTAAGGAAGCATTTTTGAGCTAAAATGTTTGATTTGTACAGTCTGCGTTCACCTAAGAAATAAACAGTCACTGTAGTTTACAACAACCCTTGTGAAGTCCTTTGAGATGTCCTTCTGACACGAAAGGCACTATATCAAATGTATGAACTGTAAGGATCGTTATACCACTCAACGGCAATAAATTTCCTGGCAGGTAGTCTTCAATATATTTACCTTTGCAATCATATGCTTGAAACAGGATTTATATTAGTTTTTTCTACATCAATCAAAATGTGCAAAGAAACAGGATAACATGTTGGGCAGTCCTACTCTCCCTCACTCTCAAACCAAACACCTGGAACTTCTCTGGACAGAGGTCCTCAGCAACTTACAACCCATCCCTATAACTAAAATCATGCAAGTGCAAATAAAGACTCACACAATGGCAGGTCTCTATGAGGCTATAAAGTTAATTACATCTTTTTAACGATTATGTATTATTTCCTCTGCCCAACACAAAATACTTCCCCTAGAATTTTCATTTTTTTAACATAATAAACCATAAAGCAACATTGCCTTCAATAGAAGAGAATACTTGACTATTTTTGATTTGCAAAAACGGAAGGTATCGCATCACTTACTCTAGGGTAGGGGAGTCCACTGGTGGTGTTGAACGCTGGCAGTAATCTGTAGCCCAGCTCCTTGGCCATGTTCAGAAGCTCATCATTGTACCACTGCATCCATTCACCTTGATCTCTCAGTATAATAGCCATTGCGTGGCCTCCCAACAAACCCCTAAAACATTACAAAAACAATCACACTCAGTGAGCCTTTATCATTCTTTCTCATTTTGGTTTACAGCTCTATGTAACTGTGCAGTATCCACAGCCCAATAACAGAGTCCATACACAAGTCACTGGGACAACCTCCAGTTGATTCTTAACAATTACAATTCTAATAGATCAGAGTAAACATATACTCTTCGCCTTCTATTCAAGCTGTGTTATTTCCAGTTTCCAGTTGGAGTCGTGTAGCTCAGTGGTTAAAGCACTCGCCTCGCAAGCGAGAGGCCTGGCTTTGATTAACAGCGGGGCAAAACCTTGGGAAAGTTTTCTTATTCCACACGCCTGATAATAATCCCTCAAGAAAGAACAAAAAAAATCACTTCAATCCACGACTGTTTGTGGGACACTGCTGTGCACAATTGGCTGCCGCATTTTGCCCACAAATATACAGTCAATTCACTTTACAGTATATTCTGTGAAGCGCTTTGAGACGTCTAGAAGATTTGAAAAAGCACTATATCAAATGTAAGTATTATTATTATTTCTGCTGATTGCCAATCACCTGTTGGGTTCACCAATCTCCTACCTCTCTCTCTCTTTAAATCCATCTAATTCTTCACTATGTGGCTCCTGCACACTTCCTTAGGAAATTATTAAGGTTTATGATCTCTTCAGATAATATTTCTTCCCGTCCTACCAATCACAATAAGGCCCTATATCAAATGCAAGGATTATTTTGTACCCTACTGAGCTTGATCAATTTCTCCCAGGTTATATTTTCTGGTGTTCAATTTCTCCCTGTAATCTCCCAACGTTATTACAAATGAGCCAAATTCTTCTTAAGCTGTTCATTTGGTTCACCTGATTTTGGTGGTATTATTCATATACTCCTGCAGCATCATTTACAAGACATTAAACACAGTTAAAGAGATCAGATAGCAAGAGCAACTGATAGCTGGGAATGATTACAAAGCAGTAATCTAATCAAAGAACTCAGATAACATCGAGGATTGACAGTGAAACTCAAGTTGTTTATAATGGTCATTTGAAGCTGGAGATTAAATTTCTGACTTGAAATTACTCCAGTAAATCTTAAATGACATTTTCCCAGGCTCCTCAAAAACAGATCCGATATTTCTCCTCTCCAAATGAGATTATTTTGGTTGTTCTTACAACACCGGCTGCAGGTCAGATGGACCTGAACAGTCATTTCTGATCTTGCAATTCCCATGTTAAAAAATAACTGGCTGAGAACGAAATGAGACCTGCTCCACGGACCACATATGTTTCACAGATTCATCCCTTAGCTTGTGCAGCTCAATGTTATAATGCATCTCTGGGTTCAAGTGATGCTGGAAAAAAACAGTAGGTAACAATTTAAACCTTAGAGAGCCTCTAATGTAAATTTACTTCAGGACGCAAGCTTTTCCCCATGTGCTGTGGGCCAAGCGCTAACGTCCAGTCCCCATATTTTGGTCTCACAGTCCCAACAGTTTTTCAACTGGCTGCCAAAAATATAAAATAGCCCAGGGCTGAACCAAGTATTCAAAAAGAAGTCAAGGATTCAAAAATAATTTTTTTTAAAAAGTTTATCCCACCTTCCAAAATGCACTGTGGAAGCCGTAAGAAAGGCAAGGGGCAAAGGTAGGTATATTAAAAGGAGAATCACAAGAGGAGAAAACAGAAATAACAGGTCAAATATAAATAATTTTAGAGTGTTTTGTATTATTTTAATGGTTCACAGCTAATATTACAACTCTGATTCAAGTAGCTTTAGTGCAGTAGTGGCTTTTGTTTCTCAGAGGTCTTTGTGGGAGCCAGTTAGCCCAAAGTGATGAGTAGGGCAGCTGGCAGTCCTGAGGCTAAACTGTTACAAAAGCAGTCAGGTGTTGGATCTGGTTCAGCGACTCGAAATTATAGAGATTTAAAAGATTAAAGTAGCAAAATGTGACCTTCAATAACAGCAACACTGGAACTATTTTCACTGGAACAGCAATGGTTGAGAGATCTGATAGAAGTCTTTAAAATTTTGAGCGTATTTTTTAATACAGTGAATAGGGACACTGGTCAGTGAGTCAGTGACTAAAGGCATTAAGGCAATCAGCAAGAGAGCAAAGGAGGGGATTAGGAGGCAAACAGAGATGTTAGGATGTGGAATGTGCTGCCAGGAACAGTGGTGGCGAGGCAGAATCCATGTAGCTTTCAAGAAGGAATTGAGCAAAAATAATTACTTTTCCTGTACCTCAAATACTATTAGAAACTTTACAATCTAGAACTTTTAAAAGCTAGAGATACAATTTTAAACTGCATTTTTCTATACAATATTACAGCTTCTAAAAGGAATCTAGTAACTATATTGCAAACTGTTCAATCTGTTATCAATTTTTTTACTCACCCAAGTACCCTAATATTGGTCTCAAAGACTGAGACTACAATATCATTATCTAAATGAACGTCCTGTACAACCCTTCTCACAGCATCTTCAAATTCTTCCATTTGATTCAGCAGCTATAACATAGAAAGACAGGATTCAATTACTCATGTTATCTATTTGTCCCTGAATGTATTGGAAGGTCAAGCTCAACAATTCAAACCTACCACAAGAGTGTCCAGGGTATCAACTAAAGTCAAAGAAAATCTGAAAGAAAGAGATAAAGTTAGAGGTAACTGAAAACAGAACCAGACTTTTCAACATGAAAATAAAGCTCAAAAGTTCCTCAACTATATAAATTATAACACCTTGTGCAATGATAATGTTCAAAACGTGCTTATTGTTTCGAGTATTTGAAGAAATGACACAGGGAAATTCCATGCGTAGATGACATACAAATATGGAACTCTCAATCTGGTTCTCTTAAACATGGTGAAGAAACCCAACAAAAAGGTTCTGAACAATCAGAATTATATTGAAAGCCAGATGTTTCTTCACTAATACTTCAAGTAACGGTTTTATTTTCCTCGAGGGTACAGTTTAACTGACTTTGCATATTTTAACTTCCTATTATCTCCCCGATAACTAGGACTGAGGTACCTGATTTGATCAACTGGAACATCTTACGACTTTTAAGCCAGGTTAAATATTCTACAGCTGTGACTGTGCTTTCCAACTACTGTATATAGGACTTAGCTACATATAAGTACTCTGGTAACAGTGCTCAATGAATTAAGGAAAGTACTGTTTTTCATACATTAAAATATTTTTTGAAGACAAGTAAAATATTGAATCACACAGACTAGGAAGTTCTCCAGGTTTAACTGTTAATATGCTTCAGTTTTGAAAAGAGATAACTCATAGAGGACCTTATAGAGGTGTATACAATTTTAAAAAGGGAAAGTAAACCCAAAATACTTTTGAACGCACCAAGACAGAAGGAACAAGAGGCCACTGGTTTAGGGTTGCAAAGAGCAATTTCACCAGGAAGTATTTTTTGTACCGACACGTAATTAGCGACTGGAAAAGGTATCCAGGAAGGGTAGCAGAGGCCAGGGCAAAGGACTTTTTTAAAAAAAAACTTAATGCTGTTATGGGAAAATAGTAGGATGGGCATTTTGGAAAGATAAGATCAAATAGACTGAAAGGTCTTCTTATCCAAACCTCTATTGTGATTTTGTAATCAGGCAATCGGTTAGTGAAAGTTTGATCTCAATGCCTCAAGCCAGGTAGCGACAGAATCGTCAGTGGTTCCATAAGTGGTTCCATACCCCTTTTGGGTAAGGATACAAAGAGGTGGCTACGAGGGTGAGAAACTAGAGAGCTTTTGGTAGAAAAAAAAGCATATGCAATAAGTGTCTTAAGTGTCTTAAAGTTAGTGTCACTTGTGCTAGTTTCTGGATTTTCAATGTAATGTAAATGAAGGAAAGAGTTGCTGTGGTTATATAATACATATATATAAAAAAAGACACTGACTTGCCAAGCGCATCGTCCACATCCCCACGACTCGGTTCCAGTCCTCGCACACGCCCGCGACACGTCAAAGGCATGAGTTCATCAGCTGGGTAAGCGTGTTCCTGCACAAAGCATAACAAGAGATCAGGCTTCCCTTTTCCATTATATAACTGCATTAATGCCACATTGCAAATCAGCGAAAAGTGCCCACTGAAGCCAACCATCACTCTCATTACAATTTACACAGGGAGTGAGTGCTGTTCCCTTGAGGCATGCAGTGAAACAAAGGCTATCACTGCAGTTTAGAGCTTGTTATGCAGTAGGGATTCAGATCAAATGGCAGGTACTTGGCAGGTCTATCACTAGTGCCATCTTCTTCATATAAAAAACAAACAGAGCAGCCCCCGATGGTGTAGTGGACAGAGCTGCAGCTTATGAACCAGGAACTTTCTAGCTCAAATTCTGATCCAACCTGGTTTGCTGGTCCCAGCTGGGGCTGCACTTGGGGTGGCTAAATGGGTCAGAGTTCCTGATCGCAATCTTGTAACCCCTGCTACATGTGTGTGTGCATCTGCTTTGGCTGAGATGCCACTTACTCTCAAATCATCTGGTAAGATGCACTGATGTACTCAGCTCAGGTACAAATGATGGCCAATTGAGCAAGCTGCCTTGTCCCAGTTTGCCTCATTGCTTTTAAGAAAGAAGGGAAAAGAAAAGAAAAGGAGAAGAAACCTTAGTGAGTGCCAAAGTTGGTGTTTTTTTTATTGGTGCCAACAACAGCAAAATTGTCGCTCCAGTCAACAGAAAACAGGAAGTGGTGCTGTAAACCAAGGCATTGGTAGGAAAAAAAGCTGAGCCACTCGCACTCCCTTCTATACTGAGGTGGAAGTGGTTACAATAGCAGTTGCTGTACATAGCATTTCCAGCTATCGGGGAAGTTGTGGGAGCCAAAGCAAGACTTTATTGAGCATATGTCACTGCTATTTAAATCTATCCAGATTTGAAATATTTCTTATTGGAAAAAAAATCGCATTTACTTTGTTTCCCATGGTAGATGACAAGAGTGATGACACACAGTCCAACCAGCACACCCAATTAACGTTGGACGAGGAGGAAACATATTTATGACGTTATTGAGGCGATAAATTATTGTGCTTGTTAAAGCTGTCAGTGCTATAACAACCTTGCTGTCAGTGGAGAAGATTTTTTTTACACACACACACAAAAGCAATACCAATTAGGTTTTAGTTTCAGCAGTCACTTAGGCAATACAGTTCACTTGTATTCATTGCTTGAGAATTATTAAGATGCTATTATTAGTCAGACATGGGCCAAATTTATATACGGTCAATTCATTTTACAGCATGTTCTGTGAAGCGCTTTGAGACGTCTAAAAGACGTGAAAAGCGCTATATCAAATGCAAGGATTATTATTATTATAATAAATTTGGACCAATCCATTAGTGTCTCCACAACAATACGAGAAAATAGTACTGTAAAACAAACTACCAATTTCCTCCACAGACTGCAAAAAATACTGAATGCAAACTACAAAATAAACCCCTAACAGAAAAAGAAAGGTATTTGCAGTGTTTTTAAATCTGCGATGTCTCTTTTACACCTCAGTTCCTCAAAGTTTGCTTCTTGCTCCCTGAGCTCATTCCTAATACTTCTTTGCTGCTAGCTTACAGCTAGCCTACTCCGTTTTATTCCCAGTAATGCTGAAAATGGCCGTTAGCATTGTGGTCTTTATGACAACATTAGCAAAGCACTAACTACAGTACACTTTACAGAATATTCTGTGAAGCACTTGGCGACATCTCAACGACACGATAAGGCGCAATACCAAATGCAAGAATTATTATTGTTATTACAATTAGGTTTCCTTGAAAACCAGTGGCCACAGTTGATGGTCAGACCTGGTTATGCCAACCCAATTCAACACTAGGTTTTCTGCATCTTTTTAAAATCAAAAATAAAATCAAAATAAAAAAGGAATGATAAACAGACCGCTGCAAAGGTCTTGCCCAGACATATAATATGTCTGAGTTTTTTTTAAACTATGCAGTTAGTTCCACTTAGTGTGTAAATGTGACCCGCCTTTTTTAAATGGATTTTCCTAGTCAAACTATTGTTTGTGATAAACTGGGCACATCACCCAGATTCTTTCCTTCGCAGTTGCCATCGTAAAAAGTTAATTCTAAGCTGTTTGTACAGGATCACTGCACAAACAGCATACATTAAGGCTGATGAGTTTGTTCTGGATCGATGTTTAATTCCCTTAGATTTGATGATTTGCATGAAAGTGACCACGTGTAAAGCAAACATCCTTGTTCCACCTGCTTATGCTTCATTGAACTGAGCTGCGTTGCCTACAGAGCACTGAGAGACTGAATCACACCTACTTACAGATCAACAGTGAGTCATTGCTCGAAGTGTACAGCCGTCAGAACTACGATGATTACAAGGATTATTATTATTAACGAAATACCAACAACCCAGCAACACTCCCCGCCGTTAACATTCCTGGCAGGGAATAATAAATTGGTCATTTCAATCCACGACTGTTTGTGGGACACCACTGTGCGCAATTAGCTGCCGCATTTCGCCCACAAAATATACAGTCAATTCACTTTACAGTATATTCTGTGAAGCGCTTTGAGACATCTAGAAGACGTGAAAAGCGCTGTATCAAATGCAAATGCAAGGATTATTATTAGAATACAAATTAGATTTTCCACTTTGTTTTAAAAATAATTTCACATTTTCAATACATTGATTCTTTGCGTGATTAAATCAAAGAGATTTTAAAATGTGCTAAGCCATTTTTTAAAATATATAAATATGTTACATTGTCTTTAGAACAGAGGAGTAGGTCATTGAGTCTGTTGTGCTATTTTATTAGATTATGGCAGATTGTTTAATCCCATTTCTTTGCCTTTTCCACTCAATGTTTAAAACCATAATTGTCCGTGTATTCATCTGTTTTCCTTTTAAACACCTCCATCAGATTTTGCAGCTACAGCCATTTGGGATAGTGATTCAATATATTCACAATCCTCTCTGTGTTAAAAAATGTATTCTGATCTCCTTGGGTTTCGATCCCTCTACCAGAGTGAAAGGTCATCCCTCGCCTAGCTTGTTCCCTCTTAATAGAAGAGCATCAATGAGTACCTTCCAGTGAATTACTATGGCATTACTACTCTGTGACTTATTACAATTATTAGATATATCAAGCAAACTTTTTAAATGTTGCCACTTGCAAAAAAAATCTAAAAAGTTATTAAAATGCAGTGTTGGGGAAATGAAACAGTTAAAATGACAAGTTAAAATGAAAATGTCTTACTTACCATGTAACTCTTATAAGCGTGATCAAACATCTCAAGCACTTGATCCCTGTGAGGGAGAGAGAGAGAGCATTATAAAGGTACACATTCACTTACAAGGAAGAGCAGTTATATTTTGGAGGAATTTATCAGATTGAATGGGAATATGAAGAACACTGCTCTGTATTAAAACAGTGTTAGCTTAACCCAATGCAATAATATGTCTATAATAGGAACAGTTTTGTTTAAAAATAGCAGCAACACATTTCTTGACATTGAAACTGATCAAGCGTTCCGAGACACTACACTGCATTCAGGATGCTATATAAATGCAAGTTGACGTGGTTGTTGAATGTATAAGTGAAGAGCAAGTGTGAAATTAATTGTGCATTTACCTTATAGCACATCCATTGCTAACCTGAAGTGCTATAATATTCCTTGCATTTCATGCAATACCCTATTCCGCCATTGAGACGTCTTAAAGTGATTCACAACATGATTACTGTAAAGTACAGTGACTGTGTACATGTAGCCAAATATGGCAGCCAATTTGCACACAGCAATGTCCTACAAACAGCCATGAAGTGAGCAACCAATTTCATCCAGGGATTGTTTGCCAAGACACTGGGTGGAACTCCCTTTACTTTCAAATAGTGCTTAGGATCCTTAACATCAGCCTGAACAGACAACAATTTAACATGCAGTTCTTCCCTAGCACTGCACTACAGTGCCAACCCACACCCCTCCATAAAGTAAATGAGTTGGTGGCCTCTGAGGTAGCCAAGAGCTGACTAAAAGGGTGGCCCTCCCCAATGTCTCCAAAGACGTGTTCTGATGTCAAATACAAGCACTGCCGTCAAAGAGAGCAACCTTTGCTGGCTGCTAACTAAGTAGCTCAACCAGCCTTTCAGGCCTGTGATGCTCATGTGTGCAACCAAAACATAATATTACTACTTTCAAGCTGTGACAGGCAAAGTCAGTTTTATTTTTCCTCTGGCATGTTCACCCTGTAATATAGGGGGCAGATTCAGAACATTAATGTAAGATAAATACAGCTATCGCCAGCCAAAGTTGTGTATCAAACGCTGACACCTTCAAGGGCTCTCCTCCTCCTCCTTCTCAAGGAGACTCCTGAATGTCCTTTTTTTAAAAAAAGCGATTATTATCCCTGGAAAAGCGATCCGCTAATCAACTAACAACTGGGTTCCTGCTTACTGCTTGGCAAACAGGTGTATGAAGTAAGGAAACTTGCCTAGCGTTTCGCCCTGCCTGGAAATTGAACCCAGGTCCTCATGCTTGCGAGGTGACTGCTCTAACCACTCAGTGCCTTGAGATGCCCTCTTAACATGAAAGGCATTATATTCATGATTTTGTTTTTGTTATTGTAAGCTACAGGACTTTACTAAGTCTCAACATGGGGCTTGAATCCACAACTTCATGACTTAGCGGAGAGAGTATTGACTGAGCCAGACTGACACATAACTAAGTGCTTCTTGCATGACAAAGAGTCACATAAGTGGTCGTGCTAGTAATGTTATAAGCAGCTAAAAACATCAAAATTACATTTGTCTAGCGCCTTTCACGTCGAGAGAACGTCTCAAGGCACTGGAAACAATACAGGAGCAGCCTGAAGATTTTCATTTAGTCGCATAAATATTGGAAGCCACGCCATCCTAACATACACATTCTGATGAAAAAATGTGAGTGTGAGAGAGAGAGAGAGATAAGGATCATCACTTACTCAGAAACTGTCAAGATTTTGTACTGATATTTGAATAACTGCATTAGAGAGACCTGTGCAAGTAATGTGAATTATAAAACAATTCACCAATTTGCTCTCAGGGAAGGGCAGTGTATTTCACTGCAAACTGGTGAAATAGGGGCATCAATCTATATCATGCTTAGGGCATGTCCTCTATGCCAGATTTAGTTACCAACTACTTGATAACCAGTTCCAATAGGACTGACCAGTTCTCGAACAGCCTGAGGCTGCTGGTGCCTGGAACACTGCCTGTTTACTGAATGGACAGAATACCAGGCACTGACAGCAGCATCTCTCTGTATTCACACACACACACACACACACTTGTCTTCAACAGCAAAACAAAAGGTTGTGACCTCAAGACCTTCCCCATTCTCAGCTATGCCGAAAGCACACTGCTGGCCCTACAGGGTGGCCTGATGTTTCAACCAACGCCAATGTCAGAAAGCTTGCTGGCTCGCCCAGCCATTTATCTATTCGTCATCTTTGAAGGTGGCAATAAGGAGCCATTTCAGAAAGGTTAGGAGCCGCTCCCAGAAGCTAGTGCTGCCTCATTTAGCTTCCAACAGTGCCTCTGAACTCAGGCTGCCTTTTGTATTCACTTTTGAGAGAGACTAAATGAGCCATTCAATTTACATGTGTTGTAATGCTACAGGCAATCAGCCATTGCACTTGTCTAGTGCTTGTTTAAACGTTTAATCGCCCTGGATGCAAATTTGGTGCTGGGTATAACCATTGAAACAAGGGTGCTTAGGATGAAGGCTAATGTGGATCTAACTTCAGCCCATACAGGTCTGCCAATTTCTGGCGACATACATTGCAACAAGAACAAGAAGATTACATTTGTATAGCGCTTTTCGTGTTAGGAAGACGTCCCAAGGCGCTGGACAGTGCACAACATTTCAGACCCGAGCTGGGGTCAGGGGGGTGGCCGATGGCATGGCCGAAAAGGAGGGTCTTGAGACGGGACTTGAAGGAGGCTAAGGAGGGGGCGAGGCGGAGTGATTGGGGGATGGAATTCCAGAGGTTGGGGGCAGAGTGGCTGAAGGCTCTCCCGCCAATGGTGTGTGTATATATATATATACATATAGTATATCGAAAAAAAGCATTGTATAACATTTGGGAATTGTACTAAAAATTTTACTGCATTCTTTAAATTGATCTATACAGGCAAATTTCCTTACTCCACACGCCTCCCTTTACTGAGTAGTAAGTAGGAATCTATTTTTTAGTCGATTGGCGGATCGCTTTCCGGGGGTAATGATCCACTTCCCCCAAACAATTCCCTCAAATATAATTGGTCACTCAATCCATAACTGTTTGTGGAACAATGCTGTGTGCAATTGGCTGCCGTGTTTTGCCCGCAAAATACACAGTCAATCCACTTTACATTATATTCTGTGAAACACTTTGAGACACCTCATCGACATGATAAGGCTCTACAACAAATGCAAGGATAATATTAATATTATAAATGTATCACAAAGTTGAGCAAGGCAATATAGAGCTGGTCTGATCTTATTTTCTGCATCAAATTAATTACGTAACACAAAATCAATAGGGCATTCCCAACAGTGCACAATCAGGATTCCCATAAATGCTCGATGCATTATACAACATAAAAGCTACATTACTGCCTTCCCCCAAATCAAGCTCTCAATCTCTGGCAAAACATCAGGAGAGAGAACAGGTTTTGCCAGTCTCGTGGCCAGAGATGTCAATGTAGTACGGGGAAAGGTTTATCAAAAGAAATGAGAAAACTACTGTGTACCATTTCAAGATTAAAAACAAACTTCGAATACGATTTTCCAAAACTTTTCCAAATTCTCCCATCTCCCGTATTTTTCAAGGATACATGCCTTTTATAGTATTATTTTCTAAAATGAGATGAAATATAATACAAATTGGTGGTTATTCCTCGCTGAAATGTCGCCATAAATTTTTTTTCCAAAGAAATAATAATTCTTGCATATGACATAGTGCTCCTAACATTCTAAGCGTCTCAAAGTGCTTTCCTGTAATTACTGTTGCGTGTATTTGTATACGAACACAGCAGCTGATTTGTCACATAGCAATATCCCTTATACAACCTCTACATCCTGCTCGATAAAGAGCAAACAGGAAAGGCAAATCTGCTTGTCGTTTATACAAATCTAAAGGTGTGCAAGCAAATCTGTGTCCAGTTCCCAAAATAGTTTAAACCAACTTTAAATAGCTTACAGATGCTGTCATCATGTTAATATTAATATTCATTCTGAAAGTTGTAGAAGCAATCTGCTTTGGCCATTTCACTAAATAAGCTTCAAATGTAGTATGGAATTATTTTAACAACCAAATCTGAAAGTCTGAGACCCGAACCCAAGTCTAGTGCTCTATTGACTGAGCTAACTGATCTGTATGGCTCAGTAGCACACCATGTATTGCATTTATCCATTGCGCCAGCAGTATCAATCAAGTAAGTGCATCCTAAAACTGACATTGGTATTGATTCCAATTTACTCATAGCTTCTGCAGGGCATGTCCATTCGTAAACTGGTCGGATTGCCATTCAACAAGATTACATCCTCCAAATCTACAATCATAACCTCCTAACAGCACTGACATTTGTTTCTACCAAATAAACTGCTGAAAATCTAATCCAAAACATCAGGCTGTTTCTTTCGAAATCTCTATTTTATTTGAAATTATATCTTCCGTCCATGTAAAGAATGGAGACCCAATGGGTACAGTACCTACATCAGTGGTCTCCAACTGGTTGATTGCTGCTAGGTGGTACTCTCGCAAGTGACCAAAAAGATAAGAGGTAGGAGTGATAGAACTGCAAAGTTATCGAGTCCAATGTAAAACAAAGTACTTCATGCATCTCAAATGAAAATATAAACTCTACTGTTTAAACTGCAGTAAATATTGTTTTTATTGAGCACGGCGAGACGCCACCTAACAGCAATCGACCGGTTGGAGACCCCTGACCTACATGATGGGAAGCAGCTTTGTGCTCCAAGGTGCCTGTGAAGAAGTTCCCAATCTCATAAAGGGATTCACTGGCAGACCAGGAACAAGCCACTTGGTTGCCCTCCAGGTATACCAACTTTGGGAAGGGGGGGAAAAGGCTTGAAAAAGAAGGGAGAAATATTCAACTTTTTTCCCACAGTGAAGTAAAACTAGTAGAAAGAAAGGGAGGTTACACCAATTAACTCTACAGTGCATTTCAAACTAACCTGCAGGCACCAACTGAAATGTACACGTCAGCCAATTTTTGCAGAAAGACTGATATGATGTGGAAATTAACTAAAAAAAGTCGATTTGGGCCAATATTCAAATTATGGTACCCAAGTCAATACAAGGTGTATAATAAAACTATTTATGCAAAGTGCAATGTATACATTGGAATCGATGACTTGATAAGGCGCTTTATCAAATGCAAGAATTATTATCTTGCACACAGCATAATGTATATGCTTATCTTGCACATGGCATAATATATACATGGGTTTTGTGCATAGCAGGGATTTGGTCATGATACCAGCTGTTAGATGGACAGACATTCATGGCAGTTAACAATGCGAGATTGAACCAAATAGAACTTCATTGATACTGGTTCCAAGTTGAAGCTACATTGGTTTATGCAACTGTTTATAATGATAAATCAAAGTTAGATTAGGGGTGATTCAATCTCCTTTTCCCATTTATAATAAAATTAAATAAAGAGGTACTTGCGTCTACAAATACAGTCAATGCACTTTACAGTAAATCCTGTGAAACATCTTGAGAGGTTTTGATGACACAAGGAGTTACACTAATAATACTTGGATATTTTATAGTCTTATCACATTGTGAAAATGTCTCAAAGCGCTTCACAGGATATACTGTAAAGTGGACTGACTGTATTTTGTGGGCAACCATGTGCAGTGATAGTGGAAGTAAAGTAATACGTGCATTTGATGTAGCTCACAAATGCATAATTGTGAGCTACATCAGATGGGACATATTGTTGAACTTACTGAGTCAGGATCTGGAAACATAAATAGCACCATTCAGCCCACATTGTACCAATTCCATTTTTAACTTCCACTGACTTGCCACTAAACCTATCATTTTCCCCAATGAACCAGAATTTAATGAATGATCTGGACCAGTCACCAGCCCATAAATTAACCTGAATAATACCTAGCTTAATTTCCTCATGTTACGCTCGTGACCCGGTTTTCCATCAAATACATTTTTCCCCTTAATAATGTCACTGGGTCTTAATAAACATACAGTCCATCTTAAAAATGTAATACACACAAGAGAAATAATCATTGTAATTTGGGACAATAGACCTCAGTCCTAACTGTGCAATAAATCATGCTAATAAAACATTCATCCCCAAAAGCAATTTTGCATTGCATCCCTGCACGTGCCTCCATAAAAAATACATTAATGCTGCATTTACCTTCAGCTCAGTGACAAAGCTGCGCGCTAAATGAGGTGACAATACACCTTTAGAGGTGAGATTTTCACATTGCTGGAAGCAATAATCTTGATGTATCTATTTTCTTCTGATCACAGGGGCCAAGCTATCTCTATCCAAGTAGTTTGGCCACATACTTTCACATCACTGCCTGCGATGGACCCACTATGTGATTGGGATGAACTCCACAGCTCTGGCAGCCTGAGATCCTAACTCCTAACTATCTCTAGTTGAAATGCCTCTGTCCCAAAATAAAATAAAGTTTGCACAGCCCAGCATAATGTAATGCATGCTCAGAAGCAGAAGTGACAGCTGCTAAGTCTCAAAAAACGCGAGTGCCTAGAATTCTTTATCTTTGTTCAGTTGCTTATGCTTGGGGGCGGCCTCTTTGGGGCTGTGCTGGAAGAATGTCAGAATTTAGTTCATCCTCTGTACTGGTCTCAGTAGGCTAGTTCCTGAGTTTAGTTGGTTAAGTAGTATCCTAGCAGTATCCAGCAGCATCCTAACGCCCACTCTGGGGTGCCTCGTTTTCACTCTTGCCAATCCGGGCCTAATACTCTCCGAAATGAGGTAAGCACAGTGCACCCATCCAGGGATTGTGCATTCCATTCAAGGCACAGGGAAATTTCTATGCATAGATGGCATATGTATGTGGAAATTTCAATCTGGTTTGTATACTGTTAAGCACAGTGATGAATTTCTCTATGTGTCAGACACCCAGTTGACCAACGACAAACCTTTGCTCAGTTATTTGACAAAGATTAACCAAAAGATTGACTTATTATTACCCAGCACTACCATGCACTTGTTTCACACAGCTTCACTGTTAAACTCAGCTTGCTACATAATATATTTTTTCTGTATGAAAGTTCCAAAGACACTTTACAAGCAATTAAACATTTTAAATACACAGAGTACTTATTCTGAAGATTTTCTTTTTTTTAGCTAAGATCAAGGAAAGGTAGTGTGCTTGCACAGTTGCACTACAGACATCCTTTCTTCATCTCATGTTCTTTCTTGTCAATCACAGGGCCAGAAACCAGGTGCAAAGGAGCAGGTGTCAGAGCCTCACATCTGCCCAAGTCAGATCAGTGAAGTACAACTATCCATATAACTATTGTGTTTGGTGTCACAGTTCAGAAAAGAGGGGGAAAAGATCTGAAACCAACGATGCAAATGTTCAAACTGTCACAGATATTACATCCAAAATGACTAAAATCTTTCCACAGCAAGGGAATTGGTTCTGTTTAATTCCCCAATGTACAACAACAACTTGGATTTATATAGCGCCCTCCATGCCAGATGGCGTCTCAGAGCGCTTTACAAAGGCGTGGTTGAAAAGAAAGGTCTTCAGCCGAGACCTGAAAATAGGAAGAGAGGGGACGAGGCGAAGGGAGTGAGGAAGGGAGTTCCAGAGCCTCGGGGCGTAGTGGTTGCAGGCTCGGCTGCCAAGGGTGGAGCGGAGGATTCAGGGGACAGACCCGGTGAAGCGAAGGCAATGGGCACTGTTGTGAGGAGAGAGGAGGTCAGGGAGGTAGGGGGGTGCAGAGGAGTGGAGGGATTTGAAGACAAGGGTGCAGATCTTGAAATCGATCTTCTCTGGGACAGGCAGCCAGTGCAGTCTGGCAAAGACTGCGGTTAATGGGGAGCGGAGTTTGAATGTAACAACAATGTAATAACATTCCTTCAGTCCCTATAACTTTACAGCAACTAACTAGTTATTTTAATCTCTACAGCATCACAATGAGTTTACTCATCCAATCCCCATCAAGCTCTGAGTTTAACCAGCTAGTATACTTGTTAAGCATCTGGGTTTTGACAAGTGCATGTGGATCCAAGATTAACATCATAATAATCTTTGCATTTAACAAAATGTCTTAAAGCACTTCGGCATAAGTGTAGTAACTGTGGACGAACACAGTAGCCACTTTGCATACAGCCACGTCTCAGCCATGAAGTGAATAATCAGTTTTATCAGGAGGGCTTTTGGCCAGGATTCTGTTCTGTTTTTGAATAATGCCATAAGATCTTTTACGTCCATCTCAACAGGCAAACATAGCCTCAAATACAAAATCAATTAATTAAAAAAAAATTAAAAAGCTGTTTGTGCCATAATTGGTTCTTAATGCAGATTTTGAAAAAAAACATATTGTACTAATCAATGAATGTAGTATATATACATTATATATATATATACTACTCCAACACCCTCCTCGCTGGTCTCCCATCCATAAAATCCAACTTATTCAGAACTCTGCCGCCCGCATTCTCCTTACCCTCGTATTCAAGTCCCTGCACTCCTCTGCACCCCCCCTACCTCTCTGACCTCCTCTCTCCTCAAAACAGTACCCGTTGCCTTCGTTCCTCCGGGTCTGGCCTCCTCCTTGTCCCCTCAGTCCTCCGCTCCACCCTCAGCGGCCATGCCTTCAGCCACTATGCCCCGAGGCTCTGGAAATGCCTTCCTCACTCCCTTCGTCTCGCTCCCATCCTTCCCATTTTCAGGTCTCTGCTGAAGACCTTTCTTTTCGACTGTGCCTTTGGTCACCTTCCCCCCCCTCCCCCTGGCTCGGTCCCGGGATCCGAAACTGTAAAGCACTCTGAGACGCCGTCCAGAGTGGAGGACGCTATATAAGCCCAAGTTGTTGTTGTTATATATATATATTACATATAAGAAAAACACAATTAGGGAACTGTCAAAACCACAGAGTCTGTTACACAATCCAAAGTATATTTGCTGCCTCTAACTCAGTACTCAACCAAGAAATATAAATCAGGCCAAGTAAATAACCCCTTCTCTTCTTCCCAGCCCACTCACGACACGTGTTTGCCTACCAAACACACAGTCACTACACTTTACAGTATATCCTGTAAAGTTATGACAATCCTTGCATTTGCGATGTGCCTGATCACATCGTCGAAACGTCTCAAAGCGCTTTACAGGATTTACTGTAAAGTGAATGGACTGCATATTTCTCGGGCGAAATCCAGCAGCGCCCCACGAACAGTCGTGGATTGCGGGCGGCGGTGGTGGTCGGGAGGGGAGGGGGGAAATGATTGGTTTTCTTTTATTTGGAAGGAATCATCACCTCCGGAAAGTACTTGGGAGGACGTTCTTCCCGGTGCGAAAGGCGCTATATACCAAATGTAAGGATCACTACGGTGATGATTATGATTATGATTACGATTATTATGATTATTCCACAGAAAGTAGTGGACGTTGGGGCACATCCCCGAAGTGAACGTTAATGACAAGTCCCATTGAGGGTGAAGCCCTCCGGGTTTCAGCGCAGCGGAACAGTGAGCTCTCACCTGAGTTTGCGTTTCTCCTCGGCCCCCATCGCCTCGGTTGGGGCCGTCGCCGCCGTCCCGAGCCACAGGCAGGACACGGTGACCAGCAGCAACCACCTCGGCAGGGAAGAGGCAGAGGCTGCGGACTTCTTCGTGCACCTCATCGGGGCCGGGGCCGGGGCACACAGCCAGACACACAGCTAAGAGGGAGAGAGGGAGGGAGGGAGAGGGAGAGGGAGAAACAGGAGCAGAGACAGACAGAGAGAGACAGACAGAGAGAGAGAGAGAGGAGAGGATGGGAGGGAAGAAAAAATAAAAAGAAAACGATAAACTCTCCGGGAAGACGTCCCATTCACCCGAGGCTGGAAACTAGTGTAATGTCACCAGCCGCCCGGCCCACCTCTTCCTGGCAGCCGCCATCTTTCGGTGACGCTAAACAACTGACGCTGACAAGGCCCTTGGTCCCGCCCCCCCGCCACCCGCTCCACGCCACCCGCTCTCCGATTGGCCGACTGACTCGCGTCGCCTCCGCTTTTGGGTGGAGAAACGCCTCCCCTGTCAATCGATCAATCACCTCCATCGTCCCGCCCCCCTCGGCTCCTCCTCCGCCTCGGGTCGCGCCGCTCCGACTGGTTCCCGCCCCCCGCCTCCGTGGCAGCCGCCGCTCCTGTGTGGTCATTGCCGCTGTCAATCATGTGACGCGCGCCACTGTCCGCTGGTCGCCGATGATTGGCTGCTGCTTGGAAAAAGACGTGGGTTACCTCAGCTTGAGGGAGGTCGCGAGAGCAGAGCTGGGGAAACCCAGCCACAGCTGTCAATCAACAGGACTGGAGGCGGGACCCAGCCACAGCTGTCAATCAACAGGACTGGAGGCGGGACCCAGCAACAGCTGTCAATCAACAGGACTGGAGACGGGACCCAGCCAGAGCTGTCAATCAACAGGACTGGAGGCGGGACCCAGCCACAGCTGTCAATCAACAGGACTGGAGGCGGGATCCAGCAACAGCTGTCAATCAACAGGACTGGAGGCGGGACCCAGCCAGAGCTGTCAATCAACAGGACGGGAGGTGGGACACAGCCACAGCTGTCAATCAACAGGACGGGAGGTGGGACACAGCCAGAGCTGTCAATTAATATGACTGGAGGTGGGACCCAGCCAGAGCTGTCAATCAGCAGGACTGGAGGCGGGAACCAGCCAGAGCTGTCAATCAACAGGATTGGAGGCGGGACCCAGCCAGAGCTGTCAATCAGCAGGACTAGGGGAGTGACCCAGCCAGAGCTGTCAATCAGCAGGACAAGGGGAGTGACCCAGGCAGAGCTGTCAATCAGCAGGACTAGGGGAGTGACCCAGCCAGAGCTGTCAATCAGCAGGACAAGGGGAGTGACCCAGCCAGAGTTGTCAATCAACATGACTGAAGGCGGGACCCAGCCATAGCTGTCAATCAACAGGACTGGAGGCGGGACCCAGCCACAGCTGTCAATCAGCAGGACTAGGGCAGTGACCCAGCCAGAGCTGTCAATCAACAGGACAAGGGGTGTGACCCAGGCAGAGCTGTCAATCAGCAGGACGGGAGGCGGGACCCAGCCAGAGCTGTCAATCAACAGGACTGGAGGCGGGACCCAGCCAGAGCTGTCAATCAGCAGGACTAGGGCAGTGACCCAGCCAGAGCTGTCAATCAACAGGACGGGAGGCGGGACCCCGCCAGAGCTGTCAATCAGTAGGACTAGGGGAGTGACCCAGTCAGAACTGTCAATCAGCAGGACTAGGGGAGTGACCCAGTCAGAACTGTCAATCAGCAGGACTAGGGGAGTGACCCAGTCAGAGCTGTCAATCAACAGGACTGGAGGCGGGACCCAGCCACAGCTGTCAATCAACAGGACTGAAGGTGGGACCCAGCCAGAGCTGTCAATCAACAGGACTGGAGGCGGGACCCAGCCACAGCTGTCAATCAACATGACTGAAGGTGGGACCCAGCCAGAGCTGTCAATCAACATGACTGAAGGTGGGACCCAGCCAGAGCTGTCAATCAGCAGGACTGGGGGAGTGACCCAGTCAGAACTGTCAATCAGCAGGACTAGGGGAGTGACCCAGTCAGAGCTGTCAATCAACAGGACTGAAGGTGGGACCCAGCCAGAGCTGTCAATCAGCAGGACTAGGGGAGTGACCCAGCCAGAGCTGTCAATCAGTAGGACTAGGGGAGTGACCCAGTCAGAACTGTCAATCAGCAGGACTAGGGGAGTGACCCAGTCAGAACTGTCAATCAGCAGGACTAGGGGAGTGACCCAGTCAGAGCTGTCAATCAACAGGACTGGAGGCGGGACCCAGCCACAGCTGTCAATCAACATGACTGAAGGTGGGACCCAGCCATTGCTGTCAATCAATAGGACTGGAGGCGGGACACAGCCACAGCTGTCAATCAACAGGACGGGAGGTGGGACCCAGTCAGAGCTGTCAATCAATATGACTGGAGGTGGGACCCAGCCACAGCTGTCAATCAACATGACTGAAGGTGGGACCCAGCCAGAGCTGTCAATCAATATGACTGGAGGTGGGACCCAGCCACAGCTGTCAATCAACAGGACTGGAGGCGGGACCCAGCCAGAGCTGTCAATCAACAGGACTGGATGCGGGACCCAGCCACAGCTGTCAATCAACAGGACGGGAGGTGGGACCCAGCGAGAGCTGTCAATCAATAGGACTGGAGGCGGGACTCAGCCACAGCTGTCAATCAACAGGACTGGAGGCGGAACCCAGCGAGAGCTGTCAATCAATAGGACTGGAGGCGGGACTCAGCCACAGCTGTCAATCAACAGGACTGGAGGCGGAACCCAGCCAGAGCTGTCAATCAGCAGGACTGGAGGCGGGACCCAGCCAGAGCTGTCAATCAACATGACTGAAGGTGGGACCCAACCAGAGCTGTCAATCAACAGGACGGGAGGTGGGACCCAGTCAGAGCTGTCAATCAATTTGACTGGAGGTGGGACCCAGCCAGAGCTGTCAATCAACATGACTGAAGGTGGGACCCAGCCAGAGCTGTCAATCAGCAGGACTAGGGGCGTGACCCAGCCAGAGGTGTCAATCAGCAGGACTGGAGGCGGGACCCAGCCACAGCTGTCAATCAACAGGACGGGAGGTGGGACCCAGCGAGAGCTGTCAATCAATAGGACTGGAGGCGGGACCCAGCCACAGCTGTCAATCAACAGGACTGGAAGCGGGATCCAGCCAGAACTGTCAATCAGCGGGACTGGAGGCGGGACCCAGCCACAGCTGTCAATCAGCAGGACTGTGGGAGTGACCCAGTCAGAGCTGTCAATCAGCAGGACTGGGGGAGTGACCCAGTCAGAGCTGTCAATCAGCAGGACTGGGGGAGTGACCCAGTCAGAGGTGTCAATCAACAGGACTGGAGGCGGGACCCAGCCAGAGCTGTCAATCAATAGGACTGTAGGCGGGACCCAGCCAGAGCTCAATCAGCAGGACTGGGGGAGTGACCCAGTCAGAGATGTCCCTAAGAAGAACAGGCAAACAAACTTTTTCAACCCAGGAATCTGTGGCTGTAAAGTTTAGTGACTGTATTTGTGTACCAGTGTCGCTGCGCATTTGGGTGCAGCAGTGACCATATTCTAATAAATACTTAGAATATTACTTATATTACTAATATACTTATATTATTATTATAAATAATAATAATAATCCTTGCATTTGATGTAGCGCTTTCATCCTCGTGGGTATGAACGTGTGAACGGCATCAGGCTTAGAAAAGGAGGGTAACTTTATTGAATAGTGCATGGGGTTTAAACAAATACAAAATCTAGTGCTAATCTGAATCAGTGTAGGGAACATAGTCTATAGCTTTGTGATTGAGTAATCTAATCAGCAACAACTTGTATTGTAATGATTGTTACTAAACCAGGCACAAAAAAAACTCTTATTTTAGCTTTTTAATGGTGAAATTTAACTGTGACGTTAAACATATTCAGAATGAAAACTGGTGTTGGTTATTGACAGTAATGAATGATTACTGATGATGATGATCAGAAATACATTTATTTACTGACTTGTGTCTCTTCAGATTGTAAATGGTGAGTGTGATTGGAAAGGGGTGGGCAGTAATGGGACAATAGATAGATGAAGGGGGCTCAGTGACGTTAATAGTGGTAAGATTATCCAGGAATTTATTGATGTCTCCCTTTGTTGGCTATTCTGTGTACGAAGCAAATATAAAATTGTATTGAGATTTAAAAATAATAAAGTACTGTAGGTGTGTGTGTGTCTCTCTCTCTCTGAGAATGTGCGTCTCTGTGTCTGTGAGTGTGCGCGTGTCTCTTTGTGTCTCTTGAGTATGTGTGTGTCTCTCTCTGTGTCTGTCTGTATGTGTCTCTCTCTGGGTCTCTGTCTCTGTGCGGTGCTGGGCCCTGAAAGGCAGGAGGTGGTGAGCTCCTGTAGCCCACTGCATGTCTCCACGCACCCCCCACCCCCCCTCCAACCTAAGTGGACCACCCACTTTTTATTAAAGAAGAAATTAATACAAATGTTTTGCAACAATCTAACACGTGTTATTTCCTCATGTTTAGTTTTGATGAATAAAGTGATAAAATGTGGGTTGGCAGTAAAATGTACCTCAACAGCACCAACCACCTGTGCAATTTTAGGCAAATATTTTCACACTTTTCTAACGGCTCAGGTCACATTTTCTTACAACACATCTCACACTTGGCTGACGCTGAAGGCCAAGGAGGACCAGACTGCAACCAAATTGTGACAGTTCTTACTTTGGCCATTAGATGGCGAAATTGAGCTATAAAAGTTAGAAGAAGAGGCCAAGTTCTGCCATAAACAGTGTACTGTACTTCACACTTTCATACGTCAGGGTCAGCTGAAGGAATTGCAACCCATTTGACCTCATCCTTCTTCAGTCTGGCTTAGATACTCTGAAGGACGGTGAAGGGTTTCCACATTTGTCAGGCTCCCAGCTGACAAAAAGCAAAAATGAAACACACTGTCCCTCCCGGCTCTCTGAAGGTAGAACCACAGCAGCAGAAATACATCGTGGGACCATATTAAATGTGCTTTCTTACTAGAAGCATGCGTGAGCGCATCCCTTTGTGCCGCTTTTATGTTGAGGTGAGGAAACACTGGCATCTCATTGCTGGAAACTCTGGTATTAAAGTGTTCTGCTGCATCAACCCATCACCATTTATATCAAAATGAAGCTGCTGTGTTGTTGCATAGTTGCAAAGCAACAACAACAATTTAGCAACAACAAGTTGCATTTATATAGTGCCCTTCACGTTGAGAGGGCATGAGAAAGTGCATCATGCTGCTGATTGAGCTCCCAAGCTCAGGATGGGGGAAAGAAAGAGAGAATCAAAGAATGGCCAAAAGTGCAGTTGTGAGATCAGTGAAATTCATGTGCATTCAAGCTGTGAGTCTTGGAATTCAGTTCTGCCTAAAGGGATGGGAATCTGTGAAAGTGAACTCAGCAAATTCAATCCTGCAACTACGCACCACAAGTTGGGCCATTGCTGTGCTCAAATTGGCTGCTGCATTTGCCAACAATATATACAGTCACTATACTTCACAGCGAATCCTGTGAAGCACTTCGAGACACCATCCTAAAGTGAAAGGTGCTATAGTAAGTGCAAGCATTATGATTAATTACAATCCCTAAATTTATTCAATCATTCATTTTATGGCCGTTTGAGGAGCCTTGCTATCTCTGCAAAACAGTCACTATGCATCAGAGTAATTACTGCAAAACACTTTGAGACATTTTAACATTAAGCTGCACTTTGGTAAGTGCAAGGAGTTTTCTTTATAAACGGTGCACTTTAAAATATATCTCCCTCTCTTACTGCCGTCAGCTGTTATTTGTTATTTTACTCTGTATTTAATGGGCATTTGCTGAAATTGTAGCCGTTTCAAAAGACAAATAAGAGATGTCTGTTGCATTGTTTTTTTCCCTCCCCACCAATTTTCCTTGACAAATTGCTCTGTCAGAAGTACTCTGATGCTATAAGGATCTTCTTATAATCTATTTCCTATTAGATTTACATTAAGTTAATCGCTGTAGGAAGCAAAATGCTGCAGTTTTGCTCACTCAATGAACACAGAAACACACAATCTTAATGGCTTAATTTGTAGTCTGACCCTTGTACTTACATTAAGAAAAAGATGGAAAGGCTGAATGCATTTAAAAAGCTAAAGTAACAATCCCGAGAAAGAAATCAAGCTAGTTTATTACTAATGAATAACCCTAAATGGTTCCCAGAGACACTGTGCAAATTGGCAAGTGAAATATTTTCTCAATTTTGTTCATAGATTGAGAGCCACCAGCACAGCCCGGTAATTAAATTAAATTAACAGACTCCTGACCTGACAGCCTCATTTTAGTCAGTTAAATGTGTCACACACCATTGTGTGCCATGAATGCATTCAACCCGGAAAATTTATAGGAGTATTCAGAAATGTGAACATATCTCTCAGTTGGTGTGGGAAAGGAGGGGGTTAAGCCAACTAGATGCAGGAATAAGTATAATTTTGTGATGTATTAAAAGTTTCGGCAACTGGTCTGAGGATTTGAAAGTTGTGGTGATGAAAGTTTGAAGGTAGTTATGTAGAAGATAGTTTCCTTTGAGTTTAGAAGCTTGAGGCGTGATCTAATTGAGATGTTTAAAATAATAAATGGATTGGATAGGATAGCTACAGAGAAACTATTTCCTCTGGTGGGGAATCCAGAACAAAGGGGCATAATCTTAAAATTAGAGCTAGGCCTTTACAAAGATAGAGAGGAGGGAAGTTGGTAGATGAGAGAGAGAAGGCAGGCTAGATGAAGGAGAGGAGGAAATATGAGAAAAAAAGAGGAGGGGCAGGTGAGAGAGACAACAAAAAGAAAAAAGAATACAAAAGAATGAAATAAGAAAATAAGAAAGAGATATAAGAAAGAGAAACCAAGGCACAGAGGTGGAAAGAGAGTTGTTCAATGTTATGTTCATACACCTTCACTCTTAAAGCAATAAAATACAACAAAGGAATGGGTTTTAAATGTGTTTTGGAAAAGTTTACACGCAGAAGCTTGTAAAATAATCCTCGGAGGTTTGCAGGGATATAATAATAATAATAATCCTTGCATTTGATATAGCGCTTTTTACGTCTTCTAGATGTCCCAAAGCGCTTCACAGAATATACTGTAAAGTTAATTGACTGTATATTTGTGGGCGAACGTGGCAGCCAATTGCGCACAGCAATGTCCCACAAAGTCATGGATTGAAAATGACCAATTTATTATTTTTTGGGGGGAGGAATTATTATTAGGCGTGTGGAGTAAGGAAACTTGCCCAAGGTTTCGCCCTCTGCCTGGAATTGAACTCAGGTCTCTCGCTTGCAAAGCGAGTGCTCTAACCACTGAGCTACAGTACTGCAAAGCTACTAATAATAATCCTTACATTTAATGGATGGGCTAAGATAATAATAATTATAATAATAGGTTAAGATAATAATAATCCTACATTTAATTAATAAGTGTAATGACTGTGTATTAAAATACCACTGTGAGCACATCACAACCACTTTATGATCTGCAGATTCAGTCAGAGCCTAGCACTTCAAGGTGACCATTTTGCTGATGTTGATGCTGATGTTGATGCTGATGTTGATGCATTGAGAAAGAGCTGGCCCTGCCAAGTGACCGAGATAGAGTGAAAGGCAAGGAAGAAGCAACGACTGTTCTCTGGGCACCTGTGATCGGCAGCTTCTCACTGGGCAGAACATTAGGTTTTTCAATGGATGGCTGAGCCGTTCTGCTTTGCCAGAGAACATGCTCTGTGTTTTGATTTGCTCAGGTTCTATTCTTCTTGTCAAAGATCTTAGGAAGCCTTTCCAAATCAGAAATATTCTGGCATCGATTCTCCTGATTAACGCTGTGATCTTTTGTCGTTCCCCCCCCCCCCACCAATATCAATCAATACAATACTCTCCAAATGATTTTATAGCATTTGCAGTGAGCAAAACTAGAATTTTAGTCTACAACATGATGTAGAGACCGTAGTGGTGCATTATCTTATCAACCACAAAACATGCTATTCATTTATTGCTAATTAATTATTGATAAACATGCAGTAATGGCTCTATTTGTCAATGCTGCAGATTTATTGTTAGCATCCATTCGTAATGTAGAGGGCACTGTCTGTTAATAATACAACAGAGGGCACTGTCTGTCTGCACTATAACATAGAGAGCCCTGGAGATCTATCCTATAAGTGGTCCTCCTCTTCCTCTCTTGAAACGGTTTTGATTCCTTTTTCTTTTTTTTCATTTCACATCTCAACCAGTTGTGCCGTTATTCATAGTGAACCTTCATAATGAGTGTCAGCAGGTATTTGAATGCATGAGCATCATATGTGAATACAAAAGTCCCCCAATGTTCACACAGGTGACCCACTAAAGCAAGAATCTCTGTATAAAGATTAGCAACAAGAATCCTTGCTGATTTCTCCTCCCTCCCCCAGGGCACTGAGTCACTTAACCTAACTCACCTTATCTGTGAATAGTTGAGCTACATAGAAAGTAAAGTGCCTAATAATGCATTTGGCTCAACTAGTTGATTAACTGAGCCAGCAGGAGAGATGATTCTTACATAGCTGCGAGAACACATTGTTTATTCACGCTAACAAATTAAATCCTTGCATTTGATAGAACGCCTATAACTGCAAAATCTCCCAAAGCATCTTCACAGATAAAGGCACGAGGGAAAATAAGATAGACAGAATTGTTTTTCAATTGTTTTATTTATGATAATTCTTTCATTAAAAATAACAATTAAGGTCTAAACAGCCCGAAGATTTAGGTTTTTTGACATACAAAGTCATGGCAACAAAATAACCACGTACAGTTTGAAAACTTGGTAATTAAATGATTAAAGATTAAAGCATTTTTTCGGTAATACCATTTGAGTCTATTATACAATAACCCACATTAAATTAGTCCAAACAAGTCATGAAGATTCTATGAAGAAGCTAAATACAGAGATACAAAGATATTTTCAGGGTTCCTTTCCTTCTTGCAGATCTGCCTGTGCAGTAAAAGATTCCTTCACTCATGTCCTCTTCCATTCCATCTCTGCTTTACAGAACCATATCGACTTTTCCACTGCCAATCTTCACAGGATCAAATTGGTTCAATTAAACCAAAGTGCTACCCCACACAAAGGGTGTTATATTAATGTAAATGGCTGTTAGTTACAATGGGGGCTGTGGTAACAATTTAAATAATCCTCCTGTCACCAACAATCCAAAGTGAAGGCCTCAGAAGGCACAAAATTCCACCTGAAAGACCACTTAAAATTGAGTGATTTCAAATTTAATTTTCAATTTAAAATTTAATTTTTTTTTAAAACTTTAAAATTTAGCATTGCACAGAATCATGGAGAATTCTTAAAGTCTGCCTTAGTCATAAAAAGAAACTTAAATTTTAAGACAAAATTGTCTTGTAGGCAAAGTCCAGGTGGAATTTTGGATGTCAGGTGCATTACAAAGTACCTTGTCTCACGTGAATCATCTTTTCTCTTTAGTTAGTATCTAAGAGAAAGGATTTATTACGATTATGACACATAGCTAATCTAGTGATAGGAGACACTTTGACACACTTACAAGTCAATACAGCTTAATTTCTGTCATGTTCGGTTCATCTAAATCTAACTGGTGGCTTAAAGCTAAAAAAAACTCTGTAGCTTCCATCTTTATTTAGTGCTTTATAGGGATAAAGAGAGTTTCTCCTGGCATCCTGGGCAACAATTGCCCAGAAATAAAACTGGTCTCTCACTTCATGACCGTTTGTGGGACATTGCTGTCGCAAATTGGCTACCGAGTTCGCCTGCCAATACACAGTTACTGCACGCACAGTACAATCTTTTGAAACGCTTTGAGACATCTTGATGATGTGATAAGGCACTACGTCAAATGGAGAATTATTATTATAATAATACTTCTTTACCAAAACGCTAGAGGTTAGAGTTCCAACCCTTCTTTTACTTGTTTCATCTGAGTACTGAGTAGGACAATGTTGGAGTAAATCCTATGACTCCCACACCCGCCTTTGCTCCTCTTTAAAGTTAATGTGAACAACTTGCTTTGTTACCTTAATCATGGAATTGTTGTATGGTACCATTTCAGCTAGTTAGAGCAGTTACTTTATTGCACAACAACAAAATTACATTTGATTAGCGCCTTTTATAATGAAGATTTAGTTTAACAGCTTTGAATCGGAAATGTAGAACTTTTGTCTCAATTCACCTAATCCACATCTCACTTCTCAGATCCCTGGCTAAAGAAACTAACAGTAGAGTTTTTAAACACAATGAGATCCAGACACTGTATGGTAATATTGTAGGCTGGATCAATAGTATCCTACTTGGCATTGTTAGTTTTCCTTTGATATTAGCATTTCAAGTGATTGAGCTTGTGCCCACTGAATCCAGGTTGTGATCATTGTTTTGTGCAACTCCCATTAGCAGTAATGCAAAAGATAACAGAAAACAAATCATGTGGCGTTTTAAGATTGTTAAAACTTGTCAGCGATAAGGTGTCACATAACTCTGACACCAAGACAATGGTAAGACCTGATGTACAGATATACTTCAAGCAGTTAATTAAGAATATAAAAGAGAGTGGAACATAAAAAGGCTATTTGGCACATCAAGCCCATTTCCTCTGACAGAGCACACAAAGCTCACTGTGACTCTACTCCACCCCACTCTGCCAATCTCTTAATTCCCAAAGGTACTAATAAAGCTCAAGAATAGTCATCAATCTTCACATTTTGTCTATTCATTCCTGCTGCCTTTCTCCCATAGACAGCATTCCTTCCTTAGCCCCAGCAACACAGAAATCCCAATGGAATATTGATTAATTCTTATATCTTCCAACAATGCTCTCAAGCAAATACTAACCAGGTATGTTTTTAAAAGAAGTTATTTGATAAAGCATTAATATCTTCTGTTGGATGTCCATTCCATATATCTACTACGTGGGGACAACCCTCGCCCTCTCAACAAAATAAAAACTAGTGGTACCAAGGCACCACTTGGGGAAATGAGTACTGGTGTGACTCTGGATTCTAGACTTCTTTATAGGTCTCGCTTTGTATCTGATGTTATACTGGATTCACTGCTGAATAAATTACGCTATGTAATAAAGTGGTTAAAAATCCACGTTGCGTGTTGACAGTATTCCAAGCAGGCAAGATTCCAGTACCGACAATGTATAAATCAGTCTAAGCAACAGTAGTAAACAAACCAACGCTATAAATTTAAGTCCAGCAGGTCACAATATTCTAGATATAATACAAAACTTGATGTTAGAAACGGGACTTTGATCATGCAGAACATTTTCACGTTACTGTCTCTGCTAGTTTCGGAAGGTTTAAAAGAAAACTAGGCATTTAATCTTCTGTTCTTCCTCAAAACATGAATAAATGTAATTTCTTTTGTGCTTTAAGTCTATTCATTCATGTAAAGTTTTTCAAAGCTGCTTCCTGCCAGCTCAATGTTTTTTCCCCTTTACTTGGATCATTTCTTGTAGCCGCTGCTGTGTATGGTTTATCTACAGTTTTGTATGGATCGTTTAAAGTTTATCTTCGAAACGCTGTCTCCACTTGCCTCCCTGAATCCGATGCGGTGACAAAGACTAGTTGAAAGAAAATACACCATATAATTTGCCCTTTTCCCATGTTGAATATGCTGCAAAAATGATATCCCATTTCTTGACCAAGGACTGGAAGGGGTGGTTAGTGGATATTCAGAAACTTTGACCATTGCAAAGAGGTTTGTAAGTACCTCAAACCTAGTGGGAACAAAGCTTTTAGCTTCTTTGTCACCTCAGATTAACATTTTTTTATAAAGATTGAGCTTCAGGCTGCTTTTCTTCAAGGTCGTCTTGTACTGCGATTGATTCATTTTGTGGACTGAAAGCATGTTCGCTTTTTTGCCTCCCAGCTGTTTCCATGGGCTTTGTGTCTACATCAATCGTGACCTGCGCCTGAGAAAACTCCTCATGTCTTTCGACACCAGCTTCAGAGACGAGAGTTACTTCGATATCTGTTGTGCTTGTTTGACAAATTTCTTGTTCGTGTAACAGTGGAGCAGTTGCTGAAAGAGTATTGCTTGTCTCAGAGTGATCAGTGCAAGTCTGCAAAAGTTCATTTACGTCTGATGGCATGTCTTCTCTTTCAGACTCCTCTTCTTTCTCACATTCCACAAGTTCACTAATTGATTCAAAGACTTCAGGTCCTTCATTTACTTCACCTTCCACACATTCAACTGGTGACGCCAATTCTTCTTTAGACGCCTCTTCTTTCTCACATTCCACCTGTTCAACTGGTGATATCAACTCTTTCAGTTCTTCAATTTTCTCGCATTCCACCTGCTCAACCTGTGATGTCAACTCTTCTTTCTCACAGTCCACATGTTCAACCTGTGATGTCAAGTCTTCTTTCTCACAGTCCACATGTTCAACCTGTGATGTCAAGTCTTCTTTCTCACAGTCCACATGTTCAACCTGTGGTGTCAAGTCTTCTTTCTCACAGTCCACATGTTCAATCTGTGATGTCAACTCTCCTTTAGGTTCTTCGGCTTTCTCACATTCCACCTGTTCACTGATTGTTATAAAGACATCAGGGCCTTTATCTATTTCACTTTCCACATGTTCAGCTGCTGATGCTAACTCTTCTTTAGGCCCCTCGGCTTTCGTACTTTCTACATTTTCAACTATTGAAATTAAGTTTTCTTTCAGTTCCTCATTTGTTTCAGTTTCCAGATGTTGAACTGTTGGTAATACTTCTTCAGATTCATTACCTGTATCACATTCCACATGTTCATCGGTCATTAGTATCGAGACTTCCTTAGACTCCTCATTAGTTTTAGTTTCCACATGTTCAACCGTTGATGTCACTTCTTCTTTATACTCTTCATCTTTCTCACCTGTCGCATGTTCAGTTGTTGACAGTAAAACTTGCTTGGACTCATCGTCCTCCCCATCTGCATGCTCAACTGTTGGTGCCATCTCTTTCTTAGACTCTTCTTCCTTCTCACGTTCCACATGCTCACTAATTGATGCAAATACTTTAGGCCCTTCATCAAGTACACATTCCACATGTTCAACTGTTGGCACCAACTCTTCCTTAGACTCCTCTTCTTTCTCACATTCCACATGTTCACTAATTGATGCAAATACTTTAGGCCCTTCATCTAGTACACATTCTACATCTTGAACTGTTGGCACTAACACTTCCTTAGACTCCTCGTCTCTCTCACTCTTCACATGTTCAAATGTTGCCATCACAATTTCCTTAGATGCATCTTTCTCACTTTCCACATGTTCCATGAGTGTTGATGCCAGATATTCCACATTATCTTCTTTACCCTCATCTTTAAGATCTTCAGCCACGTTTGGTGACACTTCTGTAACAAGATTGAGGCATTCTTCAATATGGTTATCAGCATTTGTTTTCGACTGCAAAGACTCTTTTTTTCCAACTCCCTCATCTTGACTTGTGGAGAGATCATCCACTGGTACTATTGCCACTGTTAACAAGTTCTGTATTTCTTTTAAACTGTCTGGAGCAGTACTGCAGGTTATTCCTTCTTCCTGTTTTTCAACTACTTGCCTATTTTGGCATTCACTTCCCACTAGAGCCTCATTATCTATCTTGTGATCCAGAGTCGTGGGTTCTTCAACTTCCTGATGTGCTATTATGGCACAAACTGTTTCTTGGAGCCGAGTGGAATCTGATTCAATGATAACTGATTCTCCATTCTGTTCAGAGTCAGATGTGGTGCGTAGAATTTCAGCACATGGAGCCTGCTGAGAGACCGACTGCTCTTCACACACTTGCTTCCCATTCAGCGAGGAATCAGATGTGGGTGAAGGAATATTGAGAGCAGTGGCAGCTTGGGAGACCACCTTTCCCCCACTTTCTGGGCCTTCAGCAGGTGAACTCTCAGGTAAGACTTTAGCAGGGCTTCCTGACTGGGATCCCATTGGGCTCTTGCCCTTGATTTTATCTGTGAGATTGCCCTCGCTATCACTGGTATAAACCACTTGGTCATCAAACAGATTATGCTTCTTCAAGCTGGCAGCTTCTTTCACCACTATCAACAAAGAAGTGAAAAAACATTAGTTTTTCAGAGAGTGTCGCATTCATTATGTTACAGTTTATCCAACAAGAATGAAACGCTTCAATTAACACAAGGTGACCTGGGAGACAGTGTGAGTAGGTGAAGGAACAAGGGGCTGGAAACAAGACAATGGTCATGATTCCCATTGTGACAAATTCCTTATTTCAAATTCCTTGCGTGAATTTTTGTGTCAAGAGGATATCTCAAAAGCACTTCACGGGATTTTACTACAAAGTGTGCTTTGTAGTAATAATAGTAAGAGTAATAATGTGTAATGTATGCAACATATACACAATTCACCTAAGGTGATGAGAATTGTCCACCCCATTGGGAAGCAAAAAATCAGGAATCCTAAACTGGTTTACAAATTTAAATTTGTTTTTAATATTTTTATAAACAAATGTTTAAGCACTCCGAGACGCTACCCCACATGAAGGGTGCTGTATAAATGCAAGTTGTTGTTGTTTAAAAATCAATCTCACAATTGCAGATAAGCTTTTGAAACCATTACTTGCATGAAGGCAATTGCATCAGGCGTAGACAAGAAACAAATGGCTTGGGCTTTCCAATAAGTAATTCTGATGCAAAATTGCTGAACCAAGGAGTACAAACTCAGCCAAATTTGGGAGCAGTGTTTTGCAAGATAAACTGAATTGATCTAAATCACTTAGGAAGCTGACACTGACAGAATCAGAAGCTGCTCTCTCCAGAATACCAGAAATTGAATGCTTCATTAACAACTTAGCTGGCAATGCATAAAACTCTTTACGCACAACAGTTATTGAGTCAGTCAGCAGGCTTCTGAGTGAGTCATCGATTGACTCAAAGTTATGACTTCAGATGTAGAAAGGAGCCATGTCGACCATGACATTGCTATTTAAAGGGACACGGTCTTCATGTTTGGCAAGTCCAGCAGTGCACAAAGCATTGAGTTCATTGAGAAAACTGCATCATCCTCACTTTGCTCAGGTCGCTTGTTAGCTTTCTCTTTCTTTTCGGTTACTTTTCACTATACGCTCCACCTTACAGTATATCCTGTGAAGTGTTTTGAGACATCCTCCCAACTTGAAAGGCGTTATATCAAATGTAAGAATTATTATTATATCTTCTTCATGTGAAGGGCGCCACACCAAATCTAAAGGTTAGTATTATTTTTCATTATAATAATAATCCTTGCATTTGATATAGCGCTTTTCACGTCTTCTCGATATCTCAAAGCCCTTCACAGAATAGACTGTAAAGAGAATTGACCATATATTTATGGGCGAAACGCGGCAGCCAATTGCGCCACAGCAGTGTCCCACAAACAGTCGTGTTTGTTATGACTATTATTACTGTGAAGGCCATGCATCAGCTTCACTGCAAGAATGTGCGATAATAACACTGATAATAATCCTTGCATTTGATATAGCACGTTTTCATGTCTTCTAGACGTCTCAAAGCACTTCACAGAATGTACTGTAAAGTGAATTGACTGTATGTTTTGTGGGCGAAACGTGATATAATGATACATTTCAATGGCCCATACGACATTGGTAAACAACGGAAGGAAAAGTTAACAGTTTCCCAATCGAGATAATGGCCCCTTTAATACAAAAGATGGTTCACCTTTCACAACATCCTTCAAAAGTATCCGAAGCAAGATTTCTTCATAGACGTTCTCCACTTGTATGAGGCTGGTGTAATCTGCAAAGACGTATTGCTCAAATTTCTGAAGTTCCTAAGGAAGGAATAGAAAGAGTTTGTGATCTAATCTCCAATAAAATAGAATGCTTCCTATCCACCTCCATTTAGATAGAATAATTTAACGAATGCACCACCAAACCATGTCTGCTTCCAATGAGCTGAGCCACACAAACCAGGCCAGACCGGACTAGGAAAACTCCGGGTTCAAATCCTGGGTCTGTGCTGAGTTAACGGAGCTCAGCTGGAGCAATAGTAGGGAGGCTTTCGGAATTGCTTCAGTAACTTTTTTTTTGGGGGGGGGGGGGGGGGGGAGTCAACCAGGTGTCCGAAGCACGGTGACGGGTTTCCACATGTGTCAGAGTATCCAAACCAAACTGAGAATTCCATGCAGCCCACCTACATCTGGAAATTCCAGAGATACATTGTTGGAATGGAACGCACTCTCTCACCCTGGAAGGATGCATCCTGTTTAGCGAATACCGTAAAGCATTAGGCACAGGTTGACAAGAGCCAAGGCTTGGGGGCTCCAGAATGTGGGTTGGGTTAACTGCTGGAGTCTAATCAGCTAAAATCGCATAGCTTGCCATTCCTACCACTGTAAGCGCTTCACAAAATATACTGCAAAGTGAATCGACTGTATACTTTGTTGTCAAACGAGTATAGTTTTATTTTATATAGAACAGTTTCAATCTGAAACTGGGAAGCTGCAGCTAAAGAAAACTAAAGACCATCTGAAACATTGATTCAGAACTTCCTGCGTTGTGTGCTGAAGCTTCACTGCGGTGTCCAGCAGTGCATAAGACACAAAGTTCAATGAAGTAACTCCATCATGCTCAACTCCACTTGGGTCAGTTGGCAGCTCTCCATAATTTGCCCTTTCTTAGACTTGCTTTACATCTCTTCAGTTCCGTTCTCTTCCTCCCCCTCCCCCACCCCTCTGCCCATGTCCTCCCACCCCATGTCTTCTCCTATAAAAATGAATCATGCACTTCATAGGTGAGCGTGGGACATTGCCGTGTGAAACTTGGCTGCCCCGTTCACCCACAAAAACACAGTCAGTCCACTTTAAACTGTATCCTGTGAAGCACTTTCGATCCACCTGACACGAAAGATGCTATATCAAATGCAAGGATTATTATAATTACTATTATCCTAGTGACTAAGGAGGTTAAGTCTCTGCCTATGAGTCAGCCTTTGGGAGATGGCCAAGATCCTTGAGGTCACCTTCTGATACTTAACAGCAAGGAAGAGAAGGTAGCTATTCCACTACTGTATTCTAAGCTGGCGCTTGCTCCACCACTGCACTTAACCATTCCCTTATACTTAGCCCATATATTTCAATATTACGTTTTCAGTTCCTTTTGAAATGCTGATGCGGACTCAACTTCAACAGTCATTGGTGATAAAGCACTCCATATTCTAACAACCCTCAACATAAAGAAAAATTCTAATCTTCCCCTCCGCACATCCTTTATCTTATGCTGATAATCCAAAATGTATTTCCTCTTGTTACTGACTCACTGATCAGGAGAAGTGGCTCTCTATAGTTTACTAATGAAAACTGTCCACAAGTTTACAGTAATACCAGCTGTGCCGGGTAATCTCTTTACAGTGCAGACTGCACCTAGCTACAACAGAAAAAGCTACCTGCTCCCTTCTCTTTTCACAAAATCACTTGACCTGGGATCTTTAACTTCCACCTGAACAAATAGCCAGGACTTTGGTTTAACATCTCATCCAAAGCACAGCACCTCTGACAATGCAACTACCCCACAGCATAACATTGGAGTGTAAACTTGGACTGCGTGAGTTCAAGTCTTGACTTGGGGCTTGAGCGCCCTGAGACGCTACCCTGTGTGGGGGGCGTTATACAAGTGAAAGTTGTTATTGTTAAACCCACAACCTTCTGACTCAAAGCTAGAGTGCTACCAACTGAGCCAGACTGACACACACAATAAATGTTGAACCACCTTTGTGGTGCACCAACACTGTCTTATCTTCCAAAACAATTTTGCATCTCTGATAAATATAAGAAGGGGCCACATTTAGCTGAAACATCTGCTGGTCTTGTGAAAATGTGGAAGTTGTGAAACACAAAGTCATCCTCGGAAGACTTGTGCACTTGGAGGTAAATGCTGCAATAAAACCACAGATATTGATGGCTAGTGGAAGACCATGTGGCAGACCATGACCATTATATCTGTGTTGGATCTTTAAGAGAGCAATTCTTTCAGTCTCATTTACTTGCCCTTTCCCCCCATACTCATATAGTTCACTCCTCTTCAGGTATTTTTCTAGTTTCCTTTTGAAAGCTAATACAGATTTTGCCTCAACCATCACTCCTGGTAAGGCATTCTATATCCTAATAACTCTGTGATAAAAAAAATATTCTAACCTCCCAATTGCCTCATCTGCTAAGTATCTTCAATTGATAGTGAGACCTCTTTTTCAGGCAGGTGATGACTGTGGTTTGGTGAATTGTTGCTTTGATGAAAACATTGCATTCAGTGAAAACTGAAATGGTGGAAATCAAAAAAATCCTTGCATTTGATACAACTTCTTTCATGTCGAGAGGACATTTCAAGCATTTACTGAAATCTCTGGTAACTGTAGGCATATCCGGCAGCCAATTTGTGCCCTGCCAAGTTCCACAAACAGCTATGAAATTCGGAATTGTTGGCCCAGACACCGGAAAAAACTCTCTTCTCTTTTTGAGTAGTGCCACAGGATCTTTAATGTCCACCCAAATAGGCAGGTCTCCCCCAAGCCCAATGTTTCAGTGGATCAAACCTGAAACATTAACCTTCCTGTCTCTAACTCAGACGCTGATTCACCCCCGGCGGATTGAATTAAAAAAAAATAAACTCAGATTTTCACCATTTGCATTTCTTCCTTTTTTTTCCAAAGTTTCTCCTTAATTTCTTAAATGTTAGAGGGACTTGAAGGGGTATTGGGATAAGGGAAGGCAGTGGGATTGAACTAAACTTTGTTCTCTGAGCTGGTGTGGAGTCGATGGACCAAAGGTGTCTTTCACCCCTGTAGATTTCTACATTTCTATTAAAAGTTGATAGCCTCTCACACTGGGAATAACACATCGCTTGAGGGAGGAGTAATTTCTATTAAAAGTTGATAGCCTCTCACACTGGGAATAACACATCGCTTGAAGGAGGAGTAATAAACGCAGGTTTGTTTCCTGGTTATCAGATGGCTCAGTGAATATCAGCATAATGATCAAGCAGATATCATGGCAATTGCTAATCCTTTGCATTGGCAGGTGATGAATGCTGCAGAGCACAGTGTGAAATTAAAGTCACACCCTCCCCAATGGGCAATTACATTGGTTAATGTGGCACTGAGCCAAACATGCCAGGCGGTCCCGAGTATGGTTTGTTTCTTGGTTCCCACGAGAGATAGAGATGCTACTCTTTGCTTCATTGCCCTCTAAAACACAGGAAATTCCATCTGTAGGTTGGATGCGTGGAGCTCTCAGTCCGGTTTGGATACTCATAAGCACGGGTGAAGGGTTTCTGCATGTATCAAGACACCCAGCTTACCGAAAACAAAATTGCCCTTGAAAAGATGCCAAGACTTTCTGTTCTTGATTGCTATCCTGTGTGACATATTTGGCTCTCTATAGCAAATTGTTCAAATTAGAGCTAAGCTATTTAGGAATGAAATCAGGAAGCATTTTTTCCATTCAAAAGGTAATGGAAATCTGGAACTCTCTCCCCAAAAAGACTGTGGATGCTGGATCCATTCAAATTTTCAAGACTGAGGCAGATTGATTTTTGTTAGGTCAGGATATCAAGGATATTGGGCAAAGGCAGGTACTTGGAGTTGAGCTACAATTCAGTCATGATCTAATACAATGGCGGAAAAGGCTGGAGGAGCTGAATGGCCTACTCCTTTTCCTATGATTCAGTGCTTCGAAAGGGATTCCGTTCTTCATAGCACACAATATGCAAACATTACAAGAAAGGGTTACTTACAGGTTTGCAACTCGGAGCCAAGGCTTTCTGCAGCGATGGCATGCTGATCTCCACCAGCGCATCTTGGAATAACTTCTTCCTCACTGTGCTGCTGTCGTGGTCATATTGCTGGGAGAGAATATACAGTTTTGCTTTATTTTTTGCTGTCTGTAAAAGCTAGAGTTGTCAGCTGCTGTCCTGCATAAAATTCCTTCGACAACAATATGTAAAAAAAATTACTGCATTTTTTTAAGAAGTGTTAAAGAACAATTTACATTTATTCCAGAGGTTAGGGATATAGAAACTCAAAGCTTGGCATAAACAAGGTGAAAGACAAGGTCAAAAAGGCAAACATAATAATCCTTACATTTGATGCAAAAACACTTTGACACGATAAGGTGCTACACCAAATGCAAGTATTATTATTATTATTTCACTTTATTCAAATATCTCAAAGTGTTTCACATGAATTACTCTAAAGTATAGCAACTGTATTTGTAAGCAATCAGGAGTAATGTTTTTGGGGGCATGTCACAAGCTTATTTTACTGCTCAGCATTTTTCTCCTCCAGTTTCCTTCTGTTGTGAAGATGTTCAAATTTTTAAACCATTAGATTAAAGCTAATCTTGTATTCAGTCAATATCTACAGATAAAGGGTATTTAGGGTTTGGGTTTTATATGTGCACCTCCAGCAATGAGGAGGTGATGCATAGAAAGCAGAGTGGAAATGCGTCTAATTTTCCCACACCCCCACTACCTTTCTGGCTGAAATCAACTAACTAACTGAGCACAGACTGGGGTTTGAACCTGGGAACTTTCAATAGCTCAGCTGCACACTGAAAACTCATTGAAGCCATAGGAAGCTGTAAGTGCAAGGCTTTTTGATTTTGATGCCAAGATTTGCTAAATAATAATTGTAATAATCCTTGCATTTGATATGGAACCTTTCATGGTAGGAGGATGCCTCAAAGCACTTCAGAGGATATAATATTAATAATCCTTGCATTTGATATAGCATCTTATCATGTCATTGTGACAGCTCAAAGCGCTTCACAGAATATATTGGAAAGTGAAATGACTGTAGTTGATGGGCGAAACATGGCAGCCAATTGCACACAGCAGTGTCCTAAAACCATCATGGATTGAGTGACCATATTTTTGGAAGGATTATTACCTCCGGTAAGTGATCTGCCAATCAACTAACAACCGGGTTCCTCCTTACTGCTAAGTAAACAGAGTAGTGTTGAGTAAAGAAACTTGCCTAAGGTTTCGCCTGCCCGGGAATCAAACCTGGGTCCTCTCATTTGCGAGATAAGTGTTCCAACCACTATGCTATGGGACTTCCAGTGCTGTTTTGCTCCACAAAACATTGGTGGAGCTGCATTGAAAAAAATAAGACCGTTTCTAATCAGCCTATATAAAAGGTCAAGGCTGTCTGCCGACCCTTCAAAAGAGCATTACTGCACAGAGCACTCCTTCAACTAAGACCTCTCTGCGGAAGAAGATAGGCATCCACAAATAGCAGCATGCAACCCACAAGGGGAGTTATATTTTCCTCTAGTTATCCTTTCTTTTGAGATACTCACTGAAAAGATCAAATGTTGCTTTAGATCAATGCTTTGTCTGGTGAATTGAAAGTGATCCTATATTAGCAAGTCAATGCTCAAGCAGGGTCATTGGATTTCATTAGCAAACTGCACTTTCATTACCTTTAACACTCGTTGCTTAACCTTTTCTATGGATGTTGCAATTTTTGACGGATCAGTCTTCAGTGAATCTGATAAGAGTTGTTCAAACGTGAAGACTGCATTGTCCATCAACTGGTAAAACACAGAAAGGTAACACTGAAACATTGCGAATTTTAAGTGTTTATTTATGTTTAACTGTAACACTTGTCATTAAATAATGAGCAAGACAGGCCACTTGCCACAGTATCATACACTAATAAATCTCTTCTATTTATTCCAGTATAGATTATTTCTATATTGAGTAGGGAAAGGTAAAGGATCAGTCTTATCGTATAGGAGATTGAATAACAACAATTTACATTTATATAGCGTCTTTCATTTTGGGAGGACATTTCAAAGTGGTTCACAAGAGTGACTGGGAATCTCTGCTGGGGGTGGGTAAAAAGCTGGAGAAGAGAGGAAAAAGGTGGCCGAAAGTGGGATCAAAAAGATAAGCCTCAAGCAAGTTTTGAAGGCAGGGAGTGTGGGGGCCATGGGGTGGAGAGACTGCAGAATGGAGTTACAGAGACCTCGGGCAGCTTGACTGAAAGCTTGCCCAGCAATGGTGGAGCGGGGGACATGAAAAAGGTTTAGATCGATGATGCCTGGAAGAGTGATGATGTTAAAAGCTTGGATTCTAAAAGCCCTTAGATTGTAGGAGGATGGTAAGGCAGACAGAATAAACAAGCTTGTGAAAGAACGAAGTACAGAGATGGAGCCAACACTGATCACCTTAATTTTTTAACATAATTCAGGCTCTAGAAGGAGGAAGCGAAGAATGTTCAGAAGAACAGCAGCATTGACAAAACAGAAAGACTAGATCGACTCAGACAGGAAGAGAAAGAGGGAGTCTGTCTTCTATTGTAGAAGAAGTCTATTGTTGCTGAATGAACATCCACCTATTGTAGCTGAATAAACATTCACTGATGTCAAAAAGATTGTAGCTTGATTGCAGCTTTAGTTGCTACTTACTTGTTCTCTTGTTGAGCTAAATGAAGGACAAGGCCAAAAGCCCTATCCAGCATTTTCCCAGCCTGTTTTTATGGCCAGGAGAGTTGACCGTGTTCCTCAGTCACAGTGTGAAGACTTTTTTTAAAAGTTTCAGTTCCATTTAGGATGCTATTCTATTCAGCCACTGGGGATATGGATCACTGCTTGTTCTGGTACTCACCCAATGCTCACACACAAAGCATCTCTGGCAGGGATCATTGGCTAGCACTCTGAAGTCAGAGGCTTAGCAGGCTTCTCACCAACCCAGCTCAGGGACCCGACTATAACATTGTTCTTTTAAACATTCCTCCTGAATTATAACACCCCCAACCCCCTGTGTCCTGCCTGAGATCAGAAATGAGCACAGAGCAAGGAACAACTTTACAAGTTACTGCTTCACTTGGCTGAGTAATATCCTTCATCCAGGGGAGATTCTTCATCAAGTTGGCATCCAGGTTAATGTAGGTTGCTACTGAAGACCTGTGGAATTGTAATGAGATACAGGAAGACTCTCAGAACACGTACCTCTTGCATGATGTTCTGGGTTCTCTGAATGAGGCTCTCTGTATTGACGAACTTGAAAGAGTTGTTCATCTCCCCATGCTGGTCTTGAAGAAGGTGAACTTTACTGTAGCACAGCTGCATCTTGATCCCATTCAAAGGCAAGTTCAGCAGTGGAGCAAGGTTCTGTGTGCAAGAAATCAGACACTGTCTAATATTGTTACGGGAATGGATTCAATCCATTCTCCTGTCAACAGTTAGAATACAAGAACATAAGAATTGTAGATGAAAGAAGACTAAGGTCCATCCAGTTTGCCTTCTACCCATCCTGGCAGTCGCATGTACGTGTCCTGTCCGAAACTATATAAGGGTTAGAATCCCTTATAACAATGACTTGCGCTGATGAGGCATTGAACAAACATCTCGAAGCACTCAGCAGATATACTAATGGAAATTTACAGAGTTTTAGGGGGAAAAAAAAACGCACACATATTTACCTCTTTCAGTTTCTCGCCACCAGAAGAGCCTTGGAATTTTTTGCTCATTTCATTGACCTCAGTTTCAAAGAGTGATCGAACTTCACTAAATCCAGAGCTGATGGGTCCCATCAACTCTTCCAGTATGGAAGCCAGGTAGGGTTTAACGTTCTGAACATAACTCTCGTCTATCTTTTCGATGATTGTGGCTGAAACAAATATTCATTTAAACTCAACAGCTAGTTACATTTTCATTTGGTAAAGAACATATTGTAGATAAACACTATAAACATGGTTAACGTAAAGTCTAACTGCCATTTTTTGCATCTGATTTAATTTCACTACATTTGTGCTTGAAAGTTTAATGCGTAAAATTAAACTTACCATCGCTTTAATGTAATTGGTAAGTGCAACCCTTAGGGGTTTGTATGAAAATATGGGGCCGCAACACAGGAACCTGGCCCATTCCACAAAGCGGGCGCTAAATTCAATAGGTTTAGAGTAGTCACAAACTCTACAACAAAGGGACACAGACTTAAGCTCAGAAGAGGGAAGGTGAACGGACAGCACTGATTTAATTATTTTGCACAGAGACGGGTGAACACATGGAATGGACAACCCAGGTACGGATGGTGCCAGCAAATGTGAGAGGGAATTGAACAGCAATCTGGGGAAGGAAGGAATGATTGAGAGGATTGCAAGATATAGTGCAGGATTGATTTTCTTTTTATTCAACCAGGCTGGCTGATCTGTCAATAGCAATGCCCCGGAGGAATCTGTAGCTAAGTGGTCTCTCCTTGGAGCTGAACTGGATCTATTGTGATGTACTCGGCAATGGAATATTGGAATAGAGTCAACCATCTCTCCTCGGAGGACAGTCACAGGTTGAATACAATACAAATTTATATTTATATGGCATCTTTCACATCTGGAGGACATGCTCCCAAGGCCTTGAAATAATTACTTTATAGGACTTTATCTTCCGGAGATGGAGTGGGTTGAGTAAATTGTAAATGGTCTTTTGGACGAATGGGCTTTATAGGCTGAATGGCTTTCCTCCTTCAATATTTTATGTCTCTATCTTTACCTCGAAGTTTGCCAGCCATAAAGTCCTTTGAGGAGATGATCTGATCCATATCTGATCGTATTCTCCCTTCCAGGTCAGTGCTCGATTTTTTGCACTCCTCCTCTAGGGCCTGCAACCCTTCACCCAGCTGCTCTTGTACTATAGTATAAGCATGCTCCACAATCTGTTAGGATAATAAAATAAACCAGATTAGGTTCACACAAAAGTTTATGCCACTCAAAAACTCTTCAGGAAAATGTCTCAGGATTGGAGGTAATAACCCCTATAAAAAAATGGTCATGATTGTTTGTGGAACACTGCTGTGTGCAATTGGCTGCTGCATTTCACCCACAAAATACAGTCAATCCACGTTGCAATATATTCTGTGAAGCGCTTTGAAACGTCTCAATGACATGATAAGGCACTAGATCAAATGCAAGGATTATTATTATTATTATTGTTATTAAGGAATGATCAGTTGGAAATGAGTGCATTTTGGATTTAGATATTTCATTGATGTTTCTAAAGTGCTTAGTATTTTGTAATACATGTAAACTGCAATTTTTGATTACTCGTTACTACTACCCGAACCAGTTTTGCGGAGGGGAAGGGGGGAGTGGTACGTACACCGAACCAGGTCTTCTTCTTTTCATTTCTCCTCCCTTTCATCTTTGGCAGGATGTCACTCTGGAGTGTGGGCAGCAGTTCTTCCATCACCAGATTACTCAGAATCTACAAGAGACAGGGACATATATAGACGCTATTCATAGATTCCTCACAGATAGCCAGTGCCTGGGTGCCAGGACCTATGAAAGGGGGTTGGAGCTGTGTTTCCAGGGCACTAAACCAAACACAATTATTTTGCTATTATATTCGCCTTTCAACAGTTGCTGTCCACAAGTCTGCTCCAAATTAAGTGAATCCCCCACCCCCCATTGTAGATGTGGGTTAACGAAACATGCATTGGCAAACAATTGCATTTTGTATTTCCTTTATCGCTTGAGAAAATATTCCAGCAAGTTCCTTGTTCCCGTAACTGTTGCAGGTGCACAGAGAAACAAAATATGGAGCAGGAAACTATCCAGACAATATTGGAAGGAATTGAGAGGAAAGTCTGACCATGGTCTGAGAGTCAAATAGAAATAGACCTTAGAAGACTTGTTGATAAGCCTTGACTGATGAGTTGGTTAGTTATCAGACTCACCAGGGTTTTATCGCCAGCAAGCATTTCCCAGGATCCATAGTGGCCTTTTTCTTGCCTGAAGAATTGAATCCCTTCTAAAAATGCTTGAACTTCGAATAAACTCTGATCTAAGCACTCTAAATAAAAATAAGCACAATTGAGGGAAAAATTAGGCAAATGATATGGCAATAACATCAGTTGCCTCTGCTTGAAACAAAACACAATTGACAGGAAGCTGATATCACGCCGGATTAGGGATGGTGGGGGATTTGTGGGGTTGCATTTCACAAAGTCACTGCACCTTTAAGACCTCGGCTGACTTGCCCATAGGATGATGCCATGTATATTACCCAGGTTTCCTTATGACTGTTTGAGATGGTGCGTGCAAGCGGGAGATAAGGCAATCATGTGGTTTATTCAAAGGCAGACAAATATCGTGACCCAACATTGTGTCATCCACGAGCAGCACAGAAATAGCTTCAACAGAATGAAATAAAGCTCTGTTTCCAAGAAGAGGGGAATGAAACCTGCCCACTTGTGGTTTGGCTTATTGCTGCTCTGCATAATCAGGAAGAATTGGGTTAAATAATGCATCAATAACTTGGCATCAGGTTCAACTCAACGGTTCAGTTTTCCAAGTACTGGATATTGGGTTCTGCCCCAGTTTTCCTATACCACTCTCCTCCTTTTACTTTACATAGAGAGTGGCACAGCTGCAGCAGGTTACAAGGAAGGATGGATGCTGGACTCATTTAAGAACAATACGAAAGTGGGTTTTCTATGAATCATAGAATGATTTACAGAATCATTTGGCCAGACATCCTTCTTCATCCGAACTTTTCTTGTGATCTTTTGATCTCGACTGTGCTGAGAATCAAGCTCATTGAAAGAGAATTGTTTGGCTGCAATTGTCCGAGCATCTCCAGGACGACGGGAGATGAGTAGATTTTTGTACTGGTGTGTCTGTCCAATGTGCAGTGGTTTAGAATGATGGCACTGTTTTTATATCCTTTTAATCTTACAGTATGGGATAGGACATACAGTAGAGTGGGTATGCTGGAAGAATAAGATGAAATGGGTCAAAGGGCCTTCTTCATTCAAAATGATCATGGGATGTTTAATAGATAAACAAGTGACACAAGACTCATTCGCAGACTGCCAGGAGACAGAGAGAGGAGCTGACTGGGGTGTTGGTTAGTTATCACAACTATGTGATCACAAAAGCGATTTGGATGAAAGAATGAATATATTTCAGCCACTTGATCTCCACCTTTCAAACCAATCCCACCTACTTTCCTTTGTACAAGTGTCCTAACTCCTCCCTCCCCCTCAACACAAAAAAAAAATTTCTTCTGAGCTTTGAAACATACAACAAATGGAGCATTTCGACTCTATATAAACATAAATTGTTGTTGTAGTTACACTTCTAACCCTCATTGTCATAGTGAGAAGGTGAACGATTACAGTGTGAAGTGTAATAATGTAGCCTAAAAGGCTTCTGACAGCACGGCACAGTGTTATTCAAGTGCTATTCTGGGGAATTCCAACAAAGCGTAGAGCTTTCTGCATAAACTTCTGCTTCCCTCAACGTTGTTGTTCAGCAAGGCTTCATCGGTGTGATGGGAGAAAAAAATATCTAAATGCAACAGTGTGAATGCAGTATATCTGCTGCAAGAATTTGTCATGTGCTCATTTTCTCCTCCAATAAAACTAAGAAACGCTGACTGAGCAAGGAAAACCACGAGATAAGGAACGTAGGAATTGCTGGGCAAAAAGTGACCAAGGTCCATCTAGTTCGCCTTCTACCATCCTGGTAATCGCATACTGCAATGATGGAGATGTTGATGGCAAATCAATAGGAGCTAAACCTAACACAGAGTCCCTTGGCTGGTTTGCGAAACTGTTGTTGCTGAGGAATGGGGAAGAGAGAGAAACCACAGTGGGGAAGGAAACATTAAATAAATCACAGAACTGCAACATTCAGTTCTCATACTCTCTGCTACGTTCAATGGTAAAACAAATGAACGGCTGAAACATGTGCACAATTTGTCTTCTTGAATCTAAAAAAAAAGTATGAGTTTCTTAACACACTGACAGAGTTTGGAGTCTCCAATCAAATTTTATTCAAGCTCCCTCTTTCTGCTGTGAATGACTCAGTGAAAAGAAACTGGCACATTCCAGGTAGTTGAAATATCTGGAATTAATAAAGTTCATTTTGCATTCCTTCCTCAGTGCAGTGCTTTTTTTTTGGTTCATTGATTTTGTTTCCCCTGCGATGATGGGGAATAGCGTTGGCAGAGAGAGGCCCAAGCCTTTGGTCTCACAGCCCACAAGGCTGTTTGGGACAAGGCAGGACATGGCCGGATTTATACCTGAGAGACAATATTTATTTTATTAAAAGGAAAACCCTGCCATTTTAAATAAAAACAGGAAAAACAAGACGTACAGAGGATGATCAGCACCTGAAAGAGAAAGACCGGTTAAAGATTGGTGCGATCCTCTATCCATGGCTCATTCCCAATTGGCTGACTTAAAATCAATTGATTGTATATTTTGTGGGCGAAACACGGCAGCCAAACAGTCCCACAAGTGTGGATTGAATGACCAAATTATTATTATTATTTGAAGAGATTATTACCCCCGGAAAGTGCGCCAATCCACTAACAACCGGGTTCCTATTAGATTAAACAGAGCCATATGGAGTAAGGAAACTTGCCTAAGGTTTCGCCCCGCCCGGGAATCGAATCCGGGTCCTCTCGCTTGCGCTTGGAATTGGCTGACTTAGGCCACCTGGTCAATGTGAAACCAAGATTGATCCCCTTCTGTGCTGGTGCAACCAATCTCAGAATTGGTTGGGGACAGGGTGGGAAGGGAAAGACAGCCACTGTTAAGCACAGCCCACTTTGACATCCTGAGCAAAGTGAATTTTGATTTGAGATGAGGATCCAGAGCTCAACTGTGACCCCCTCTCTCTCCACCACAAAGCCACATCAATGCTGGCTAGGCTCCCATTGCGAATGAAGGTTACGCACAGGACTCTTACTGCAGCAAGAGCCAGGATTTTCAGGAGAAGGGAGAATGTCGCTGAAGGGAAAAGTAAAAGTTTTTTTAAACACCGTGTTTTTTTTGTTTTTCAAATGTTTTTTGTTTAAGTTGCTTGGAGGGCAATCTTGCCACCCGTTTCCTGAGCCTTGCATTGTAAAGCTGTTTACCACTAACTGACAGGTTAGATGACATGATTTCCTCACAGGATGCTGACTCGGTTTGCTAAACTTGTGCATTTTAGGCATGAGTAATAGTTTATAAATAGCAGCTCGAGGCAGTTTCATTTGGCCTAACAATGTATGACTTATGCATTCATTATCAAGCAAAAAGCTGTTCAATGCCACTGTTAGTAATTATGTGAAGGGCTTTTTATTCCTATTCTTTGGCAGTTCAGACTATAAATGACTCCGCACTGAACAGACCCACTCCCTTTTCAATTTGTATTCCCTTTGCACCACACCTCATTTCTCAACCTGGTGGAGAGAGAGAGAGAGAGGTGATCTACTCCTACCTTTCAAGAGTTTTGAAATTCAACCTAACCTTAGCTTGCAGGACCATTTTGTCTTCAAACTTAAGGTTGTGCAGAATTGTGGAAATAATTCTTAAACTTGGCAACTGGTTTTCCCACAGTTCATTTCAGAGAGGCTCCCATCTCTAATCCCATCTTGATGTTGTACAACACAAAAATGAAGGCAGTTTCTCCTCTGGTGCCTTGGCCAACAATCTCCCAAATAAAAATTGCTCATTCGGTTCATGGCAGTCTGTAAAATGTTGCTATGGGCAAACTGGGTGCAGTGTTTTACACACAAAGCACAGTTACTGCACTTTGCAGTAATAATAATAATCCTTGCATTTGATATTGCACCTTATCATGTCATTGAGACTTCTCAAAGTGCTTGACAGGATATATTTGCCTTAAATTCTGTGGGTGATATGCAGCAGCCAATTGCGCACAGCAGCGTCCCACAAACAGTCATGCAGCATTTTGAGATGTCCTCCTAACCTGAAAGGCGCTGTACCAATCGTAAGGCTTATTACTACTGTTATTATTGATGGCTACTGCTTCAGGCAGGCCCAGTGTGAAGCCCACTGAGGTTCCTGGTGGAAGGATCCTTTATGTACTTTACTGTGCGTCAAGATTGCAAATCAAGTGTTCGGTCACTTCCAAGTTGGGGTTTTGACATTCTGCTGCCGACCCACCCTCTCGATCTACGGGGAAAACGTATGCAGGCGGGGGACACAGCCAGGGCTATACAGCTTTGTGGTCGGACTGTAGCTGAGTTCACAAAGACTTGCCATTCTCTGCTGGTTGAAGCTTGTTCTTGAGGTGTAATATTGCAGTAGAAGCAAAGGGCAAGAACAAGTACAACACTGCCTTCATTTTCCAGGGCTCTGATGCATTCACTAGAATTTGCTGACATCGCTGCCTATTTGATGCGAATTTAACTCTTTCTGGCTGTATCCTAAAGGGCTGGGTTGGCATACAATTGAACTTGAATTATTCATCCTTAAAGTGACACACCACTGTAGAGACGAGCACTTTTAATGTAAAATAAAAATACTCCCATCCCCTTATCGTTACAACAGCATTGGTAAATCTCACAGAGGCTCAACAGTCACAAGAATGCAAAAAAAACCATCCACATTATAACAAGGTCACAAGAGATGGTTTCACTGCAGTCAACTGACTCACTTCACAGGTTTCCATTCAGGTCAAACCTACCATGATCGAGGTGCCGGATACAGTCACAAAGGAAGGCCCCAAACTCCTGCTGTGCCTCCGCACTCTCGAGACAGAAGTAGCAGTGCTTTCGGTAAGGGTGCCACAGGTAAACAGGGTACTCGGTGTGGTTAACAAGAAAGCACTGGCTGGCTTCCTTCTCATTACCTATGGGAAAACCAAACACAGGCTGGTATCAGTTTTAGAGGAGGAACAATGGCAAGCTCTGCGGTCTTAGCTGGTTAGACTCCAGCAGTAACTCCAACACACATATTGGGAACCCCCCCCAAGTCTTGGCTCTTACCAACTTGAGCCTAATACTTTCCAGATGTGTCCCTCCAGGGAGAGAGTGCGCAGTCTATTCCAACAATCTATCTCTGAAATTTCCATATGTAGGTGGGATGCATGGAATTCTCAGCTTGGTTTGGAATTAACCCTTAAGCACGGAGCTGAGTTTCTGCATTGTCAGACACCCAGATGACCAAAACAAAAGGAAGTAAAAGGCGAGCTATCAATCTCCTGTAATGTTAGCTTGTGAGGCATTTCAATTACACCAAGTATAAGAAATACAATGAAGCACCCGAGGAAGCAGCAGTGCAGACCAAAACCAGCCTGTTTTTTCAGGGTTAATAATAATCCTTACATTCAGTATGGTACCTTGTCAGATCATAACATCTCAAAATGCTTCACAGGATGTTTGATGCAAAATGGAGTGACTCTAAATGCAGCAGCCGATTAGTGCATAGCAATGTCCCACCAAAAGCCACGAAGTAAGCAGCCAATTTTATCTTGAGGATTGTCGGCCAAGATACCAGAAGAAACTCCTTTCTCTTTTGGAGATCTTTAATACCCATATTAGACAGGACTTCAGCATTCGGACTGCATTTCCAACAGTGCACCACTCACCCGGTGTCAGCTAGACTGTGAGCTCAAAGTCCCAACCTGGGGCTCGAACTCACAAGCTTCTGACTCAGAGGCAAGAGTATTACCAACTGAGCCGGGGTTAGTTTCAATTGGACTATCGGCGGTAGCACCAACAATGCTCAAGCTTTAACACTTCAGGGTTACTCACCACTTGGGTCAGGAAAGTTTCTATCCACCAGTGAGGAGTATTTAGTCATGGACGTGAAGACTTTGCAGCCAGTTGGAATCAGTTTGCATTTCATGGCTTGTCCCTTCTGATAGGCCTGACACAAAAAAACAAAACCAGGAAAAGACATGAACATAAAAAATAAATCTAATGATACTTTGTTGTCTTTCCCAGTCCCACAACTCTCCTCCCCTCCTCACCAGAGGCCTGAAATTTAACATGGTTTCGACTTTAACGTCAAGGTCTTAAAAAAATCTTGCACGATCTGAAATTTTAAGAAAATAGTCTTAATAAAATACAATATGGCTTTTCACAGGGGAAGGACATCAACAGTACTGGCAGAGCATTTGAGCTGGGGGTGGGAACCGAGGTGGGTGGAGAAGGGAAAGATAATAATACTTACATTTCATATAGTGTCTTGTCATGTCGTTGAGACCCCTCAAAGAGTTTCACAGAATAAATTGTACAGTGGACTGACTGTGTATTTTGTGGGGGTAGAGGTGTACGAAAGCATGATCAGAGGTTGAGACCTTTAAGCTCGTGAAGCTGAGAACCTGAACAATGTCATGTCTGGTATATTAGCGGGAATGGATGACAGTCAGACAGTCATTCTCTACTTATTTGGTTTTATTTCCGTGCACAGTAGAGATTTACCTCGAAGACAATGTATCGCATTGTCTTAGAGGTGGACTCCTATAGCTTATGTGGAGTCCTGAGGCTTTGTGGTTAAAGAACTCGCCTCACAAGAGAGAGGTCCTGGGTTTAATTCAGGAGCAGGGTGAAACGTTAGGCAAGTTTTCAGGTCCTCTTGCTTACTCCACAAGCCTCTGTTTACCTAGCAGTAAGTAGGAACCCAGTTGTTAGTCGATTAGTGGATGTCTTTACTGGGGGTAATAATAATTTTTTTAAAAATTTGGTCACTCAATCAACGATCATTGGAAACTCCTGTGCGCAATTGGCTGCCCCGTTTGCCCAGAAAATATACAGTCAATTAACTTCACAGTATATTCTGTAAAGTGTATTGAGATGTCCTGAAGATGTGATAAGTCACTATATCAAATGCAAAGATTATTACATTGTTTTCTTGAAATCACATTCAGAAAGGTAACCTTTGGAAACTTTCCAAGGGACTCTCATCTGAAAGGGATGGAGTTCCAGTGAAGCTCAGTTTTGGTAACAAACTCTCTCTAAAATATTGGCTGCACAAAAACGTGGTGCGCATTTCAACCAGCCAACGCTGCAGAAATGTAACATTCTCTCCTGTAACACAAACTTGCTTCCATTCAAGCAATCAGACCTAATTGACACTACAGCAATGTCACTGCATCATTGCAGGGCCTTACATTTACTAATCTGCTTGTTCTATCTTGTAAGAAAACTCACTGGATGTCAGCATTTTTTTTCCCAATGCTGGTTGAATTGTTGCTCATTGAAACCGAAAATACAGGTCTCCGTCGGTAAAAAGATTAAAGCTCCACTCCTTCGCTGAAGTTCTCAGCTGTTAATATTTCAGGTTAATTTCCCAGAGCGAGCCGATGTAATGTATTTACATTACATTACTGAGAGTAAACCCATTGCTAAGAATTTAATATAAATAATGAATTGGCTACTAGAAAAAAAATTCAGGACAAAAAAATAACTGAAACGTGGACAATGTGTTATTAAACACAGTTAAGTGAATTAATCTAGACTTATTCAATGTGGGATTGCCAGTTCTCTCACTGGCAATTTCACCAGCAACATAAAATTTCTAAATTTAATAAATTAATGTTGTGCATTAATTTTCACATTCAACAGGAAGGGAAAGTCTTTTTAACTACACATAAGTTTCACAGCCATCTAATCTATCTCCTCCCATTCCCCCTTGATCTTCTGAATTAAAAATGATGGGAGCAATTCTTTAAATTCAATTAAGTTATGGTTTATTGTTCACCTGCTGGGACCCACCTTGTACAATGCAGTTTTAGTACCTTGGGCTTGAGATCCACTTTGAGTGTCAGTGCTGACACCTGTACAGCCGATGAACATAGCTCTCAGCTCAACTTGTCCATTACTAAGGCTTATTTTTTTAACACAGGAAACTGAAGATAAGATCTTGCATAGTCAAATGTTGCTAGTTGCTACAGTTACAAATTATCATCTCCAGCGCCTGCATTAACTTCTTGGTCCCGGTCAAAGTGGCACTGATCGCTAATCTGGTCCATTTTCCTTAAACCTTTTGCTGGCAACAAAAAGAGTCATGGTACCAGAATAGAGAGATATGCAGACAACAACAACAATTTTCCATTTATACACCGCCTTTCATGTCAGGAGAATGTCTTAAAGTGCTTCAGGAAATCGTCTGGAAGCCTGAGCTGGAGGGAGCTGAGGAAGGAGATGGGGACAGACAGGTAACCAAAAGCATGTTGAAAAGAAAGATCTTACATCTCGGTTTTCAAAGCATTCAATGCTGCTGTCGTTTTTCACCACGACGTATCGGTCTTTCCATTTCTTGAGTTCTTCAGCATATTGTGTCACTTCCCCTTCGTACACCACCTGCTCAACTTCCAACGACTGCTGAAAAATAAAACAAAATTTATTCACACATAAACTAAAATTGGAGAGAAACAGCCCCGCTAATTTGGCACTAAATGGCTGGCACGTTCGCCTACAAATACAGAATCGCGACACTTCAAAGCAGTCACCCATGAAGTTCTTTGTGACATTGTCATTATAGTAACTTTCATGAAAAGGAATTTTTTCAAACACTGGTTAAAAGCTGTGGTGCACAGTGAGCAAGGAAGTAAGATTTAATTATGTCAACCTTGGTCAAAGAATATGTTTCTAGGAGGTTTCTGATGCCATAGAGAGTGGGAGGTTGCAAGCCCAAACGTTTCAGAGGACAAACCAGTTATCAATCCCCTATAAAATTATCTAATGACAAGAAAAGGCCCTTTGGCCCATTTATGGGCATTTTGATTGTGTCGGGGCATAAGTAGAGCAATGCAGGTGATGTCACCTAGGTCAGCACTGTTAACATTTAACTTGTAGGATTGCCAGATCGCAACCAGCCACTGTTTTGTGCATGCGTGCTGGGAATGACCCCATTATACAACAAAGTCAGCACTTTTCTTTTAGGGTTAGTTTGCATTGAAGTACATCTATGGAAGTGCAGATATTGTCCAGAAAAGTTATGAGGATGTAGCTCCCAGCCTACCTTGCGATGCAGCAGCTGGGGCTGTGGTTGCCTCTCTTGCTCGATTTCGCATCGTATACTGTTGAACAAGGCCACATTGTACTGCCGCTGGTAATGTGGACTGAAGTTCTTCAGCTCGGCCTCCGACTTGCCTGAAAGAGAGTGGGAGAACATGAGGAACCAGGAGGCTAAAATATGGAGTTGTGGAGTCCTGTACGACAACAACAGCAACAACAACTTGGATTTATATAGCGCCCTCCACGCCGGATGGCGTCTCAGAGCGCTTCACAGTAATGGATGCCAGGGCCGAGCCAGGGGGATGGGGAGGAAGGTGACCAAAGGTGCGGTCGAAAAGAAAGGTCTTCAGTCGAAACCTGAAAATAGGAAGAGAGGAGGTGAGGCGAAGGGAGTGAGGAAGGGAGTTCCATAGCCTCGGGGCACGGTGTCTGAAGACACGGCCGCCGATGGTGGAGCGGAGGATTTGGGGGACAAGGAGGAGGCCAGACCCAGTGGAGCGAAGGCAACGGGCACTGTTGTGAGGAGAGAGAAGGTCAGAGAGGTAGTGGGGTGCAGAGGAGTGGAGGGATTTGAACACAAGAGTGAGGATCTTGAACTATAGCATACTGATGAGAGCATTCGCCTTACAAGCAAGAGGACCCAGGTTCGATTCCCAGACAGAGCAAAATCTTAGACAAGTTTCTTTACTCAACAGGCTTCTGTTTACCTAGCAGTAAATAGGAACCTGATTGTTAGTCAATTGGCGGATTACTTTTAATCCTTCAAAAAAAAATTGGTCACTCAATCCACGACTGTTTGTGAGGCGCTGCTGTGTGCAATTGGCTGCTGCATTTCATCCACAAAATATACAGTCAAATCACTTTACAGTGTATTTTGTGAAACGCTTTGAGGTGTCTCAATGACATGAAAAGATGCTTATCAAATGCAAGGATTATTATTATTATATCAAGTTGGTTCAGTTGGTAGTATTCTAATATTCCGCATTCTCATCTCGCTGTTTTCATTAATAATCCTTGAAGTAATATAGTGGCTTAAATGGCAGGAGGATAACTCGAGGAATTTCACAAGATTTACTGTAAAGTATATTGACTATATTTTCAGCCAATTTGTGCACAGGAATGTCCCACATAGAGCTGTGAAGTGAATTATCAACTTCTTTCAAGGATTGTTGGCCAGGGCACCAGAAGAAACTCTCTTCTCTTTTTGAGTAGTGCCATGGGATCGTTAATGTCCAAAGTAGCAGACAAATGGGACCTTCAGTTTAATATCTCATCCGAAGGACAGCACCTCTGACAAACTAGTAATAATACTTGCATTTGGTATAGTGGCTTATCAAGTTGGAAGAACAGAGCACTTTGCAGAATTTACCATGAAATTGAATGACTATGCATTTGTAAGCAAATTTGGCAGCACAATTGCGCACAGCAAAGGGCCACAAACAGCTGTGAAATGAATGACCAAGTTTATTTGGAGGTTTTGTTAGCCAGGCCACCGAGAGAGACACTCCCTTTGTAAGTATACCTTCAGTAGAGGCCTGGTGTATCAGCCTGGTCTGTGAGCTCAAAGTCTTGACACAAGGTCCTTAATCTTTAAAATGTATTATCGCTCAACCTTTGTGATACCACGGACAGTTTCTTCTTAAAATTTGGGGGATCATTAATAAATAATAAATGTGTCTGTCGGGTTACTCTATTTAAATCTCTGGTACAGAAGTCCAATAGTTAACCACGGAACAGTGTAGGTGCTCTGATAAACAGGACCTTATACAACGCCTTGATGTAATGCCTTATCATGTATTCGAGACATCTCAAGGCACTCAGGTATATATTGTAAAGTGGTGTGACTGTGGGTAATTTGTGTGAAGCTGTGTTGTATGGGAGCTGCTTTATTCTTGTTGTAAGAACCGGCTAAAGTTTGACATTTTTTTCCAAGTTTGTTAAATTGGCTTTTTTTTCAAAGAACCTGCCATCTGGGGTCTCGAGAGACAAGTTTTGTGACTAGGGGGGCCTCGAAGGACGGAAGGCTGCTTCAAATACAAGTGTTGCTGATCCAGGAATAATTTTCATCTGGTTCCTCAGAAATGCTCGTTCCTCAGCAGAAATCCACTTATTTGCACTCTCTCAGAATTGGAATGACTCCCCTCTCCCCACCCGCACTCACACACACACATCCAGATGTGCGGAGTATGACATGTTAATGCAGAAAAGATTTGATAGGTCATCCCCTTCACATGTTCGTTTCGAATCTTTAAATAGAAGAAGAAAAGGGGGAGAGAGTTCAGAAGATGTCAGTACTGCAGGAAACTGATGTAAAGCAGCTGTGGGGTTAAAAATAAACAGCACAATCTAGTTACTAGAGCAGAAAAGGTTACTAGGGCATCTGATCAAAATGTTCACCTTATGAAAGGGTTTGAGATGGTAAATAGCGAAAGATTATTTGGTGAATGAGTAATAAGGGGTGTAATGACCAATTTTGCCTGGAGGATTGTTGGCCAGAGCGCCGGGAGGAACTCTCTTCTTTTTTCTGAAGAGTGCGAGATGTTTAACATCCACTTGAACAGGCACAAACAGGACCTTGGTTTAATGTCTCATCTGCAGAATGGCACCTCCAACAATGCAGCATGCAAGACGCAACCTTTCTACTTTGAGGCAGGAGTGCTACCAACTGAGCCAGGCTGACCCCTCATAAGAGTATGAGGAAAGAGAGGCCAATGGATTTAGAGCAGATAGTTCCAATACGTTACTGAGTGCAGCATGGGCTGATGGACAAAATAAATAGATATTTGTGTAATGTTATGATAATTAATGATACATTGCTTCTCCAACCCTATGATTTCATGTTCTCCTCTGGGAACTCTCACTACTTGGCTCAGGTCTCCTGTTATAATATAAAATTCCTGAATTCTCAAGTTCCAAATCACACCAGAATCAAAGGAGCCCACTCTTGGGCAGGCCTCACCTTCACCCTCAACCACACGGGCAGAAATGGAACCCAAGTTCTGGCTCCTCTCCAAACTCTCCCCAACAACAACCACCGCAAAAACTTCCTTCACATGGGGTAGCATCTTGCAGCACTTAATATTTTCGCCCACAAAATATAGTCAATTCACCTTACAGTATATTTTGAGACGCCGTCCGGCGTGGAGGGCGCTATATAAATCCAAGTTATTGTTGTTGTTGTTGTAAAGAGCTTTGAGACGTTTCAACAACGTGATAAGGCTTTATATTAAATGCAAGAATTATTATATATAACTTGTCCTTCCTCTTAAGCTGTAATGTTACCAGGCTTCTGATGTAAGGTTTCTCTCCCCTTCCCTTACAGAAACCCGACAAGAGACTATTTGTCTCAAGTGGAGTGCGTCTGGAGAAGGAAATTTTAACTCATGTTTTACTGAAGTTACTTTGCAGCCGATCTTGAGAAAAAAACAACAAATGAAGGGACAAAAAAAAAGAAAATGCCCTCGACACCCAGCCTTGCCTTGTAACGTGGTATTATGAAGTGCTCCTTGTTGGTCGAGTGAAAGATGGTTATTTATAAGGAAATGAGACAACGTCTATTTTTAATTTTGAAGCCTTGTACGAAGAGCTTTCAGGATGCAGAAAGTAAAACAACAGCGATGCAGAAGCTGCTGAAGAGACGTGACGACACATGTACATAATGGCAGCTTTCTGATCTCACATAGTCAGCAGCTCTGTCCAGATACACACTGTTGGCCCACGCGACAATGTTCGTATCAATGCTTTTCTATTGTGTCGGCCAATTTTCTCCCGTTCTCTTTCCTCCTGGAGGTGCTGGGTACTGGTTCTACAGGAGCCAGCCACCCACTGCATCTCACTTGGGCCAAGAAGTGAAAGCTAATGTGCGAGTGTTAGACCACTAAGCCATGGGGAAGGGGAGACTCACAGCTGAACGCCATGCTGGCCTCACAATGCCCACACATGCACATTTTCCAAGAGGTCACTAAATAATAGTAATCCTTGCATTTGATATAGCGCCTTATCACGTTATTGAGAGGTCCCAAAGCGCTTCACGAAATATATTGTAAAGTGGATTAACTAATCAGTTAATTAATTCATCAATCAATCAATCAATTAATCACTTAATGGTGATTAGGAGTGGGAGCCCAGTCTGGGCGATAAGGCCAGGGGACACTGAAACAATCAGAGACCTCCCACCCTTCCGTTGCTGCCCTGGCTGACATAAACTTACAAGGTTCAAATCTGGGACCTTTCAGATCTGTCGGTTTCATTTTTTTAAGAAGGGGTAAAATTAATCACTTGCTTCATGGCTATTTTCAGCAATCTGAGATGTTACCTCGTGTGAAGGAAGACACATAAACCCAAGTTGCTGTGGTAAGATATTGGTGTGTGTAAATTGGCTGCTGTGTTTGCCTAGAGATGCACAGCCACTACAATTTACAGCAATTATATGTGAAACACTTTGAGGCATTTCAACATTATAGGCGACATCAACTGTAAGGATTAATATTATGGATTCTGCCTCAACCACTATTTTTGATTGGACATCCCAGATGCTAATAGCACTGATTAGAAAAAAAGACAAATGAGGAAAAATTACATTAAAGGATACATAGAAAGATCGAGGAAATGGGGCTAGAACAGATAGTTCCTACGGTGGAGCTTGTCCCAGCACAGACGTGTCGGGTCAAATGCTATTATTTCAAGAGATGAGATAGAGTCCTATATCACTGCACTTTACAGAATATCCTGTGAAGCGCTTTGAGACATCCTCCCAATGTGAAAGGCTATTTTTCAAAGCAAGCAATATTATTACCTCAAGGATAGTAACCATCACCAGAGGCAACACTCAACCTTGCTCAGCTGACAACAGTGACCTTAAAGGGAAGCCTACACCATTGTAAGATAAATGGGCCATTAAATAATCTCAGTTGGCGTGACAATGAGACATTACAATTATACTCCATGTCCCAGGGCCAGGGAGGGGAACATTTTCAAACCAAGCTTTGGCTCTTCAACAATGACAATTAACCCTGCTGAAAAAGTGTGTTTGTGCACTTGTGCATATGCATGCTCATGTGTATATGCATGTGGACACATTGCAGGTGTATGTGTGCATGTATATGGGTACGCTTTGGTGCATATACACATGGACT